GGTAAGGAGGAGGAAGTTCTTCATCTTGATCCGATAGATAGAAGTGGAATGTCTGGAGTGGAGGAGAGATGTCGTTCGTTCTCTGTCTGGATGGACTTGCGGGAAAGCCTGGAAGAGAAAAGATTTGATCAAGGCAGGAAGGAATCGAACAATATATACCTATGTGTTGTTTTCTTTTGAGACTATCTCCAAAGCGTACCTTCTCTACCACTTCACTTAACTTCAAACCAACCCATCCATATACCTCTCTCTATTCGGCATTTGTGCCTGTGTATCGATAACATCTGCCAACCCCCTCATCCACATTTATCATCTACCATACACAGCACAGCACCCAATAATGAATCGGTATATACTATCTGTGCACATACATTCTATCTCTCTCCTTCCCTCGCACGATCGCGACCCTTTCTTGGCGCCGCTTATGAGCTTCCACAAACGGCAACCATCCATCCCAGGGGTTTTCGCTTACAGCAAAGCCAAGCTATCGCGCTTCCAGTACATGTTCACCGGCTTCTGTTGCAGGAAAGGTGGATGCGATGCCAAGCATGCGCGCAGGTGCTTACTTCGTATAAACTCTTGAATACCATCCGTCCACTGCACATGATGCGGGCTATCATATATTCAGGGGATTTAGATCAGGACTGGGCGTCCACTATATTGGCGGCTGAACAATTGTACCTCCACCCAAGAGTCCTCGCCAAGGCCTCACCTTCCGTATGCGACTGGTAATAAGGAAGTGGTATGCGGCGAAACCCGAGTAATGAGACATACCTTTGGTACCAACCATATAGAAGAAAAATAGTCGGCGATTGGTAACGCTTGTGCAGGTATAAAGGTATCTATCTACCTGGCCTATACCTTAGGTACAAGTATAAGGAGGGGAGGTTCGGCAGTTCTAGATTGCCGAGGCGATGTCCCAGACGGCGACGGTACAGTTTTCATCTCGAATTTATACTGTACTCTTTTCGAATCAGATAAATACAGTAGACTACATCCATCATTTACCTACCTATTGGTTTCAAGATATCATATTTATAATCTGGTTGAGAGGGTCGGTGCTCATTGAGACCGGATGCCGACCTCTTATTGTTTTACAGACTAGGTACTCGTGTTCATAAGAGGAAATCCGTAGAGCATCTTCAGCATTAAGATCTCGACTATGGCAACGAAAAGATAGTAGGTCTTCTCAACTTTAAACGTACAAGAGGCTACTCCGTATGATATTATAGAGAATAGTTCATGTAGACCGAGAAATTAAGCCTAACACCACTCACAATGCCTCACAAACTTTGGTGTAATCTTCTTTTTATAGCCCCTTTATTTAGATATGATTTGTCTCGCCCACTTTCAAGATGCCCACTCTCTGACCGCTGTACTGACAGTATGAGTGTCATGACCTTGGAGAAGAATAGTCCCATAAAATATGCCATTCGCAAAACCCGCTGTCTCCCCATGCTTATCATCTGTTGTATTCATAAGGCCCAATTCGCTTCAATGCTGCCCATCCGGTCGCAGCCAAGGTAAAAGAAACAGTGCAACGCTGATGCCGAAGCAGCTTAGTATGGCATGTAATCAAATAGACATAAGCCGCCGTGTGCCTTAGTCCGTCAGATATTGTGTAAAAAGAAAAGGAAATTTTTGGTGCTGATAAATATCAAAACGCCTGGTTGATCGCTCATGCAAGTAACTCAACATCCAAACCAATTGAACGCATGAAGAGGTTGACGTTCGCTAATCGCTGGCCCGACATCGCTGTGGGGAGAGTCTTGGCATGAGCAACAGTCTCCATAACACGGTCTTTGACAGCCATGACAAGTCTCTGCTGCTGCTCGGGGCTAGCACCAATACCAATAGCCGCGAGGAACTGCCAAACATAAACATCTTCACCAGTGTTGACGGTGCCAGGAAATATGTTGGGGAGGGTAGGTTCAAGGGCATCGAAGAATGCATTATAGATGCCAACCCTGTCAAGTATTAACATATCATCCAGTCTCGGGATCAGAAGACTTACCATTGATCCCATTCCCGCTCATTACTTCCAGCTTGCTTGATGAGCTCAGCGCGACTCAGTAACATCGTCAACATGCTGACACCAATTCTTGTTCGAGCAATAACGTCAATATTAATGTTCAGAATAAGACCCAAAAGACCAGTGACAATATCCAATCCGGCTTCGTTGAGATAGCCGAAAAGCGTATGCATAACCGCCAAAGAGAAGAGCTCTATATTCTCACGAGTAGCAGAGTTCAATTGAACTTCGCCAGGCTGAAGCAATCCCTGACGAACAACATCCAACTGGTCAAGATGAATGACAATAATGGTCAAAATGGTAGTTCGCTGCTCCTGGGTTATATGACGGAACACGCGAGGAATACACTTCTTGCCCTTGCTGAATGACAAGAAAGCAATAAATGGATGGGTAGTAGTTGCACCGATAGGCTCGTGAACCTTCAAGTCCCGCCAAAGCTTTCGGTTGAGCTTCTCCTCCTTTTCACGCCAGTCTATGTGGAAACCAGCAAGCTCTGGATTGATATCATCATTATCAAGAGGTGGTGGCATCAAACGTTCATGATCCTCAAGCTGCATCAGCGTACTGTATACATTTTCAATATCAGTGAGAACCGTCTTTCTGTCGCTGCCGCTGACGCCTACTTGATGAGCCTTGCTAGGTCGGTGTGCATCAGCAGCGCTATCAGTACGCTTGATGTTGAGCAATGGTTTTGGCGTTTTCGCATTGCTGAATGAGATCTTTCCTAAGCTGCCTTCGATGACCAGCTGCTTATTCTTTGGCTTGTTCTTGGCAGCTTCGACAGCTCTTTGAACCTGTTGCTCCATACGCTGCATATGATTGTCTCCACCGCGAGCTTGTCTTCGCATACCACCGTGTCGACCACCTGTTTGAAATAGATAAGTCTGTGCGAAATTGCTCAGTGGCTGGCCAGGATGCTGTCGAGGTCCACCTCGAATTTGGTTATGAACTTGGTAGTAAAAGTCCTCTGACAGGGAAGGATCACTGCCATGCTCATTAGGATTGCCAGTTGCAGTAACAAGCTGTTGTAGCTGGATACGTGTAATAAAATTCTTGTCTTGTGGTGTCATCAGACCATTGTCCTTGGAGAGCAAAAATATCTTGTGGTTGCGCTTAGCACGCTTAGCATCTTCCATTAAGAAAGCTGCTCGCTCCTCATCTGATAAGTTTGCAAGCTGTTGGGGATGGGTGATAATGTGACGAGAACCTGAAGGGCGTGATTGGTGTACAGGATGCTGAACAGGATGCTGAACAGCAGGAGCAGATCTACGTTGCTCTGCCGAGTAACGATTTGGGTTTTGCAATATTTGCGTTGGTTGAGACGGAGCTGTTGGAGCAATAGGCTGGTTAGGCGTTGGTTGCGATCGTTGCATGATTTGCACAGGCTGATGAGGCTGTCCGACATGAGCTGGACGAGCCTCTTCACGTGGGGGTCCACTGGACTGGAAGGGCAATTGTTGCGGTTGAGAGAATTGCTGCTGTTGGTGTTGGGGAGGATAGTCGTGGTATTGTTGTTGTGGAGGTTGGGTATACTGCTGAGGTGCCGACTGTTGCTGCTGTATTGGCTGCTGTGGCTGGGCTGGTTTCTTTGCCTGTGCTCGCATTGAAGCTTCAACTTCTTCCAAACTCATCATCTTGCGGGCGCCAGAGGGGATTCCAGGGTTCATGGGAGAACCGAAATCAGAAGCCTGAGCAGGCCGCTTTGGTGCAACTCCCCATAAGTTTGCATCCACTTGCATATCAGGAACGTAGTCAGGCTCTTGGTAGCGCTCATAACCAGTCCTTGCAGGCTTTGGAAGGGGCTGCGGGAAAGTGGAAGTTGTCGGAGGTCCCCGCGATGAAGGGGCCTGGCGAGAAAAGCGAAGCTGCTCTTCATTGATGGCGTCGGAGACTTTTGCCGTCTGGCCAAAGAAATCGAAGTCTTTGCCAACAGGCTTCTTCGTCACGGGTCCCGCATCATCTCCAAAAGTATCGTCATTGAATACATCATCCGTCTCGTCCAACTGATCGCCTAGACCATCGTATGTGTCTTCAAAGTCAAGTCTGAATTGTGAAGTGTCAGCTTCTGGAAGTGAGAAGATGACTACTAACAACAGGACGGGCGGCCTTCAACGGCACATCGTCTCGTGTATGGATGGTATGGTAAGAAATTCAAACTCACGCATCATCGTCATCTTCGGGACGAGGGCCAGCAAATGGATCGGCAGCCTGGGAGAACCCAGGTGCCCGAGTGTTGTGCCCACGATCGCGGGGTAGAGTCGAGTCAAAGCCAAAGAAAGACATGACGGGGGCTCGAGCTCGAAGACGTAGATTGGTAGCTCAAATACAAATGCCTCTCTTCATGTGGGAAGTTTCGCGTAGCTGTGCGAGAAGGCAATTGAATCGAATCGAGCTGTCTGGAGGTTTGCAGAGGTTAGAATGATACTGCTCGATAGTTGACTGGAGGTCTGTGGAACAAACATGTAGACGAACGTGGCAAAAGAGAGCGCCGAACGAACGTGAGGGAGGTATGGAAGGGTCGCGGAAAGAGGTAGATACTCGTTGAGAGTGAAAGAGAAGCTATCTTACGAAGGTGGAGTAACAGATTCCAAAGACGGTATGTCTCCAAGGACGGCGAAGGGGATGATATATTATGTACTCTGTATTGTACCTCACATAAAAGGCAGAGACCTCAAAGCTGCGCTGCATGGTGGTAGTGGGGTGGGGTGAACTTTGAATTTTGAGCCGCCTCTAAATTTGAAGCTAAGCCTAATTGGGTAGGGACTACGAGAGATCCACAAATACGCAAAGGGGCCAGAAGTCTAAATGTCTCCTGAATTATTGCGCGTCCTTCTGCTATCTATGCTCGTATGCAGTTTTTCTGCGTATCCACCTCCTTCTCTTCCCTCGTTACCTATTCTCACTTCTTTTTCCATTGGCAACGGACACAGTGTTGCCATTATTGATACCTTCTTTTAATCACTTCTTCGCCAGACGTTGTCTCTGCCATCCAGCCAAATCCTTGGCTGACGACGAATTGTCGTTTGGGTATTAATTAAGGAATAATCAGCATCTCAAATTAGTTGCGTAATTTAGAGCATCTCTCTCGTCGGTATGGCTTCAGGAACCGCCAGATATCTGAGATATATTCTCTTCGCCTTCTTCGTACGTTGCCCCAGAACATCAGTCCCGAAATACGTACCCTCTTGCTGACCGACTTCAGGGGCTTGCTGTCATCTACTTCATATCCTCTTCTTCGAACCAGCGATTACCTACAACAATAGGTGGCTCGACAGGATGGGGAGGCATACCTGTGAAGGCTGGGACCACACCAGCAGCTGATGCTCACCCTGTGGCGGGAACGACGCCAAACACCATACCAGGCCTTCCTCCCGCAACAGCAGGCGGACCGAGAATGAATGCAACATTCGTCTCGCTCGCACGAAACTCCGATTTATGGGAAATTGCCCGATCGATCCGTCAAGTAGAGGATCGATTCAACCGCAAATTCAACTACGATTGGGTCTTCCTCAACGACAAGCCTTTCGATGCGACCTTCAAGAAAGTCACAACATCACTGGTATCTGGTACCACCCATTATGGAGAGATCCCCAAGGAGCACTGGTCTTTCCCAGACTTCATCGATCAGGACAAAGCCCGCAAGGTCCGTGAAGATATGGCTCAGCGCAAGATCATCTATGGAGACTCTGTCAGCTACCGTCATATGTGCAGATTTGAGTCTGGGTTCTTCTTCCAACATCCGTTGATGAAGCAATTCGAATGGTATTGGCGTGTTGAGCCAAGCATTGAGCTTTTCTGCGATATCAACTACGATGCATTCAAGTTTATGGCCGATAACAAGAAGAAGTACAGTTTCGTGTTGAGTCTGTACGAGTATGTGGAGACTATCCCCACTCTTTGGGAAAGCACCAAGAAGTTCATGAAAGCTCACCCAGAGCATATCGTCGAGGGCAACTCCATGGGATTCTTGAGTGATGATGGAGGAGATACCTATAACCACTGCCATATGGTAAGCTCAAACTGGACAGGGGAATATCATCTACTGACGTAGTCTTTATAGTGGTCCAACTTCGAAATTGGTAACTTGGATTGGCTCAGATCTAAGGCCTACACCGATTACTTTGACGCCCTTGACAAAGATGGTGGTTTCTTCTACGAGCGCTGGGGTGATGCCCCCGTTCACTCGATTGCTGCTTCTCTGCTCTTGAAGAAAGAAGAAATTCATTTCTTCAATGATATCGCGTACTATCACGTTCCTTTCACCCATTGCCCAACTGGCGAGAAGACCAGACTAGATCTAAAATGTCACTGCAACCCGAAAGATAACTTTGACTGGAAGGGATATTCATGTAAGAAAAATACCGAACTTTCTTGGAAATATTACTGATTTCAAAAAAGGTACATCTCGCTACATGGAAATCAACGGCTTGGAGAAACCTGAGGGCTATGAAAATCAACAGGATTAAAACGCATTGGAGAATGCATTTGAAAAGGGCTATGCTTTATGGGGAGGGTTTAAAAATCTACTACGTGGCATGTTATCACCGGCGTTGGACAGGCACTCGAGCAGGTTGTAGATATTCGGTCATTGGATTTGGGAGCTTTAGACATGGGCCAGGAATTAGTGACCATGGCTTTGTGTCTATGTACTAAAGCCTAACTGATGGGTATATTACCAGTACCCGCTAAGTGATAGGCGTCTAATACTTGTGTTTGAAATGCGGTCGCCTGAATGATAATATTGTCAAGTAGGAACTGCAGTAATGTATTTCCTGTTTCATCTTGCAAGGCATCGGATTGAGCTCTTCTCTACTAGCCTTGCCTTAGCAGCTGTTACAAAGGCGTCTTATGTTACAATGTTATCGTCTTCAAATCCTACTCAGACATACCGTCCAACGCCTCAATATTTTCACCAGCTTCCACTCCTCCCATTTATCTCATCTACGCAGCAGTCTTCTTCGGCTTCTTCGTCCCATACTTCGAACGACTCGTAACCCTATTGCCCACCCCTCCAAGATCCATAGCCCCCCCTAACCAAATGATATCTCACACCCGGACAATCTTGACTTCTCCCCCTATAAACCATGCCATTCATTAGCCCTCTTCCCATCCCATCCTGTCTAATCAAAACAAAGACCTCAAGAACACTCACCCTCGCACCAAAACCACACTATGCTGCTGCACATTATGTCCCTCCCCCGGTATATACGCCGTGATAATCCTCCCCGTACTCAACCTAATCCTCGCCGTCTTCCTCTGTCCGGAATTCGGCTTCTTGGGCGTCGTTATGCCGACTTTCAGACACACGCCTTTTAATTCTGGGGCTTTTACGTCGCGGAGCGCTGGGGAGACTGCATGTCGGGCGCGTTGGGCGGTGCGGCATCCCTTTTTGTATGTTAGAACGAAAACCTTATCGATGGAGGGGATGGGAAGGGTGGGGTGAGGTAATAGGGAATGGAAATGAAGTACCCTTATGACTTGGTTGAAGGTTGCGAAGGGAGTTGGTGTTGAGGAAAAGGCGCGGCGGGAGGTGAGGGGGGAGGGGAAGGACTTTTTGAGGGGGGAGGAGAAGGGGAGCCGTATTGAAGGCATGAGGCAGCGGTGGAGAATTGAGGTGGCCATTATGGGCGTTGGGGCGTTGGCAATGGCTGAGATGATGGGAGTGAGGTCTATGAGGTTTCTTGGATTGAATTCCTTTTGGGACTAGTGTGAAAACCACATGACCGTGATTTTGTTACACGATTGCTTCTTCTTTGATTCCTCTTATAATTAATTATTTTACTTTCTCAAGATCGCTGTGCCCTCGGGTCGAAAAGAAGCAGTTGTTATATTGCGGCCATACATCATGCGCTTCTTTTGGATCTAATGCTGAGTGAGTCGGGATTCTGGAGACGGGGAGACAGGAGACAGGAGACATTTCTGCATGTACGGACAGTATAGTATTACATGAAGCTTATAAGAAACAGGGTCCTGGGATGGGCTTATGAGTGACGTTCAGATGGCGTTCTGCTATTTCTATTCCTATATATATATATATATATATATTTTGAGCTTTGTCCGATGTCTTTTGAGGACTGTCGTACGTCGAGTCTGATTTCTTATTTTACCCGCCATGGTACTCGGTTTACTTTTTCAAACTTTCAATTGAGCTTGTTGATTCGTCCGGAAAATCTTTCGGCACAGAACTGCTATACGAGGGTATTATTCTTCTTTTGCCTCTATACTTTTGCAACTTGCATCCGCTCGGTCTACACATTTTTCCGTCCGTTAAACGACTATTGAGAGGGGCAGTCATGGCAGGTACTATTGGCCGCATTCAAATCCCCGCCTTGTATAGCGTCATGCATACAATGGCTAAATCGACTGAATGTTGTACCGAGCAAGGATTTGAGGAAACGAGACATACGATATATAGGCCTTGTGACAGGTGACAGGCTACTTCACCTTGGTACCCCGCGTTTATTCGGCACTTCATTTGACCATGCATTTCTTTGTACCTGAGAAAGCTGTCTGTCAAGGTAAGGATCATCGCGATTTTCAACCTCCACTGACGAACTTTCTGAGTGAGCTCCATGTTTACCAAGATGAATTGTGTCTCAATGAGGGGTCGAGGGGTATCCATGCAGTGTAGTCAATTTACCCGTGAGCTTTCTGCTGCTTGGAAAGTCTATAATGCAGCTCCCCTGCTTTTCTCTCACAGTCGAATGAAGTATTCAAGCGAGTGCGACATATTGTCAGGATGAAACTTTTCCGCGCTCTCACAGTGGCCGCCCTTGCGGTGCAGGCTGCAGCACTGTCAATTGGAGGCAAAAACATGATAGTAGAGAGGGACAGTGATGGATTGCAGGATCTAGTGAGTTGCTCTCCTAAAATTAAGGAGATCCCTACGAATTTCAACTTCCCTGATTCTTATATCTCGAGCAGGTTACGTACGATGAGCACTCATTGCTGGTATACGGCGAGCGAGTCTATGTTTTCTCGGGCGAATTTCACCCCTACCGATTGCCGGTTCCAGATCTTTGGCTCGATGTCTTCCAGAAAATCAAAGCTTTAGGATTCAATGCCGTATCATTCTACGTACATTGGGCCTTGCTAGAGGGCAAGCCAGGAGAATATTCAGCAGAAGGGGTTTTTGCTTTTGAACCATTCTTCGATGCTGCGAAACAAGCCGGAATTTACCTCATTGCTCGTCCAGGTCCTGTAAGTCATTTCAGCTAAGCCCCAAATAACATTCAATCTTTGTGGGACGTGGGAAGAACATATTGCTCTAGCTAGCCCAACATCCAGGTTTATTTCCAGTAGAGATATTAAGAACGTCCTAGGGTCTTCGAGACATCCAATTACTTGAGCTTGTTTTACTGACAAGCTTCGTTGCAGTATATCAATGCCGAATCAAGTGGCGGTGGATTTCCTGGATGGCTTCAACGTATTTCAGGTCAACTTCGAACTCGTGCGCCAGACTTCCTCGCTGCCACTGATAACTATATGGCAAACATTGGGGCAGCAATTGCCAAGGCCCAAATCACAAACGGGGGACCCGTTATACTCGTTCAGCCAGAAAACGAGTACACTGGATCTGACGGACCGGTGACAGGAGGTTTTCCGGACCCAGTATATTTTGCGTACGTTAAAAAGCAAATTCGAGATGCTGGGATCGTTGTGCCACTGATTAGCAATGACGCTTGTAAGTTTGATTGTTAATTTTAGATGGCTGAAATGCTGATAAATATAGCACCCAAGGGAATATTTGCTCCGGGATCCGTGTGGCAAGGATCAACGGAAGGAGATGTTGATATTTATGGACACGATTCATACCCTCTAGGGTTTGATTGCGCCCATCCTTACACCTGGCCCGCGGGGTCCATACCTACGACTTTCCATACGACCCATGAGCAAGAAAGTCCATCAACCTTCTATTCCCTTGACGAGTTTCAGGGGGGTTCTTTTGACCCGTGGGGCGGTCTTGTTAGCTTTTCCTGAACTGGGCATCGGTTTCTGAGCTAATTAATCCAGGGATTTGCACAATGTTCTGTGCTTTTGAACATGGAGTTTCAGCGAGTCTTTTATAAGAACAACTTTGCTTCAGGTGCTACTTTATTGAATCTTTATATGATTTGTAAGTGTTTCCTCGAATGATATTGCTCGGTGTACCAACTAACTTAATCCAGATGGTGGAACGTAAGTTTCAAATTCCGAAGCTCTGGCGATCATTCAGATGAAATCTGTCAAGTCACATTCCTGAAATGCTCTACAAGTTGTGGGACATTGTTCTCAACCACCTATCTTAACCGCTAACACTATGTTTTAGAAACTGGGGCAATCTAGGTCATCCAGGTAAGCTATCAGTCTTTTCTAATGTGAATAATTCTGACACAATAAAGGTGGTTACACCAGTTACGATTATGGATCAAGCATCGCCGAGAATCGCGAGATATACCGTGAGAAATACAGCGAATTAAAGCTTGAAGCCAACTTTCTCAAGGTTTCACCCGCATTGCTCACAGCATCCGTCGGCACTGGTACCAATGGGACGTATACAGACTCCTCTGATATGTTTACTACTCCATTGTTAGGTAATGGAACCGCAACAAACTTTTAGTAAGATGCCCCCCTAAACGAAATATGGGTCGCAAAAAATTAATTCCGAATGTAGCGTGGTCAGACATTCAGACTACCAGCAAACGACCTCATCGACTTACAAGCTAAATCTGAATACTAGCCAAGGGCTTTTGTCCATCCCCCAACTTAACGGCAGCTTGACTCTGAGTGGCAGAGACTCCAAGTTCCATGTCACTGATTACGATCTTGGTGGAACTGCTCTGCTTTATTCAACTGCCGAGATTTTCACTTGGAAGAAGTTCAACAAGCAAACCGTTCTAGTCGTCTACGGTGGCTCTGGAGAACAACATGAGTTGTCCGTCGTCACATCAAGTCTAGCAAAGCAAGTTGAAGGCACTGGAGTTACAACCAAGAGTACAAATGCTACCACGATACTCAACTGGCAGACGTCGTCTGATCGGCAAGTTGTACAAGTTGGTGATCTTCTGGTGTATATCTTAGACCGGAACTCGGCATACAACTACTGGGTCCCTGACTTTGTCCGAACTGATGCATGGGGAGCTTAGTTAGTGATCAATACATAACTTTAAGAGATACCCAAAAGCTAACGTGTTTTAGTACCGCAAATATTGGAAACACAACGTCAATTATCGTGGAAGCTGGATATCTAGTTCGATCCGTTTATATCGAAGGAACCGCTCTTCATATTGATGGTGACATCAACGCTACAGTTCCAATCAAGGTCATTGGAGCACCAGCCAACACCAAGGATCTTCATTTCAACAGTGTGAAGTTGGATTTCACTACCGACCCAGTCACAGGAGAATGGACATCACAACTCAAATATGCAGAGCCAAAAATCGATATTCCCGACCTTTCATCCCTCGACTGGAAATACCTTGACGACCTCCCGGAAATAAAATCCACCTACGATGACTCGGCCTGGACAGTTGCTGATCACAACTCAACCAATAATCCAAACACTTTGAAAACGCCCACTTCTCTCTATAGCAGCGACTACGGATACAGTACCGGGGTTTTGATCTACAGAGGCCACTTCGTGGCTACAGGTAATGAAACCAAACTCGACATTAGTACCCAGGGAGGAAGTGCTTTCGGCTCATCCGTCTGGATAAATTCAACATACATCGGTTCATGGGCTGGAATTGACGCTGCATCAGCCAACAACGCCACCTACACACTTCCCAACCTCTCCGCCGGAAAGCCCTACATCTTCACCGTTGTGGTCGATAACCAAGGCCTAGACGAAAACTGGGTAGTAGGACCCGATGAAATGAAACTTCCCCGCGGCATCCTCAATTACGCACTCAGCGGCCACGCACAATCGGATATCAGCTGGAAGCTTACCGGAAACCTCGGCGGCGAAGATTTCATCGACAAAGCACGAGGACCTTTGAATGAGGGCGGGTTGTATGCCGAACGCCAGGGCTTCACGCAGCCTTACCCACCAAATCATAATTGGGTTGCTGGAGCTCCGGAGACGGGAATCAAGAGTGCTGGTGTTGCTTTCTATCAAGCGGACTTCAGGCTGGATTTACCGAGGAACTATGATATCCCACTGTTCTTTAACTTTGGCAATACGACCCTCAACGGGAGCGTGGCGGATTATAGAGCGCAGTTGTGGGTTAATGGTTGGCAGTTTGGGAAATATGTCAATAATATTGGACCACAGTCTTCATTCCCGGTTCCGCAAGGTAAGATTTCCCTACTAAAAGATACGGTATATGGACAGGCGCTGATAAATATAGGTATTCTGGATTACCATGGGCAAAACTGGCTTGCGATTGAGCTTTGGGCTCAACAAGCTTCAGGGGCCCAATTGACAAACTTCACTTTAGAAGCTGGTACGCCAGTTTGGACCTCAATAAAAGAGCCAGAGACGGCTCCCAGGCCGAGCTACAGTAAGAGGGAGGGCGCTTACTGAACTAAGCATACTAGGTAGTGAGTGATTGGGTATTTGTGTAATGTACAAATCTACAAGTATATACAACATCTGTCTGCCTATCAATGGCGGAACATAAGAGAGGCGATGATGGCCACTATGGTTGCTCCAGTAGCAGCCCCTTCCAATGCAATAATCGTAACATCTTGTTTTCGCATCTGTACAAGCCGTTCACTGAACAGATCTTGCACAGCATCTTGTACAGCAGCAACTGACCACGTTTCTGGCACTCTAGTGCTAAGCTGCTTGATTAAAGCAGCGGGGAAATGCATCTCGGCGGTATCAAGAGCAGCCTCTTCCTCTGGCTCGCCTCTAATACCAGCCACAAGCGCATCAACAGCCGGCTCAGCACCCCCCTCCATCTCCTCTTCCAGTTCCTCAACCCCAGCGGCAACAATGCCATCCAACGACACATCTTCTACCTTCTCCGCATCTAGTTGTTTGAATTGTGCAATCTTTTCTTTCTCCAATGCTTCCCTTACCTTCTCCTCAAACCCATGCACTAACCTCCTCCGCCTCCATGGCTCAAACCCAAACTGAAACACCAAGAACAACAGCACATTAACACCCATTAGCCCCCAAGTTCCCCACGTACTCATTCGTCTGATCTTATCACTCCAAATTTGCTCTTCGTGATACCGGCTCAGAATGCTGCTGCTGAGCTTACTAGCCGCATGTTCAGCCTCCCTCTCCGCGTCTGCGAGTCTAGTAGCAGATTCCTGCACTGCCTGTTCATTACTGTGATCCATACGATACAGCGACGTGAAGCGTTCCAGATCCAAGGGCGTCCATGAATCTTTCCTGGCCAACAGCCCCGTGACTTCTCGTTGTGTAGATGCTCTGTCCGCTACTGTGGTTTTGTACACGAGTCTTGCTGCCCGCACAGCTTCTTGGGCTTCTTGTACGCGGTTCTCGAGGGACGTGATGCGGCCTTTTAGGGCTTCGATGCCGGAGTAGCCGGTTAGGTCGTTGATGCGTTGGGAGGCTATGAAGATGTTGCCTTGCAGGTGGTCCATGAGGTGGGAGAAGCGTTTTGTGAGTTGGTTTCGACGGCTTTCTCTTGCCGATGGGAGGTCGGAGGAGATCTCGTCTGGAATGGCGGATTCAGAAGAAGGGAGGTCTGTCTTCGGGGGGCTTGGAGGGGGTGGTTTGGGAGATTCGACATATTGCCGTGTTTGGGAACGAATGTTACATTGTATACAAGTTGATGTGCGGAAGGAGGAGCGATTGCATATTCGGATTGCTTGTGAAGCTGAAGATGGGAAGGAATCTAAAAAGAGCCGGGGCACGATTCGGGCCAGTGGTTGCATGGCCGTTCTTCTTGGGCGGAGATTGGGCGAGTGACGGGTGTTGTAGCTTGAACCTTTTTTGAGGTTGAGAGCTTTGAATTCTGCCGGGTCAGATCGCCATTGACCGCCTTGAATGAGGGGTGAAAATGGATTCACCCCCACCATCACTTCCAGATTTCAACCTAAATCTGCTATAGAAACTCTTCCTTCTTTCAATTATTGGAGTGGAAAGACTGTGTTTCTTTCGAATTGTAATTCTTCAAGTTAAGTAAGTTTTTCATCTCTCCGGTTAAATACTCTCCCAACAGAACAGAATCCAATTATTCACCCGAAGTTGTACACGTTGTAGCTTAAAGAGGTTCTTCACTTCTTCAACACCAAATTCTAACAATCCTACAGGACAATAAGCTATACCCTTCAAGATGGCTCCTTCAACTCTCCCCGCCATGAAAACCAACCCTAAGTTCATCTTCTTCTCCGACTTCGACGGCACCATCACAACCCGCGACTCCAACGACTTCCTCACAGACAACCTTGGCTATGGCGAGAAGCTACGCAAGCAAGGCAACCAAGACGTCCTGCACGAAAGGATGTCTTTTCGGGACTCCTTCCAGGGCATGATGGACAGTGTCAAGACCCCTTATGATAAATGTATACAAACCTTGGTGGAGAACATCAAGCTGGATCCACACTTCAAGGAGTTCTATGAATGGGCTAGACAAAACAACATACCAGTCGTTATACTGAGCAGTGGTATGGTGCCGATTATTAGGGGTTTGTTAGTCCATCTCTTAGGGCCTATAGGCGAGGAAATTGAGATTGTGAGCAATGATGTTGCGCCGAGGGATGGGAAGAGTATCAATGAGGAGGGTGGGTGGCAGATTGTATTCCATGATGACAGGTAAGTTATCTCTGAAGAGATGTCAAAGAAAGCAAAATTACATGCTAATTGATGTAAATAGCCACTTTGGCCATGACAAGTCAATTGAGATCAGAGGGTACCAACAGCTCCCGGACAGTGAACGACCAGTCATGTTCTATGCCGGAGATGGAGTGTCAGATCTTTCTGCCGCAAAGGAAACTGACTTGCTTTTCGCAAAGAAACACCATGGTAAATATTCCCTATACCTCACACGAAGCATAGCCTCTGACGAATATAGATCTCGTCACTTATTGCGTAAAGCAAGACGTCCCATTTACAGAATTTGAGGACTGGTCGTCCATCTTGGCTACGGTTAAGAAAATTGCAGCTGGGGAGACTGATGTCAAGACTGTTGCTGCTGAAGGACATGAAGCATTCAAGAGAGAAAATAGCAAGAACTAGAGTTCATAGATTTAGATTCGTATCGAGCGCACGTAGACCTTTTTCGATTGAAGGATAAAATAGAGCATTCATTTCTTCAGGTCAATTCCAACCCCGAATGTCTTGTCCTCAGTGGTTTATCGAAGACATCTCCCAAGAGACTAATTGGGATCAACTACACAAGTCTCGTATACTTACAGGATTTGGTATCTCCAAACTCCATAGTTTTACACCAATAACCCCCAATATCTTAGATTGATTCATTTGATTCCGCCCTTATTAGATCCCTAATGCTCAATAGCACTTTCCTCCAATGCCTCAACCGCATTCTCCAGCTCCCTAAGCCTCCCCCCAATTCTTTTCTTCACCTCCTCCCCATCCGCACCCCCCAGTGCCTCTTCATACAAACCCCGCAACACATCTAGCTCAGTCCGTGCAGCCTCCCGATCATCCGCCGCATACACGGTCTTCTTCTCCGTCTCCTCGGCCGCTATCTCGAACTCATCGCGCGCGGTGGCGTATTGGTCTTGGAGCTTCTCCATGATGGCGTCGGCGGAGGATTTATCCGCATAGGTGCGCAAGATGATGGCGGAGGAGCGAGGGAGGAATGCGGTAGGGGAGGGTGTTGGACGGGAGAGGCTGGCTTTGAGAGCGATGGCACTGAGGGGACGAGAGAGCGAGTAGCATTGCGTGCATATGGCTCTCGGAGCTCTTCGAGCTACATTTGCTCTAAGGGAGAACATTATAAACCTCCTTCTATTGTAAGCTTCTCGAATAAATCTGATAGAATAAATAAAATTCCGGTTGTGCGATGGCGAGGAAATCGTACTGTAATGTACTGTAATTGTTGACTTTCGGGAGGGTGGAGCTACTGTGGAGCTTCATGTAGAGCTTCAATTTGCCCCCGGTCAACCTTCTGACTTCTCTGACGGACGGAACACGAGGCATTTACAGGTTCTGAATTCACAACCCATATACCAATGGCCGATGTAATTGCACCTCCAAGGCATATTGCCCTCTATCGGCAAGTAAGGAATTTTGCTCTTTTTGAGCATCCGCTGTCCAAATATGGCCCCCCTTTACTTCTCCTAGCAGATGGACTACTTACCAGTCTGATTGTTTCGAAAGTAGCATGTTAGTTATACCTCAGTTCCCACCATCTATCCGGATCGTAGCTAATTAGGTGGCATTATAGATACCGAGATCGATTGGACGACGTATATGCAACATATTGAGCTGTATGTAAATGGAGAGACAGATTACACCATGTTCACTGGGTCAACAGGACCGCTGGTCTATCCCGCTGCGCATGTGTATGTTTACTGGGCCTTGTATCATATTACGGATAAGGGGAAGAATATCCTGCTTGCGCAGCGGATCTTTGGGGTGCTGTATTTGGCTACGATTGCTGTAGCTATGGCATGTTATAGACGGGCGAAGGTACGGATGTCCTGGAGCAATGGCCTAGAAACGTTTGTCGGTTTTCTAACCTGTTCTACTTGATAGGCTCCCTTGTACATATTTCCGATGCTCATTTTATCGAAACGTCTCCACAGCATCTTCGTCCTCCGCCTCTTCAACGATTGTTTCGCCGTCTTCTTCCTCTGGATCGCCATCTACACTTTCCAGCGCCGGTTATGGACCCTTGGTTCTTTGGCATACAGCTGGGGACTGGGTATCAAGATGTCTCTACTACTGTCGCTTCCAGCAATTGGAGCTACGCTGTTTTTAGCCAGAGGTGTGCAAGCCAGCATCAAGCAAGCATGGTTAATAGCGCAGGTACAAATTATCATTGCCTTTCAATTCATGCCGACAAACGCAATTGGATATTTCAGCAGAGCTTTCGAGTTCTCGAGGCAGTTCTTGTTTAAGTGGACGGTTAATTGGAGGTTTGTGGGAGAAGAAATATTTTTGAGCAGGGAGTTTTCCACCACTCTACTAATAGGACATATCAGCGCTCTGGTACTTTTCATCACGACGAGATGGTTAAGGCCTGCTGAAGAACCAATTACGGAAATGATCAGGAATGCATTGAAGTGGGAAGAGCCTCTGGGGAAGATGCAACATGCCATATCTATCCGGGTATCTCCTAACTTCATCCTCACAAACATTTTGACGGCCAATGCTATTGGTATGCTATTTGCGCGGTCCCTCCACTACCAGTTCTATGCCTACATCGCACTAGCAACCCCGTTCCTCCTCTGGCGGAGTGGATTGCATCCAATCTTTCAATATTCGTTGTGGATAGCTCAGGAATGGGCATGGAATGTTTATCCCAGCACCAACATCAGTTCGATGGTTGTGGTTGGGGTGTTGTTTGTTACGGTGGCAAGTGTTTGGTACGGTACTCGCAAGGACTTTGTTAATCCAAAGGGCGAGGGCGCGGCGAGTAAGACATTCACTTGATCCTTTGAGTAAAAGTGTTACCGAATGTGGACAACGTCGTTGGCCAACGGGCGCTCGATATTGCACCTATTCCTCCTCGGAGTCGTACGAAGGGGGCATCTTTCCGACGGTGGATTCTTCTTCGTCTGAATCTTCTGGATATGCAGATGCTTTGGGGAACTCCTTAGGCCTGGTAAAAAACCAGTTAGCAAAAGATTTGCAACCTCTTCAAATATTATTCTCACCAATATGACTCCTTCCGCCACATATGCTCATTCCGAACGACGTTTATGATCTCGCCAGCCAGCTTGTTCTGGCGGACATCGGCGTCTTTGGTGTCAATCAGGACAAATCCTCCATTCTTGATCCAGATGGTATTTCGGAACCGCGACGGAAGCTCGACGAGCACTGCCTTCTTGTTGGGCAGGGTGCAGGAGTAGAGGCTGTTCCCTTCGGCTTTGACAACGCGCGCTATTGATTGGGTGAGACTTAAGGTGGATGGCGGGGTAGATGTTTCTTCGGCGGCTGCGAAAACGTTCCTCTTTGGTTTCCCCATGTCGTCTATAAGATCGTGGATCAAACTAAAAGCAGGATGGTAGAATAAGCTTTCACCCGTGGGATTTTGGGAATGTGACGGCAAGACTTTCCGGTTGTATTGAATACTGGTACAACATTTTCAAAAATTTCCATCTGGGGACGGGACGGGAGCTAAGGATAATAGTTTTACCGGGACGTCTAAACGCGTGGGCAAGTTTAGACCGGACTAAACGGCTGGTCAATTTCTCAGCACTGTCAGCAGCTCTGTTCCTCTCCTTTGCTGATGCGCCAAAATGTTTTTAACATGCAGCTGGTGCAAGAACGGTTGGTCATCGTATTCCCAACGGTCTGCAAAGAGCGGTCCACAGCCGTCCATAGATCCATTGACGGCTGCTATACGCGGGGTCTTTATCGGACCCCAGTCCAGAGCCAGTGCTCAATTATGGGTCCGATGTCTATCGATTCATAGCCGTCGCCGTCTGATTCCGTACCCTATCCTATGCTCTCTAGAGGGGGGAACTTGCGTTATCTTAGAGGAATTCCCTAGCGTTCTTTTCACCATTTATATGTCTATTTTTTTATTTCCCACCCACAAGTCTCTTTTCCTACATTCCACCTACCATCATCACTCATATTGAGGTCCCCAAAACCCGGCATTCCCTTCTGCCATCGTTGGTGTATGTAGAAAATAACCGACCTAGCCAACATGTCGTCGCACGCTTTTAGCGCATTCATTAATGTCGAGCCATCTTCAAGCAGTGGGGAAGAACATGCGGTTCCAATTGCTCCGCAGAAAGCTGTATCACGGGTGTACCACTCTGTGCCTCAAGAGCATACCCCAGCTCCTCTTGAGCTCGACAACCTCCAGTGGGGAAAGAAGCTCAAGGGCCCCGATGTTACCGAATCTGGGTACCCCACACCCTCTGGAGCTCAAACTCCCAGTGGGTTTCAGACTCCCCGGTCACCCAACGACCTTGAGATGAGCAGAGCTCCAAGCCCGATAAATGAGGAGGATGGAGTGGATGTTACACAAAGCTTCTCCAACCCACCCATGAACAGGTTCCGCATGGTATCGGTATGCCTACTAAACTTTGGCAATGGATTAGGTGATGCAGCGCCTGGTGCTTTGATTCCTTACATGGAGAAGTAGGTTCCTCTCAAAGCGTCAATTTCGAATATATACTAAATCGTTATAGGCATTATAATATCGGATACGCTATCGTCTCCCTTATTTTTGTTACTAATGCCGTTGGATACATATTGGCCGCTTTCTTGGTCGACGCAATCCGAGCTCGATTTGGAAGAGCCAAAACCCTAATGTTTGCAGAAGCAATGATGTCTGTCGGATATGTTGCAATAGTTTGCACTCCGCCATTCCCTGTCGTCGTTGCAGCCTTCTTCCTCCTTGGTCTAGGAGAGGCAACCAACCTTGCCATGGGAAATGTCTTTGCGGCAAACTTGCACAATGGAACGAAGATGCTGGGTGCAATGCATGGAGCTTACGGTCTAGGAGGCACAATTGGTCCCCTTATGGCCACTGCAATGGTAACATCTGGCCATCTGATATGGAGTCGATACTACCTACTCGTCTTAGCTGTCACTCTCTCCAACCTCGCTTTCGCCGGGTGGTCATTTTGGCATTACGAGGCTGAATCTGGTCAGCCATTACTTGACACAGTGCAAAGAGTCGCTTCTCAAACCCAGAATGGACTGCCTCAAACCAAGCAACCCGGACAGTTCGCAGGAATGGCGAAAGCGTTCAAATCAAAAACCGTTATGCTTGGTGCTTTGTTCATCTTTTGCTACCAGGGAGCAGAAGTTTCAATTTCCGGATGGGTCATTTCTTTCCTGATCGCTACTCGACATGGAAATCCTTCTGCAGTTGGATATGTGTCGGCTGGATTCTGGGCCGGTATTACGCTGGGTCGCTTCTTATTATCTCACCCGGCGCACAAGATTGGAGAAAAAGTCTTCGTCTACGGTATGGTCATCGGAGCCGCTATCTTCGAATTATTGGTTGTAAGGATAACCGGCTCTTTGATTTTACCCTTACCACTTCTATCATGTTTCGTCTCATGTACTCCAAATACTCCTTACATACTTCCTAAAAAGAGAACTTCTTCTGCTCTCAAAACACTCTTGAATAAGGAATAACTAACTCCCCCGTGATCTAGTGGCAAGTCCCGAATGTTATTGGAGATGCAGTTGCGATTGCCTTTGTTGGTTTGTTGTTGGGACCAGTCTATCCCTGTGCAACGGTTGTCTTCTCGAGAGCGATTCCACGAAAAGAGCAGGTTAGTGGCTTGGGTGTCATCAGTGCTTTTGGATCTTCTGGTGGGGCTGTTGCACCCTTTACCACAGGTATCCTGGCTCAGGCCGCTGGTACCTTTGTCTTGCATCCTATCGCCATTGGGCTGTTTGGGGCAATGCTAATCATCTGGTTTTGCCTACCAAACATCAGGAAGAGAACTGAGTAGGCTATTCAAGAAAGATGTTCGATTAGTAAGATGGGAGAATAAAAGTTCTGCAAGGAGAATTGGTGGATATCGTTCTTTGATTTTCTTCCTTTCCAAGGAATTGATTTTACTTGAGCATTTGCGGAGGCGCTGTGGCGTTTATTCCTTCTGGATGGACGCTGGGACATGGCTGAACGGAGCTTGCGGAAGATACCATGGAGTTTTTATGACTTTAGGACATGGGCGTTCATAATTGCGGATTTGATAATGGGTTATAGAGTGGGTTATAGAATTGGTCATAGTGATACGGGGCATAACAGTAACAGAGGGATGAAAGATTCAGCTATTCTGAAGGATAAGTTCGTAAGGACTTTACACTCCTTTATATAGCAGCCAGATGCAAAAGCTTATTATGCTATGCTTAACAATCAAAACGCGACGTTTACTCGAGGTGATTTAGTTTATTCTGGTAGCAAGCATGTGACGACAACTATACTCCAGCACAATAAGTACAATTAACTCAAGCGCAATTTACTATCGAGCTTACACACAGGACAAGACATCGGCTGAAAACATTTCGGCATTCGAAATATTTCCCGCCTCCCCTTTTTCATACTATAATATCCCCGATCTCCAAGCCGATTTGTACCCATCCATTTCCCCGGATTTAAGATCTGGGGAACACCAAGTGACATGTTGAACCGAGCCGAGGCTCGGCATTGGACAACTTCGGCCAAACCACCTGGTGACCTAGGGCGTTTGCACAAGCTTCTACTTTACTTTAGTTGACTCGATTCCTGCCCACAGTAGCTTTGCCCATACACATATTTTTACCTTTTATCTCATCCCTATCGTAAGACAGACAGAATGGCATCAATTATCAAGACACTGCGCCCTGCAGTTCAACGGGCAACGACATACACGGCACGTTCAGCTGTTAGAACTGCTGTTAGAACTGCTGGAGCAAGAAGAATAGGGCAGCAGCAGTTTGTCTCGGAATCTCAGGATACCTGCTCAGATTTACTAATATTCTTACCAGTGCAAGACCTCTCTCATCCACCGCCCGACGACGCAACGAAGCCGTCGATATCAGCGAAATCCCTCCAACGCCCATCACGCACCTTTCCGAAATCGAAGCCGCAATGGCCGACTCGGTCTCAAAATTCGCTAACGATATTATTGGACCCAAGGTGCGAGAGATGGATGAGAAGGAGTCGATGGACCCTACTGTTGTAGAGCAGCTGTTTGAGCAGGGTCTCATGGGCGTGGAGATTCCCGAGGAGTACGGTGGTGCGGGAATGAACTTCACAGCTGCTATCGTGGGTATTGAGGAGCTGGCTAGGGTGGATCCGAGTGTAAGTGTTATGGTGGATGTACATAATACGCTGGTCAATACGGCGGTGTTGAGGTATGGGAGTGCGGAGTTGAAGAAGAAGTGGTTGCCAAGATTAGCGACGAATACTGTTGGTATGACATTTTCTCCCTAGACGAATTAGGGGTACGTTTGCTAACATTCTAGGCTCTTTCTGTCTCTCTGAACCCATTTCAGGATCAGATGCTTTTGCTCTTGCCACCAAGGCTACCAAAACCGATTCGGGATATAAGATATCGGGTGGCAAAATGTGGATCACCAACTCCATGGAAGCTGAATTCTTTATTGTCTTTGCAAATCTCGATCACAGCAAAGGTTACAAAGGTATCACAGCGTTTGTCGTTGAGAAAGGCACCAAGGGCTTCTCAATAGCCAAGAAAGAGAAGAAGCTGGGTATCAAGGCTAGCAGCACGTGCGTGCTGAACTTTGACGATGTCGAAATCCCAAGGGAGAATCTACTAGGTGAAGAAGGACAGGGATATAAATATGCCATCGCCTTGTTGAATGAAGGACGAATCGGCATTGCCGCCCAAATGACTGGTCTAGCACTCGGCGCTTTTGAAAACGCCGCAAAGTAAGCTGATTCCAAATGCCAAATTTCACATGCTAACTACGGCTCTCCAGATATGTCTGGAACGATCGAAAGCAATTTGGCCAGCTGGTTGGCGATTTCCAGGGAATGCAGCACCAGATTGCACAGTCGTATACCGAAATTGCTGCAGCCAGAGCTCTGGTATACAACGCAGCGCGGAAGAAGGAAGCAGGCGAGGACTTTGTGCAAGATGCTGCGATGGCGAAGCTTTATGCATCACAAGTCGCCGGTAGAGTGAGTGGTCTTGCTATTGAGTGGATGGGCGGTATGGGGTTCGTGAGAGAAGGTATTGCAGAGAAGATGTGGAGAGATAGCAAGATAGGAGCCATTTACGAGGGGACCAGCAATATCCAGCTCACGACCATCGCGAAGTTGTTGAAGAAGCAGTACTCGACGTCGTAGAGGTTAGGTCGATTGGTAAATTGGATAATTAGATTATTGGGTACCGAGATGCGATGGTTAGGCATAGCTGACGGCGATCCTGAAGTCCTGAGGGTTTACAAAGAGTATGTAATCTTTTCGGAGGCTGAAATCTAGGACTTTTTCAAGTCCTGGAGGATGGAGATTATAGATCTAGTCTACTATTTGGATGGACTACTGTATGGAGAGAATTCCTTAACCTCTACCTAAGAAATATTGTTATGATTCCTCATAAACAGGACTCGTACTATAATATGAAAATATATTGGCGATAATGCCTCCATACCCCTGACAATGACGAAGGTGGAAAAGGATGGCATAGACAGACTACCATAGGTTGGGCCGGCATACAGAGTGAACAGATTGAGGCACGCCTGAGCCCGTAGCCGCGACCAGTAGTAATGGCTCTGGTGGTTGAGCAAGAAATGCAATAATAGAAGGGATTCGAGAATCTAGAATTATACCGTTGAAGCGGAACTATTGACTGCAGTGACTCCACACCACAAAACAAGGCGATATCCCGAGCCAAGTAGGTTTGTTTATTTTGACCCCTCCATGCGATACAGTACTGTACTGTGCCAACCCAGCTAGAAAGACAAGGACAAGTACGAGACGAGACGAGTACAACAACGCGCAGCTCCGAACACCAAGGAAGCTTCTTTCTGGACACTTGCAACATCGACCGCGACTGGTCTCTTTGTTGGAAATTCCATCACTCGTACTACGTCCTTTTTCGAAAACCTAAAGGATATAAATCTCAACCGTTTTCTCCTGATAATCAACTGCCGCGGCATTCTCCACGCACGCATCCGAACCGTTTGCCTTAGGTACTGTACTGTACAGCTGGCTAGAGGTGGCTGAGTCCTACCTACACTACAGTACCATTTTGTCGCCCATCGTCTCCGCTCTCTCCTCACGTGTAGTGCGAACCCAAAAAATCCAATATTGGCATTCGAGACGCAACGCGAGTGATTTGCGACCAAAGCGCGTTGCGCATAATTCATGTGTTGGTCGCATATTGAATAGTTGAGCTGAGCTGAGCTGACCAGCTGTTTTACTGTTGACTACACTGCTCTCGCTAGCACATCTGATTCCAAATCCACAACACCATCATAATACCCCACTTCGCAGAAAGGACCACCAATCCCCCCTCCCCCCCCCCCTACGACAGCAACAGAGCAGAGCACATCGCGACGAGGAGAGACGCGCCACATAATCCGCCATCATGAATAACGACGACGACGCCCTCAGCTCGGTCTACAAGAAGATCGAGCGCGAGAGGGCCCTGCTCAATGCCGCAAACCAGATGAGGCAACAGACACAGAATGAGCAGGTCCGCTCGAGGATAGACACCCAGATACGCGAGGGGCGCCGGAACATCCAATATCTAGAGGAGAGAATGCAGGAGCTGCAGATGCGGAGGATGGGTCAAGGGGTGGACAATATGAATATAGGACCGAGCAGGACTCAAAGCTCGGGTCTCAGAAACGACAGAGATGGTCCACCTACCCCACCTCCAAAGGACTCGCGAGGAGGTTATATAGATGCGGGTCCAGACAGAGGAGGATATGGGACGCCAGAATATAGCCAGGTCGGAGGTCATGGTGATATGATGCCTCCCAGACACCCATACGCCCCTCCTGGACCTGACCAGAGCATGCCGAGAACACGCCCAAACTTTACAAAACTAGGTGCGTGATAATTCCCAGCTTCACATTACTATGTGCTAATCGCAATTTTCAGATCTCATCAAATATGATACCCCATATCTCGGCCCCCGCATCCAGCTTATGTTATCGCAACTGGAATTCAAGCTGAACGTTGAAAAGCAATATCTTAAAGGTATCGAGAAGATGGTCCAGCTATATCAGATGGAGGGCGATAGAAAAAGCAGGGCAGATGCTGCGGGTCGCAGAATTGAGAGCAATCAGAAGATTCAGCTCCTCAAGCAAGCGCTCAAGAGATACGAGGACCTTCACATTGACATGGAAAGCACCGCGGATGCACCAGATGGTAAAACTTCCTTCTACCTTTATCCTAGCAAACAACACTAATAATCAATCTGCAGATGACAGTATAAATATGCCAAATATGCGGAAGCCTTTGACTGGACTCCTCTCCATTCGGATTCATGCGGTCAAGGACGTCGATCATGCTACCACCGGTCGATTTGCTAGAGGTCCTGAGACATTTGTTGCTGTAAAGGTCGAAGACAATGTTGTAGCACGTACTAGAACTTCCAGGACTGATAGATGGGACAACGAGTATCACAATCTAAACGTGGACAAGGCGAACGAGATCGAGTTGACGGTCTACGACAAACCCAGCGATCACCCACTTCCAATTGGTCTCTTGTGGGTTAGAATATCCGATATCGTGGAAGAGATGCGTCGCAAGAAGATCGAGGCTGAGATCAACAGCTCTGGTTGGGTCTCTGCAGACAGAATGGGCAGTGGCTCCGCACCTGGTGCACCACCACCCGCACAGTTTCCTTCGCAGACATCATTCGGTGGCCCACCCCAGAGTGCGGGTGCAGGTGCAGCAGGAAATCCTGTATTAGGAGTGGGGGGAAGTGTGGTTGCACCACAACCTATAGATGCCTGGTTTGCACTCGAGCCCACAGGTGCTGTGCATCTTACCATAAGTTTTACCAAGCAAGCAAAAGACCGCCGGCCCTTCGATGCCGGACTCAACAGAAAGGGTGCTATTCGACAACGGAAAGAAGAAGTGCATGAAATGTACGGTCACAAGTTCGTGTCACAGCAGTTCTATAACATCATGCGCTGTGCTCTCTGCGGCGAATTTCTCAAATACTCCGCTGGCATGCAGTGCGAGGACTGCAAATATACTTGTCACACCAAGTGCTATCCCAGTGTGGTCACTAAGTGTATAAGCAAATCCAACGCAGAGACAGATCCGGACGAGGAGAAGATCAACCATCGGATTCCCCATCGTTTCGAGAAGTTCTCGAATATGAGCGCAAATTGGTGCTGTCACTGTGGTTATATCTTACCATTCGGAAAGAAGAATTGTCGCAAATGTTCCGGTAAGTTCTCATCTATCATGAATAACGGGTTCTCCAGCTAATGATTCGCAGAATGTGGTCTTACGTGTCATGCAGGATGCGTGCACCTTGTTCCGGATTTCTGTGGTATGTCAATGGCTGTGGCCAATACAATTCTCGATGGTATCAGGAATCAGAAACGACGGCAGACATCCCAACCATCCATGAGTGGTCGTACTCTAAGGCCGCAATCTCAAAAGCCAACTTCTCCTCAAGAACAGCAAGGACAATTCAACGATCCTCGTGCTTCATATGGCTCTCAAGAACAAGTCCGACCTCCCAGGGCTCAATCTTATGGGCCTACTTCTGCTTCGTCTCCCGAGGCAGCAGAAGCTGCAAAGGCGATGTATGCCCAACAACAAGGGCAAACATCACCAGGAAGACCCGCCGGACCAGACAGAACTTCTTCGGCCTCTGCCGCTGCCGCTGCAGCCGCTGCAATGTCAGGAACCGGGCAACGATCATCGTCTCAAAGGGATCCTTACAATAGATCGTCAACTGACTACCGTCCTACTGCCACTGGTTATCCACCTCGCCTCGAGTCTCATCCCGAAGATGGGTATGGCGCACCTCCTAAGCCGCAAGCTTCCGCTCAATCAAGCTACAACCCAGCGGCGTATGCTCAAGTTAGTGGTTATCCTACGCAACCTCTCAACCAACCACAAGTACAGCCGATTCAACAATCGCCAACTGCTGCACTGTATGGGCCAAATTCTCAAGTACAGCAAGAACCAGCTCCTGTTGCCCAGCCCGCTGCTGTGATTCAGCGGAAAGCCCCTCCTCCAGTGGACGAGGCTAGCAAAACAACCCCCCGCATTGGTCTTGACCATTTCAATTTCCTCGCTGTCCTTGGTAAAGGTAACTTTGGTAAAGTCATGCTTGCGGAAGCGAAGCAGTCGAAGCAACTATATGCCATCAAGGTCCTTAAGAAGGAGTTCATCATCGAGAACGATGAAGTTGAGAGTACTCGATCGGAGAAGAGAGTGTTCTTGATTGCCAATAAGGAACGCCATCCATTCTTACTAAGCCTTCATGCATGTTTCCAAACGGAAACGAGAGTTTACTTCGTTATGGAGTACATCAGTGGTGGAGATCTTATGCTGCATATTCAACGTGGTCAATTTGGCACAAAACGTGCACAGTAAGTTATGGTGTTTCCTTGTTTTGAAGTTATACTAAGCAATTTACGCAGATTTTATGCCGCAGAGGTCTGCCTAGCATTGAAATACTTCCATGAAAATGGTGTAATATACCGTGATTTGAAGTTGGACAACATCATGTTGACACTAGACGGACATATTAAAGTTGCCGATTACGGTCTTTGTAAGGAAGATATGTGGTACGGGTCAACGACAAGTACTTTCTGTGGTACACCTGAATTTATGGCTCCTGAGGTAAGCTCCACTTCCGCCTGTTAGAACAATAACAGCTAACTTTGCAAAGATCTTGCTGGACAAGAAATACGGCCGCGCTGTCGATTGGTGGGCATTCGGTGTTCTCATCTACCAAATGCTGCTTCAACAGTCTCCCTTCCGAGGTGAAGATGAGGACGAAATATATGACGCCATCCTTGCGGATGAGCCCCTATACCCCATCCACATGCCTCGTGACTCAGTATCGATCCTGCAAAAGCTCCTCACTCGAGAACCAGAGCAGCGTCTTGGAAGCGGACCGACTGATGCTCAAGAGATTATGAGTCAACCATTTTTCAGAAATATCAATTGGGACGATGTGTATCACAAGAGAATCCAGCCTCCATTCCAACCTCAGATTACTAGCGCTACGGATACAAGCAATTTTGACACTGAGTTTACGAGCGTCACTCCGGTGCTGACACCTGTACAGTCTGGTAAGTCTCTTCGCCCTCTTCATGTTCTCGTATGTAGACTAATATTCCCGTAGTGTTATCCCAAGCCATGCAAGAAGAATTCCGCGGCTTCTCCTACTCGGTCGATTTCGTCTGAAGCCTCATCACAAGGGCGAGCCATTAATACACAGACCGCCAGCTATGGCCATGACTTTCGGGCAAGTAACACAAACACCCACTCACTGTACGAAAGCAGAAACTCATTCGTTTATGCTAGGCTATCATGAAAGAAATCAAGGGAAGGCAATTGTCTGCGTTTGGTTGAGCGGGCAGTGAACGAAACAAATGAACGAACGAAAAGTCATGATTCCCACTTCACTTCTAGATTTATTTGGGTGGGCAGGAGGGATATTTACGAAGGGAGGGGAGGGGAGGGGGGCTCGGTGGTGGATTGGAACGATGGGATCGGGGTAGGATGGAAGGGAGGGATGGGCGGATGGGAGGGGATGTTCTTTATACTTCGGATTAGTGGCTCATAGGCCTTTCTTCTTAATAGATCATTGAAACTTTTTTGATAATTCTGTAGGGTGTTGTGTTTTAGTATCTATCTATTGATCGGTACGAGATACTTCCCCCTTCCTTATGATAATACTAGATGGAGTCCAGTTAATTTACAGTACCCCTTCATATCCCATCTTACCTTGTAATGTAAAGAACGTTTCATACAACCTTCATTCGCATTGCATCATATCACATTGCCCCTAAACGCCAAATGAAACATGCCGACCGACCATACAAAAACCTTGCAGCTTATAGAAAGAAAGAAGGCTTTCCTTTCTGTCTGTCTGTCTGCTAGTTCATCCATGTTTCCTTCACTTATTGGTTGGTTGGTTTCTAGGACGGTGCTAGATAGTTGGGGGGGTGTGTACTATATGTAGGTATTAACGTTATATTAAATGACTTGATACGTCTGCTTAAGGCTCGAAATTGGAACAATCTAGCAATCTGACTCTGAATTGCATCCTCCCGCAGTGCTTTTCCTCGCTACCAGGTCCCCCCCCCCCCACACCCCCAACATCACTATCGTCCTATCATCGTCTTTAAGTTTATTCTCCATTTCCGAAGCCGTTATCTGTTCCAGCTCAAGTGCTTCACGTCGATACTTTCTGATCTATAACGGAAACAGGCGTTGTCGCATCACTCAATATAGCCCAGATCGCGGAATGCCCTGTTCAAGATCTCTCGTACTGTTTTCTCCTTTCGCAGGGTGTATTCATTCATTGACTCGCCTGCTGCTTCGGAAGCTGCAGCACACTCACGTTTGACTGTCGCATATAGCTGCAGGTCCTCTGGGGACTTTGAGAGCCATTCGCGGAAAATCCGGTGCCTCTCGACCTCAGGGCAATCCGGCCCAAAGACGTGGAGATGGATAGGATATGCACCAGGGCGGTCTCCTTGGTCAACAAAAAAGCGAGTTTGATGCCAGTCCGGCTGACGCAGGAGGAATAGGAAGCCCAAGCGCTCGAGAGCCTCAACGTAAGAGTCCTCGTCCTTGATGTCCTTTACGACCAGATCGATGTCGATAATATCCTTTGCCGGCAGACCTGAAATACTGGTGGATCCGAAATGAAGAATGGCGACCGCGGTCGAGCCTAGTACAGCTTCAATCCGGGCTTTGGTGTCTGAGAATCGTTGCGGCCACGCCGGATTGGGCTCGACGATGACTATCTTTACTCTAGACTTGCGCTTGTTCACCCTTTCTATAGAACTTCCATCTGTAACGTAATCCCTGACAATGTCCTCGGGAGAAAGTGGCATCGTGAGTTATTTCTTTGCACGTGTGCCGAGCAGTACTGTACTGGGCAAGATCATGTAAGTCGCTCTGGGTGGAAGCCCTGCGTAGGAAACCTTGAATCACGAAAAACGGCGGTACGTTTTGTCTCGTTATACTCGTGGGGTGTCTCGGCACACAGGGATAGACGTTAGTTACGTACGCATTTTAATTCTTTTTTTCAATCAAGATCTACGGTCTATAACTGTAGCTACAGCGAGCGTATAACGCTTCGAAAGCATAAAACGGGTCGTAGCTATTGTATTATTTTCTTTACTTTCCTTTACTCCATTTCAATGGTACCGGGGGGTTTGCTGGTCAAGTCATACTCAACGCGACAGATGCCATCAACCTCGTTCACGATGCGCGTGGAAACGCGCTCGAGGAAATCCCAGTCGAATCTGAAGATATTCGCCGTCATGAAATCGGTGGTTTGGACGGCCTGTTGAGGTTGTCGAGTTAGTTACTGTCTGTTCAAGAGGAAATTTGGGATGGGAGTTTGCAAGCTTCCGCGCTCCCTCGGTATTTCACAGATTTATCTTATCGAGATGCAAATAATAGTCTTGTTGGGACAAAACATAATAAAGGAAATGCTCAAATAATCACTTACCCGTAACGAAATCACCTGCTGATGCACACGCTTATCACCCATGACACCCACTGCCTTCACCGGCAACAAGGCGGCGAATGCCTGGCTGATTTGATCGTACAGGCCTGCGGCTTTGATCTCTTCGATGAAGATGTAATCTGCCTTTCTGGCGATGGCGACTTGTTCCCGTGTTACTTCTCCTAGGACGCGGATGGCGATGCCGGGGCCGGGGAATGGGTGGCGCATTATCAAATCGTGGGGGATACCGAGCTTGCGGCCCATTTCACGAACTTCGTCTTTGAAGAGTTCGCGAAGGGGCTCGATGAGTTTGAGACCTTGGCCGTTCATCATTCGTTCCGGAAGACCTCCGACGTTGTGGTGGGTCTTGATGGTTTGCGACGGACCTTTGAAGGAGATGCTTTCAATTACATCTGGGTAGAGAGTTCCTTGCAAGAAGAACTCGATCTTTCCGGCTTTAGGCGAGTCTGCGGCTGCTTTTTCAATCTTAAGTGCCTCGGCTTCAAATACATCGATGAAGGTGCCTCCGATGAATTTGCGTTTGGCTTCAGGGTTGTCCGTAATGCCTTTGAGACCGTCCAGGAAGAGGTCTGAAGCGTCGACCACGGTAAGGTTGATACCCAAGTGTTCAGTCAAGGTCTTCTTGACTTGCTCGCACTCGTTGAGGCGCATGCAGCCGTTGTCGACGAGGACAGCATGGAACCGGTCTCCAATGGCCTCGTGCATAAGTTTGGCCGCGACTGTGGAATCAACACCTCCACTAACAGCTCCCAAGACTTGTCCTTTCTCTCCCACCAACGCTCGAATCCTAGCAAGTTCCTTGTCCACAAACTTGTCCATGGTCCAGTCTTGCTTTGCCTTGCATATTCCAACCGCAAAGTTTTCCAGCAACTTGATTCCTCGGGGTGTATGAGTAACCTCTGGGTGGAATTGAATTCCATATACTGGCTTAGTTTCGTGCGCAATACCTGCAAACGGGGCGTTTTTCGTAGTCGCAATAATGTGGAAGGAAGGAGGAAGCGCTGCCAGCTTGTCGCCGTGAGACATCCAGACCTTGAGATCATCCTCCAAATCCTTAAATAACAAGTCTACGTGACCGTCGAACCTCTTTGCTTTCAATTCGGAATGGCCAAATTCTCTCTCTGTTCCTGCAACCACATTCTTGCCGTTATGCCATGCTATCTCCTGTAAACCATAACATATTCCAAGTATAGGGACTCCTAGTTCGAATATGGCTGGGTCGACGTGCGGTGCATCATCGTCGTAGACAGAATAGGGACCACCGGACAAGATAATGCCTTTTGGTTTCCAGGAAAGATCTTCTATCTTCTGAGTGCACGGTAGCATCTCAGAGTAGACATTGAGTTCACGCAAGCGTCGTGTAATGAGGTGAGTGTATTGGGAACTGGGATTTTTCTGTCAGGTCTGACTGAGACGCTTTTGATAGAGTAGACGCGTTTTGATTAGGAAATCTACTAACCCAAAATCCAATGTCAGAATAGTATCAAAGGACTTGTGAGGCTCATCGGGGAGCACACCGTTGTTCGCCATACTTTCGATATTTTGGAGATTTTATGTCGAACATGACTCCAACCAGCATTGAGGGGATAGAGGGGTGCAAATTTTGGCGGGGCGTCGGGTTTTCTTCGGTCAGGGGCAAGGCTGATATTTCGCTTGAAGCGCGCTAAATAGCGGGGGGTTGAAGTGAAGTCGCAGTCGCATTAAAATAAAAGAGTCGTCCACTTTGAGTCACACGCGACGCACTTTTCCATAAACACGATTTCTTTTGATTGCTCCATCTGTCAATCGCAAAGATGGCGGACAACGCTGAGGGTCCCTCCAAAAGTGCCCTTAAAAAGGCAGAAAAGCAAGCCAAACAGGCCGCTGAGAAAGCCGCAAAAGCAGCAAAACAAGCAGCCCTTCCTATTGTGGGAGGCAAGAAGTCGGAGGACATAATCGGTATGACAGTCACCAAGGTGGGCAACTTTTCGGCCTGGTATCAGGAGGTCGTTATCAAGGCAGAGATGATCGAGTATTACAATGAAATCGCTGGCTTCTTTATCTTGCGTCCTACTTCCATGTTCATCTGGGCGGAAATCCGAAAGTGGTTCCAAGAGCGAATTGAGTTACTGGGCGTGGAGGAGACAAGCTTCCCTATGTTCTTATCCGCCAAGTCACTAGAGAAGGAGAAGGATCATGTCGAGGGCTTTGCTCCTGAGCTTGCTTGGGTTACCAAAGCGCAAGTTCACCTGCCCTTATCTGCACAGGTTCAAAGCTGACATTTTACTTGCAGTGGAGATAAAGACCTCGAAGTCCCAGTCGCCGTTCGTCCTACCTCTGAAGCTGTCATGTACCCTTACTATTCAAAGTGGATTCGAAGTCATCGCGACCTTCCCTTCCGACTCAACCAATGGAACAGTGTCGTCCGGTGGGAGGCCAAGCAGACAACACCATTCTTACGAGCCAGAGAGTTTCTGTGGCAAGAGGGACATACTGCGCATCTGACAGAGGAACTGGCTGGTGTGGAAGTTCTAGAGATTCTTGAGCTCTACGCTGGAGTCTATGAGCAATTGCTTGCGGTTCCTGTTGTGCGAGGCCGTAAGACTGAAAAGGAGAAGTTCGCAGGAGGATACTACACTACAACTGTTGAAGGCTACATCCCCTCCAATGGCCGTGGTATTCAAGGTGGAACATCTCATTGTTTGGGCCAAAATTTCAGCAAAATGTTCGACATCAAAATCGAGGATCCCAATCCAAAGGAAGGCGAGAAGGCCAAGCATCTCCACGTTTGGCAAAACTCTTGGGGTCTCTCAACGCGTGTTATTGGTGTTATGGTCATGATTCACGGTGATGACAAAGGTCTTGTTCTTCCCCCAAGAATCGCCAAGCTACAAGCTATCATCATCCCCGTCGGCATCAACAAGAATACCTCTCCAGAGGACAAGAAGAAGCACTACGACGACTTACAAGACATCAAGGATACTCTTAAGAAGGCAGGAGTACGCTCTGATTATGACATCCGCGATGGCTACACTCCGGGCTGGAAGTTCAGTGATTGGGAGCTGAAGGGTGTCCCCCTCCGCCTCGAATACGGTCCCAAGGATGCCGCCCAAAAAGTCATCTCTTTTGCCCGCCGAGATACTGGTGAAAAGGGTACCATCGACATCGCCTCTCTCTCAACCGAGATCCCCACACTTCTCGAGAAGATCCAGAGCGACATGTACACCAAAGCCGAAGCCTCGTTCCGCGCCCACCGTATCAACATTACGAATTGGGAGGAGGTAGTTCCATCATTGGATGCGAAGAACGTAGTGTTGATTCCTCACTGCCTGGCCGAGAAGTGCGAAGACAAGATCAAGGACCTAACGGCAGGAAAGGCGGACGAGCAGGAGGGACCTGCTGAGCTGAAGGCTCCTTCAATGGGAATGAAGAGTCTCTGTATTCCATTTGAGCAGCCTGCTGGGATTGAGAAGGGTGTTACGAAGTGTCTGAATCCTGAGTGTGGTGCGTTGGCCGAGCAGTGGTGCATGTTTGGCCGGAGTTACTAGTTTTGAGAAGTATCCGGAGGCTGCGACCATTATGAGGGCATGTCATTATGAGATATCCAAGCAAAAATAATGAGAAATGAGCAACCGATAGAATCTTTGTAAACTCACATACCTGTGGCCTCTTGTGAGGAGTCAGTCCTATAAGAAGCTCTTGCTGGGCCTTACAACCTATAATGTCAGAGGGAAATCGTACTCGATAGAAGCGGTACCAGTTGTGAGACCTTCTAATAGTCCACGCAGCTACTAAAGAAACCCCAAAGTAGTGCTACTTCCTTTTTAGTCCAGGATGAGTGAGCGGTTCAGGTCACATGACCCCGACGAGCTCACTAGCGCCGAAGAAGCTCCTCTGCGCGTCGCGCCGCCTGGAAATATTTGGATGAGGCAGTCTAAAAAGTTCAGCCAGCATCAACACCAGCAAAACAAAATGGGATCCCTTTTCGAACAACCGCGAAATGCCGGAACTCTGTGTAAGGCGTGCCTGGCCCAAAAGGTCGTTTTCTTAGCTAACAAAATGCAGTCCTCGGCGGCCAGAAAATTAGTGGTTCAGATATCCGTGACCAGAATGGTATGCATAGTCTTTGAAATATACATTACGGACGCAAGCTAACCTCTGGCATAGTTCTTGCTACTCAAGCTATCGCGAATGTTGTCAAGAGCTCATTTGGACCCAGCGGCCTGGATAAGATGATGGTGGATGATATAGGAGTAAGCTATTGTAGCTTTCCAAAAGAGATATCAGCATGCTAATATTTCCTAGGATGTCACAGTTACGAACGATGGCGCAACTATTCTTAGTTTACTAGATGTCGAGCACCCAGCGGGTAAGATCTTGGTAGATTTGGCACAACAACAAGACAAGGAGGTTGGTGATGGAACAACATCTGTGGTTATTATTGCAGCAGAGCTACTGCGAAGAGCCAACGAACTTATGAAGAACCGAATACACCCTACGACTATCATCACCGGCTACCGTCTCGCTCTGCGCGAAGCTGTCAAATACATGCACGAGAACATCAGTGTGAAGGTTGATCAGCTAGGCCGCGAGTCCCTCATCAATATTGCCCAAACTTCCATGTCAAGCAAGATTATCGGCTCGGACTCGGAGTTCTTTTCCAACATGGTGGTTGATGCGATGCAAGCAGTCAAGTCGACGAATAACAGAGGGGAGATCAAGTATCCAGTGAAGGCAGTCAACATTCTCAAGGCACACGGAAAGGGAGCTTTAGAGTCTATTCTTGTTAAGGGTTACGCATTAAATTGCACAGTTGCTTCGCAGGCCATGAAGACAAAGGTCACCGATGCAAAGATCGCTGTCCTCGACATGAACTTGCAAAAGGAGAGAATGAAGCTTGGCGTACACATCACAATCGATGATCCTCAGCAACTGGAGCAAATCAGACAACGTGAGGCTGGTATTGTCATGGACAGAGTTGAGATGATTTTGAAGGCTGGAGCAAATGTTGTTCTAACTACCAAGGGTATTGATGATCTAGTTCTAAAGCTGTTCATTGAAAAGGGAGCTATGGCCGTCCGAAGATGCAAAAAGGAGGATCTCCGAAGAATAGCCAAGGCAACTGGCGCTACCCTGATTAGCTCGCTGTCAGACTTGAACGGAGACGAGAAGTTTGAGGCTTCTTCATTAGGACACGCCGAGGAAGTTGTTCAGGAGAGAATCTCAGATGATGAGTGTATCCTGGTCAAGGGCACCAAAGTCCACACCTCGGCCTCCATCATCCTCCGAGGGCCCAACGACTACCAACTCGACGAGATGGAGAGATCGGTCCATGACTCGCTGTGCGCTGTCAAGCGAACCCTCGAGAGTGGAAGCATCGTACCCGGTGGCGGAGCAGTCGAGACTGCCCTTCACATCTACCTTGAAGAATTCGCTGGCACCGTTGGCTCCCGCGAGCAACTCGCCATCGGCGAGTTCGCGCAGTCTCTCCTTGTCATCCCCAAAACCCTCGCCGTCAACGCCGCCAAGGACTCCTCTGAGCTCGTAGCCCAGTTGCGGTCCCGCCACGCCCTATCTCAACGTATCCAAGACGGCGATGCCAACGAGGACGAGAAGACCATTGCCAAGAAGAAGAACTACAAGAACTACGGTCTGGATCTGACCAAGGGCAAGGTTGTGGATGAGATCAAGGCAGGTGTTTTGGAGCCGAGTATGAGCAAGATTAGGCAGTTGAAATCGGCGGTTGAAGCTTGTATTTCGATCATGAGGATAGATACGCTTATCAAGCTCGATCCTGAACAGCGGGGCGAGCAGGACGATGGACATGGCCATTGATGAGTGAAGCGGGGGGCGGGGGCGGGTTGATGCTGTAATATTATGCACTAGATATGTAAAGCATTGCCCGTAGAGGGCTAGCAGAAAATTGACATGGCCTATAAGAAGATATTCATGCCACTTGTGTAATACACTACTTTGATTAAACTAGATGCTGGGCAGAGGGGCGAGCGAGCAGGACGATGGACATGCTCGGTCATTGATGAAGAGAACCGTGAGTTCAGCATCTCATCTCATGCTGAGCGGGACGTCTCTCTCATTCTCCCTCCCTAAATCCTAAAGATCTCAAGCCAGCTCAACCTATAGGTTCTTTTTTTCTTCAGCACATACATACATCAATCAGCCTGTGAAATGTATTTGTTACCTACTTCACAATTCGACACGGCCAGCTAATCGGGTCTCCGTTGGTTTGAGATATCCAAACATTCTTACTGGGTTTCATTGCAAGAATTCTTGTATGGAGTGCTCTACTCGCGACACAGCTGACACGGATAGAGATATCAAGACATAATCTTTATTTGCAATGCTTTCTTTCATTCGAGGATCTTTTGTACAACGGCCCCACCCCCTTCTACAAAGCCGCAAGTCTCCATACCATCCCATCATCCATCTATCAATCATCCCATCTAACAAACAAACAAACGAGCCCCCTCCCCAACTATACAAATCAACCAATGACCAATGACATATCCTCGGGGAATTCGTATGTTGGAATCTCGAGGTTAAGCGGAGCAGGTCCCTTTCTTATACGCCCGGAAATATCGTAGTGGGAGCCGTGGCACGGGCAGAACCATCCTCCAAAGTCACCGGCTTCGCCAATGGGCACGCATCCCAAGTGTGTGCAGACACCTGTAGAGCTTCCATTAGATTCTGCCTGAAGGAAAGGAGGGTGGGCAATGGGCAATGGGTATACATACCAACCATGATCAACCACTCCGGCTTCTTAACACGATCCTCATCCTTCTGGGGATCCCGCAATGTCTCGATCTTGACGTTCTCGGCTTGCTTGATCTCATCCGCCGTTCTGTGGCGAATGAAGACTGGCTTGCCTCGCCATTTGATGAGAACCTATCTCCTCAATCAGCACCTGTTTCCTCTCCCTCCCGCGTATATCCAATTGAATATATAGATAGTGTAACGTACGTTCTTGCCCTCAGGGATAGTGCTAAGATCGACCTCGACCTTAGCCATAGCCAGGACATCCGCCGAAGCAGACATGTTGACCAAGAAATCTACACACGCATCAATCGTCAGCAACGCAACACACTCAATTGAGCTCCCCCCAACACCCTCAACCCATCCGCACATCATATCATATCCCAAGCTCCAACCAAGCCATGCCATGACACCCCAGGGTAAAAACGTACCTTGAACCGTAGCCTTGGCGCCCGCCGCCGTCAACGCGCCCATAGTACCCACCATGAAGTACTGAAAGACCAGATTGCTCCCCGAGCCCTGCTTGCTCCTGTAGTGCGAGAAATCCGGGATCTTGCTCGCGGCATCGCTGCCCATGCCCTTGAAAGGGCTGTCGAACGAGGAGCTGGCCTCGGCTCTAGCGGCGCTCGTGGACAGCGTCCGCAATGGCATGAGGGTGCGTGTGGGGAGCGTGCGCAGCAGCGTGCGCGATGTGTGTGCGAGGGACGCCATCGTGGGCTGGGGTTGATGGTGGGTGTGTGGTGGTGCTGGGAGGTGGATTGGTGGTGAGGTGAGTGAGGTTTTTGAGGTTGCGTCGGGTCGGCAGAGCAGAGCTTCTGGATTTTGGATGATGAGAAATTGGCGCGTGTGATTGGTCGGTTGCGAATGCACTTACCCAGGAACGTTCCGAGGATGAAAAGAACTCTATAAATTAATTTGAAACCCAAGACAACAGCATGGTTTATGTCAAGGTGAAACTTTTAGGTTATAAGGATTAAAGAGTTGCTATTTATATTCGTAATGTGCGTGCGACTTACAAGCAAATATTTGAATTACATATATTTCTAGTGATATCTCACTCATGTACAGATCTGCACAAGTAACGACAAGTATTACATTTTCCTTCTCCCACCAGGAGTATTATTACAAGCACGTAAAGAATTATTCCCGTGTATTTTACTTGAAGAGCAGAGCTAGTCATGGCAAGAGTCAAAATCATATCATTTATAAAGGGCATCAAATTCCGATTCAAGGTACTCGTAGCTGGCATCATAACATAAGTACAGACAATGTAGCACTGGGTATTTGGGTATTTCGCTCCATAAACAAATGAAAAGCACAATCATCCATCCATACTCCAAATCAAATCTATATCCATCCATCATAATCTGCAAAAGCCGCCATCCGCTGTTAACTTCGCTCCTAGTAAGTACAAGTATAGTCCAATTAGTACCTTTGCCACAGCAAAGAAGGGCAAGCAAAATCAAGTCAGCGACAAACAATTCATCCTGCAATTCTTACAAGCTGCTCAGCAGCAGGGTCAAAGATCGGGATCGCTTTCAGGATCGTCGTCGTCTTCCAGCTCGTCCTTGGTAGCCATAGTATAATTCCTGGCACAGATAGCCATGATTGAAATTGCAAAGCCATTCCAAACATCCATTTTCTTGACAGCAAAATCAAAGTGTGTCATATGTCGGATGGTGGCGTCCGGATTGGCAGAGTCGAGGGTGACGAAGATGACATTCGTCCTAGCGACAATCATGCCATAGAGAAGAGGCGGGACTCGTTTGTTAGCATCGAGCTCGGATTCTCCGTTGATGTGGAAGCCCAAACTTTCCCGATGTTTCTCAGCGAGGAAAGTCATCTCACTGGTGATAGCCTGGGTGATCGAGTCGATTGCCTCACCCGGACGAGCTCTGACGACGGAGATGACTGGAAGGAACCGTTTCCTAGAGTAGCCACCGTCCTTCTCGGTATACTGAATGTATCGTTTGATCTCTCTCGCAACCAGTGGTTCGGGTGCACCGCCAGCAGCAACTTTCTCTCTAACACGTGCTCCCAGCTTCAATAGTTCTTGCAATGCTTTCACACCTAAACAAATATTAGAAATGAAATGTAATGTAATCAACAAAGATTCATATAGCTCACCTCGATTACTTGAATTGCAGTTGTAGCTGATGAAAATTCTGACAGGATCATCCGTGAAGAGTAACTCGGGAAGAGTAGGAAAGTCAATTTTCCATTGCACAGGAATCAGCTCCTCGTAACTGCGCATAGTGAGCCTCTCGAACAGATATAGCTCATCGGTATGCCAATCTCCAGCTGCTCTAGCCGTCTCAATCTCCTCCTTCCTCATTTCCAACTCGGCTTGTCTCGCGAGGTATTCCTGAACCTTTGCCTGGGTTACCGCATCCGCGTTCTCTTCTTCTTCTTCCTCTTCTTCCATCTCAGCCTCCTCCATATCTTCTTCGATCGCTTCCTCGAGCTTGACTAATGCATCTCCGCTTCCTTCAGTCTCCCCCTCGTCCTCCGAGGACGTCAACTGCGACACGGAATCATTTGGTGAAAGCCCCGATCCATCGCCCTCGAACTCGCTTCGACCCCGCTTCCGTGGATTCAGCGTCGACGCTGTATAAAGCTTGTCCCTGAATGTGCCCAACGCCGTCGGTTCGGATGCCGGCGTAATAAACGTGTGTTCGGTCTCTTTAACTGGCGTCGCAGTTGATGCTCCGATAGTCCGGCGGCGTTTCGCAAAAGAGAGGTAGTCGGTAACGGTATTTTTTAGGTGAGATAGTTGATCCATATCGGGGGCGTTCTTTTCCGCTGATCTGATCTGATCTGATCGAAGAGAGGTGAATGATGTGTTGCGCCCAGGTTTGAAAACGAGAAGTTGTGTTGATTTTTGATTCACCAGGTCGGTGATGGTTTGGTTTACTCGAGGTTGTCGCAAGTTGCAGAAGTGCCAGGCGGTGTAGAATGGATGGATGACCCACGTTCGCGCGATTGAAAAGCTCGAGCAGCTGCTTTATTGATGAAATCTAAGGCTGTTGACGTGGTCATTGTCGAGGGGGGGAGGGGCCATGTGAATAGTTAAATAGCTACAACAAGTGCTTTGTCCTGCCTTGCCCTGCCTACATATCCCCATTGCATTGCATTAGGCGCTAGCGGGCCGACCCCGCGCCCTCATCCGGCATGATATGATGCAAACGTAACAATGCTTACCTATGCTGTAAGATTTTAGGTATTATGTTTATGTTCTCTCGAGTCTGGTTTCATTCGAAAGTAGCATTTATTCCAACTATGCTTCCGGTACATCAATCAAGTGCCACGGAAGTAATAAAAGATTGAGAACATTCAAATCACTATCACCTCTGATATCTACTTTACGGTTATGGTTCGAAGCTCGAGATTTAAGGATGGGTTTTGTCAGCTTACATCTTGATTGGTGTTGCTTTTGGAGAGAGAACTTGACTCAATATTAATCGATTCTATGCTCCAATACCCCAGAAAGCAATTATAAGTTAAACAAAGCAGTGCAGGTAGGTATCTGTACTGTTGGTCCAAGGTTACTCTGGAGGTCAGCGCTTTTTAATACGAGGACCACTCTTGCAAGTGCTACCATTCATGTCACCAACATCTTTCGCAAGCTCCGAGCCGTATGGACTTCAGTCTCAGAGTCATCACGTATAAAGGACAGTGAAGATTCTTTGAATACTTGATCTAGCTATCTGCTCCATTTCATCTTTGGGATTTCTCGATAGCGCCAATGGGCTGTGGCCACGCAACATGTTGCGTATAACCAGCCATCTTTATAAGCCAAACATCGTCTGGGCTCTTCACACCCTTCGCTCCACCCAAGAAGTTGTGAGGGAACCCGATATCGAAAGCATTCGCTGCCTCGATCTCCTCGATATCTTCCCCGCTCAACTGCAACGACAGACCTTGGATATTGCCCTTCAAGTGCTCGATGTTCCGGCCACCGATGATTGGAAAGACATATGGAGCCTTCTGCATAACGTACGCTAGAGCCACCGAGGTGAGCTGGACGTCGTTCTTTGCGGCGATCTTCTCAAGCACCTTGCTAATCTTAATAGCAGCTTCGCTGGCTCCGCCCAAGTTTCGTTTCTCGCCCTCCTTGGCGTTCTGCCTCTGCGCCTCGGTCTTGAAGGCTCCCCCGCCGAGAGCGCCCCACGGTGCGAGTCCCATGCCTTCCGAAGCGGCCATGGGGATGATTTCGCGCTCGAAGTCGCGGTGTTCAGCTGACCATTGTCCTTGGTAGACGGAGAATTGGCGGAGGCCGTTTTGGCGCGCGTACTCGTTGGCTTTTGATACAATCCAGGCGGGGGTATCGGAGATTCCGAGGTAGAGGACTTTTCCTTGGTTCACGGCAGTGTTGAGCGATTGCATGAGCTCTGGAATAGAGCAGGTGTAGTCCCACCAATGGACATAGAGCTGAAGATGCGTCAGGATTACTTTCCAAAGGGGAGTTGCCAATTTCAACTTACCACATCGATGTAGGTAGTCTGCAACTTCTTTAAGCTCTTCTCCAGTGAAAGATGAAGGGATTTAGATCCATTGCCAGCAGCGTTGATAATGATTTCCTTGTCACCCTTTCCCGCTCTGTATGGAGTAGTGAATTTTGTAGCGATGACCATCTCATCTCTGTTCCCCCTTCTCTTCATCCAGTCTCCAATCCACATCTCTGATTCCTCATCTTGATAGTTGCTTGCGGTATCGATGAAGTTTCCTCCAGCATCGTAGTAGTAGTCAAGAATCGCCTCGGTCTGCTTCTTGTCGCACTTTCCCATGAATGCTTGCCTATGAGAAGACATCATGTCAGTCCTCCCTCTCCATTAAAAGTGAGACCAGGCTTACCAAGCATCACCAAAGTTCATTGAACCAAGGCACAAGGGAGAAACTCGAACAGAGGCATTTGGTGCCAGCATTCGATAAGTGCCAAGAGGCCTTCTGGCTGGTGGTGGTGGGGGCCAGGAAGCCATTGTGAAGATTAGATGGAGTTGAAATGGAGCAGGAATGTAGGGTTATGTTGAAGTACTGTATTGAGTCTACACGTGAGGAATGAAGAAGAATTGGAGTCCATCTACCCGGACCTACCGCAGTACTTATACTGCACCTCCCGGAGGGCCAAAGTATGATCTCATGATGATATTAATGCATTCGACAGACCTAAACCCCATATCCGTCCTTAGCTCCAGGGTCTTGCATTAGGTAGGTGTGGAAATAAGGTAGTCACTCCACCACTCCACATGGAACACTGAGTTTTTTGATATCTAAGGTAGCCAGCCAGTACAGTAGGTCGAGTTTTGAGGAGCAAGCCGATGCGGACTGGTCAGTGCGTCGGATTTAAGAACCCCACCCCACATCCGAGTCTACTCTACTCCGACGGCCAATATGATACAAGATGCAAGCTGTAAGTCCATGCTTGCTAATGAACAAGTTTAAAAGACGAGGCAGATTTAGTCATGTTCGTCCAATTGAATGCTTCCGTCCACTAAGCGATGCGTACTTTGTATTTCAATCGTCGACCTACGACTGAGTAAGCGTAAATACTCAACTCTGCTGTCTCCTACCTATAGCCATGTTAGCATTATTAAGTATCAGAACTTGGAAGTGCCCGTTCAAGGTCTCACAGCGAACAAGACATTGAAGCTACCTCCAAAATGAACATTGATTAGCTCATACCTAGGCAAAGCCTACACCTCCGGGAACCTTTATTCAAACCACACCTACTTCACCAACGCAACAAACATATCAAAGGAAAGTTTCCAGTCAGAACTTGCGCCTTTCCAAACTTCGTACACGGTAATGGAACGCAGAGGTATAGATCCGCTCATTTATTGCATGTGTACCTCTCTCCAACAGCCAGCATCGAAATACCTACCGTAGGCGGGTCTTGGTGGTTTGGAAGATTCCTATTGCGCAAAGCGTAGTGTCACCTGGCCCGGTGGCTCGTGGAAAGAAAGCGGGATTCGAAGGTCTCGGGAATTTACGACAAGGGACAAGTGTGATAATAAACATGTATGATATAATATAGTAAAAGGGGGATGATGCGAATGAAAATTAGCAAACTTTTTCGGGAGAGAGAGCATAAAGAAATGAAGTTGTGGAACAGCGACAACCGGTGTTTCATACGAGTATCGTGTTCTCCGAGACTTTTAGACTGAGAGTCTGATATCAGATGTAAATTTTGATCATGACTTGCTAGGTAGTGCTGAGACCTTGAAATTGATGATAGCCTTGCCTCGTACAGTAGCCTCGCTGCTGGCAACAAGACGCGTCAAACTTACACGCGAGCTCTGAACCGCGATCTATCTCGTATAGAAATACCAAGGAGAGGTGTAATTTTGACACCCAGTCGCATCTTCTGTGAGAACACTAGATACTGTAGGATCCGATCGACGCAACATAACAAATCCAAGGAATTTCCTCGTTCAAGAGAGGAGAGAATCGCAAAACGGTGTCTTCTCTTCATCGACCACTGGCCTCAGCGGCAGCTCTTCAAGCAACCCGCTGATGGCTCGAATGGTTTTCAAAGCTATCAGAGAACCATCTTTTTGTTTCGTTTTATTGTTGAACATCAATCTGCTCTGAATCCCTTCAACGTGTCAGGTTTTCCCCCGACCCCCTTGCCTCCCCCAAGAAAGGCGTTGCATTTTTCCGATCGAGCAAAGATCCATGCAATGCCATGCCTAGGTCCCAAGAGCGAGCCGATGCTGATCAAACCATAATCAGGACTGTTATCAACCCAGCCCCAGCTTGCCGGGTATTATTTACCCCTTGTCATCCGCTCATTCATCTAATTTCCGAAAGACCCTTGTTTGTCTACGAACGACACGCCTTGGGTCGGTATGCTGAGCACAAATGCCGCATACAAAAGGAAAGCTTCGTCTTCGCTTTCGTGTTTTTCTCGTTTTCCTCTTCCGCGTGATAGGTATCGGTGTACAGTAGTCCCATTTAACGCAAGAAAGAATATAAGGGCTTCGCAGTGATGGCACATGCTATGAGAGACCGTACTTGGTATTTTGTAAGATCCAGTCGCATACCTCTGTAGGACTCTGCTTTTTCTTTTCCAAATGGAGCCCTTTGATAGTGAAATCAAATCGGGATTGAACAGAGCTGTTTTATCTGCTGGATATATGAAGTGTGATCTATCATTTATTTAGAGGAGATGAGAAAGAAGAAAATATAGGATTCAAATGACAGAAGATGCTTTTTCTGTTTTTCTCTGTTTGTTTGTTCAAGAAACATGGTTTGCCCGGGCTCGGGACGGGAACGCTATCTCATAGCACAGACCTAACCATGCCCATGATCTAAAGGTAAGGTAAGGTAAGGTAAGGAAAGGTAACAAGCAGAACAAAAGATGATATTCAACGTTTGATGCGGCTATTGTTGGCCAGCTAGTAAGAAGTATTTATAAATGTAATGTAATGTCATTCGTAAACATACTGTCATAGCTTGCTCGAAGCTTTTACTAGTAACCAGATATAGATGGTTTGGCTGCAGTCTTGCTGGTTTGAGCACAGCTTCGCACGACTAGGCCGACCCTCATTTCCCACACGTTCCTGCTAGACCCAAGGAGGAAGAGCATGGCTGCCAGCATCACGTTGTCGCGACGTCGTGAAGCCAATGATATTGCTGGATGCGTCCTATCATGTAGCTGGGAGAAAGCTGGGAGAAAGCTGGGAGAAAGCTGGGAGAGGTTGAAAGACTGTCTACCTACCGTAGGTATATGAAGAACATATATGCCGGTGCTGTAGTGTACTTGTACTGTAACTCTAGCGAGTCGATTGACTGCATATACCAATCTAAAACCTCCTCCAGTACACTCGTACTCGCCCGAAACGCCCTGGATAATTTAATTCTACTTCACACCCAAGTCCTTGTCAGCACTCAGGCTACTCCAACACAGTCAAACAGCTTCAACAGTCAAGACGGCGCACCGGCCGCCTGCGCTTTCCCTTTTCCTGGCCCAAATTACCCTCAGGCTCCCCTCCACCTCCACCTCCACCTCCACCTCCCTCCGAAGCGAACAAATCCGCCGAGCCGTGCCTCCCTCCCCTGCCAGCCTCCCGCTTTCTCTCCTCACCTCACCTCCCCTTCTCCACGGCCAACGCTCCTTCAGATTCACAATTCTCAATAGTCACTCGTTTGCAGTTTCACTTCGTTTCGCCTTCGTAGGTACACTGGTACCTCGGGGCTTTTTTGGTTAGTCAAGTGAAGTAAGGAGACGCCATTCATCAAGGACGGCATTTTATCTACGCCAGCGCCAACGGAAGAGAAGAGAAGATCCACCGCCTCGAAGACCGATCGAGGCGCGCGTAGATGAGGTGAAGGAGGACGCCCAAAACGAAACATGAGGGAGGAATACCTGCAAAGTGGCCACGGAAACAGAATCCAGACATTGCCGTCCAACAATGCGAGCATCGACAATACAGTAAACCTGTCAGCACCCACGCCAGGTCCAGCAATGGCTTCGAGAACGAAGAATGGGGGAGATGGATACGGTCAGGGCAAACGAAAACAACGATCAATGCGTCTGAACACCAGGACAGCTCTCTTGTCAATTCTCGCGACTGTACCAGCTGCGATGGCCGAGAACTGCATATCGCTCACCGGGTCGACCCAATGTCCAGGCTTCAGCTCTTCGTCGATATCCACCGACAGCACTCTGGTCGGCCTTTTGTACGTTCCTCACGACTTTTCCTTGACATAGAGACGATTGAGTACTGACACAAAGCTTTTAGCCCCTTTCTGCAATACGTTTCGAGCACTGCGACGTTTGACGAACAATTGCGCTCGTATGTCTCTACAAGCTACGTGCAACAGAAGTATGTCTTTAATCACTAGTCCCACATTGCCGCAACATTCCTAACAAAATATGCAGGTACCAAACACTTCTTGGCTGTGGAAATCTCGATTTGACCAACACCACAAACCTTTATGCACGCTTCACAACCACCGTAATATGTAATTCAATAATTCAAAATTCCAAGACACCATGTGCACTATCAACAGCAGATTCGCGGCCAGTCTGCGCTGCTACATGTGTAAGTGCCATAGTATACGGCTACCTTATCTCTTGCTAATATCTACCAGGCCGATCAAGCCGAGAGCGAGGCTATGATCATTGCCAACAGCGCGCTCTGCTCAAACCCCAACAGCAACTCGGATTCTCAAATTAGAGCTGATTTTACAAATTGCGCACTGCCAGCCAACTCTTTGAGCGGTACCTGCATAGACGGGTCTGTAAATGAGGATCAGAACTGTGGCTTCGGGAACAGTACGGTTGGCTTATGTCAATATTGTGGTGCGGGAGGACAGAACAGTACAGACACGTGCTGTTATAATTCCAATGCCGAAAAAAGGTGTGCCGGAGTTGTGCTGCCAACGATTACTGCTTTCGTGACATTCGCCACGTCGTCTCCCACTGCCTCTCCCACTGCCTCTCCCACTTCTTCAACTTCCGCATCAGCTTCAAGTACGGCCGCTGCATCTAGTTCGAAGAAGGGGCTGTCTGGAGGCGCTATTGCTGGTATTGTTGTGGGGTCTATTGTTGGGGCCGCGCTCATTGCAGCGTTCGCTGTTCTTCTGTTACTCTGCTTGCGTCGCAGACGTGGAAGCCAGAATGGAAGTGTTTTCAACCAACCATCGCCTGCCAGGAAAGGTCAAAGCAGCATGGCATACAACGGAGTGGGCACGACAACAACCCCCGAAGGCTACGAAGTACTTCCAGGAGGACGAATTGCGCGAATGTCGGCTCTAGAGGGTCACTCAGGTGACTCGCCTCCTCGAAATGAAGGCAGTGCTGCCAGGAATGCCGCCGCTGCTGGTGCAATGGGTGGATATGCAGCTAGACGTACCCGAAAACATGACCAGTCGTCTTCGGATGAATATAGTCCGGAGTCGATTAATCAACGCGGCATTCTACGACCTCCTCCAACAGCACAGCGACGTGCAGGGTCTCTTTCGAGTAATTCAGCTCTTGGATTCGACGACCCGCAATCACCAAATTCAGGAAGTGGTGGTGATTTGTCATCACCACAAGCAGCCGCTAGCCAGCAATCCGAACAGTTACCCTTCTTCAAAGACTACTATTCGTCTGAGGAGATCCACCCAGGAGACAAAGTTGCCACACTCTGGGCCTACCAACCTCGAGCGGGTGACGAGTTCGCTTTAGAGCGTGGTGACATGCTCAAAGTAGTGGGTATCTGGGATGATGGTTGGGCAACCGGAGTTTTAACCGACGAGCGCGCGGAAGACTGGGATGCTAAAAGAAATGTTCAACGAGACAGCGGAGTCTCGAACACATCTGGTCGAAGAGACGAATCGCCAGCTGTTAGTGGTGAAATCAAGGCATTTCCACTTGTATGTGTATGCATGCCAGACCACTGGAGGAAGACTATCGAGGGCGATGGCTCGACTGAAACTGGTTCCAGTTTGCCTCAAGCATGATTGCTTACTCCTGACACGTTTCATATTCCATGGCTTATGATGGTGTTACTTTCGGTATTGGAGTTCCGGCCATTTGCATTTCTCATTCGACATGAAGAATTATACGCTTTACTTGCGCCGTTGGCGAGGTCCAGCCAACTTTCTTAGCGACGCAGCACCTTCTACATAGATTTCGACTCTTCTCGTTTCCTTTTCCAGATTCATGCCTCTTACGTTCTAGACCCATGATTCGCATATCATTTTATTGCCTTCAATACACCAGCGAACATTACGACCCGAGCTGTCTGGGAGTCAGTTCTGATAATTTGACGACAGCCTGTCCTTCCACTCTGCTTGCATAATTGCAGCACTACACAAATTATTCCTTTCCTTTTATATACCCAAATTCTTGTACTAAATGTTTGACGAAGGTGGAGGCAGGCATAGAGGGTGTTGGTGGATTTTTGATGCGATGTATCGTTTTAAGGAGAGGAGAGGCTTTTGATGGTTGAGTTTAGCCGAGTTGAGTTGATAGTAGGATAATCAGTGGACACAGGACGACGCTTAACACATACATAGGGAGGCTTATAAATAGGACTGACTGTAGAATGCATGCAAACTTGTAAATTTATCTCCGACTCACTCACGCCGGCTTCTGGAAATGTGAAATCTATATCGCCTAGATGAATGTATACAGGTATATGAACAGCCATCATCATATCATATCATCTATATGTTGACTTTTGTATAGCGTCCTTTTATACTTACTAGCTTGCCCTATCAGTAAATAATTCCAAATAGCAACGCTTTATGCCTACCTACTACTCACCCCCTATAAAAGGAAATGACATGACATGCCTCGTTTCTTTTTAGACGGTTCGTGCATACATATGTCCTCCTTTGTTTTATCTCTGATTATCTAGGTAGGTGAGGATTCGTTGGTTGGTGTGTACTGTAGAGCTTGCAGGTAGGTAGGTGGTTAGATTGATTAGGTTAGGATGTATTCTTGGAAATCATAAATATAATTACTTGAAAGTTATCAACACACCTAGCTAGCCAGCAAAGCAAAAAGTTCAGGTCTTAGCTTCGGTGAGATGGAGATTTGCTAGAGAGGAGAGGGCCAAGAGAATAAGCAAGCACTTTTCGAAACCATCCCGCAATCCGTCCCCCAAATTCCGCTAGATGCTAATTCAATGTGCACTATAACTGTAATTGGACTTCCAATTTGTTTGTTTGTCCCGAGCACCCAAGCAAAGATTACCTAAACTCCCCCAAGTCATTTTTGATTTCCTTCCCAGCATGCCTCGAAGCTATCGACTTGCCTTCTCCCACGTCCCTGATGACCTTTCCCAACCTCCTGATTCCATCTTCCAGATCTTCCGCTTCCTCCCATGCAAAGCACAGCCTGAGGGAGGTCTCGAACCTGACACTAGCATCGCCCGAGACCTCGAAGAGGCGGCCCGGAGCCACGATCAGATTCTCGCGCTCCTTGGCTGTCGAACAGACCTCTTCAGCGCTCATGCTCTTCGGCAGCTCAATCCAGATAAAGAACCCGCCGAATATCTCCTGCTCCCCGAAACTCACTTCGCCAACCGTGACGCCGACGGGGAGTAAGAACTGCTGTATCGCTGCCATCATAATCTCGTACCGCTTCCTGTAAGCTGGGATCAAGACCTGCGAGATATGCTTTCCCACGGCCCCGGATTTCAATAGCTCGCACACCATGGTGGCTGTCGACTGACTCGGTGCGCCTCCTGAGCGAGATGAACCACACTGTGACAAACCATACGTGAATATTGGCGTGGCATCCGCCCAGCCGGTACGTAAACCGGGGCCTGCGATCTTCGAGAACGAGCCGTTGGACATGGCGTTTCCGAAACTGTGCGAGCTGGGTACGGGCTCCATGGTGCGGTCTATGTCAACTAGACGGGGCATGAGGGCAGTAGCTGACGATGTTGAGGAGCTTTTGGATGTGGGCCACAGGAGGAAATCGTAGACGTCGTCTGTGATGATTAGGGCGTCGTATTTGCGGGCCAGTCTGACGAGCTTTTGTCGGCATGATAGGGACATGGTCTTGCCTGATGGGTTGGAGAAGGTTGGCACGCAGTAGATGATATGTCGATAGATCTTCGACCAGGGTTTGGCGAGCTTGATTTTCTACAACGCCGATTAGCAAAATCGTTCCAGCTAGAATAGACTTCAGATACAAGGAGGGCAGACAGATGACTTTGGTCTCTATCAATAGGTACTTCAGGAGGAGCAGTGTCACGTGGAAACGACGTTCCCAACAGAAGCCTCTCTCCCTTACAAGCCGACAGAAGGAGAACACGGAACAAGAGAAAAGTCTCACATACCCTAACCCCCTCATCCCTCTCCGCATCCCTCAAACTGGCCTCCAACCCCTCCAAATCCACCCCCTCATCCCCCTCCCCCACAGCCCCCGTAACCAACCCCGCATCATCGAAAATCCGACACGCCAAAAAATAACTCGGCGCAACCATCCACACCCTCGTGAACAGCGGATCCGAAAACACCTGCAACACACACGCCAGGTTCTGCTCGCGCCCCCCGTGACACATATGCGCTCTGCATCCGCCTGCCCGCCGTAGAAGCCGCTCAGCCACCGGGCGATTTCCTCCCGCAGAGGCTGGTACCCGGGATCGGGTCCGTAGAGGAGCCCGGGGATTGAGATGGCAGGGTCGGACAGAACGGTCTGCGCGGCGCTGGCGATGGCGGGCGTCGGGAGGAGTGATGGGTGCGGCCAGCCGCGGAGGAGGTTGAGGGGTTTCTTGTCGCGCGAGTGGGCATCGATGAAATCGCCCATTTTGGAGCTGTTGGTATGGTAGTAAGAGCGTGGGAATGGTATTTGGAATGGTTTTGGGATATTTCTACGACTTGATAGAATGGCTTTTGAGTGTAGCATTGAAGTGAACGAAGGAATGTGTTGTGATTGGTGAAGGATGATGAAACTTTGCCATCGAGATATTTATAATGCCGATTGATGTACCACCAGTACTGTAGCACCAATTGTTTGCTATAGACTACAACGCAACGGTAAGCTAACAGTACCATACCATACATACTTTACTATATTTTATGTCAATCATGATTGAAACTAATAAAGGTGACATAGGATGAGCTCTATGCCAATTAAAGTCAACGAACTATCAATCAAGCAATATATGCAACATGTTAGCTTCACAATAATGAAATCCCACTGCGGTTTTTGATGTATTTTATTCAGTAGCTAGCCGATGTGCCGTATTAGACCCCCAAAGGTCACAACTAGAGAGCAAAGATTTGCAATAAGTATTCTTTCCGAGCTGGATCATTAAGAGGCTAGCTTTCCGTCACAAATATGACCAACCATGTCATCGTCTGCTCCGCAAACGAGCCTAGTTCATGCTAAAAGGCGTCCGTCCAGTCAAAGCTTCCGGCACAATATACACGCCATATGCCAATTGCATAATAGCCGACAAGACAAGCATCCGCTCATTCAATTCAGTTACAAGTGTAGGTAGGTATGGGAAGTGGTGTACGCGTAGAAAAGAAAACTCGCCCATCATTACAAGAGAAGATTCGAGTTGCCCTCAGAAGAAAGCGTACTGTGATTTTCTCCTCGCGATATCGCCCATGATTATAGAAGTTCCGAGTTGCCTTCGAAACAAAGCGTAACATTCGTCGCTCCGCACTAGATCTCCCATGAGATTACCAATCAAGTGTGGACAGGTGTAGGGACAATATGTGTGTCCCAACTCGGTCTGGAGCCTCGGCTACCCCGATGACCACCACGATTGAAAGACTTTGGGCTAGACGTGGTGGGTCCGTTCTCTGGGTTTGACGACTGGAAGCCCCTTGATGAGTCTCTTCCTCGCCCGCCCCGTGGATGGGTTGATGGAGAGTTTCGTGAAACTCCCCCCCGGGCGCCTCCTCGTCTTGGGTTGCTTCTCTGACGCGTAAAGCTGACAATCTTTGCTTCATCATCTGCCGTCATTTTGACGTTTATGGTGGTACGATTGTTCATGGCGGTTTCCAAGAAAACTATAGGTTCCGCGCTGGTAACTTGCGAAGCAAGAAACTTCTTAGGAAGAGATTTTGGCTGTTGAGGAGCAAGCATCCACGCTGCTGCGGGTGCTGAAACAGGAACCTTGATGACAGGAAGCGAACCCATTTCTTGTTCTTCGAAGCATTCCTCGGCTGCTGGTTTAGACATAATCGGGTCATCGTTGAGAGCTAACATTCCAGAAGACAGAGATGGCAGAGACACCGTTGCAGCCAGCTGTGATTGAGGAAGTTCAAGAGCGTTTTTGCTCGAAGAATCAACCGCAAAGGCGTGCAATTTCGGAGGATCAGGTTTGCGGCCAATCAATGTGTTGATCCGATCTTGCCAGCCTCCAGAAGAGGAATCTGGCACACGCCGAGCATCCTGATGAGAAGATACTGGTCGGTTAGAATAATTATGTTGCGCTGCTAGACCGGAGGCGTGATTTGTCGCTGGTGCAGCAGGAGCACTGACGGCTGCAGCGAAAGATACTGGCTTTGGTGGGCCGATTGGAGCGAGAGCTGGTGGAGGTAGTTTGACAACGACGTCAGGCTTCTGGGGTCTAGGGAGGGAGACATGGGGGTGTGAACTATCGCCATCATACACCGGGTGGCCAGGCATAGTAGGTGGAGGCGGAGAGGGCGATCCAGGTCTGTCAAATGACATGTTTTGCTCCTCGAGGCGGACATCTTGAACAGGGAAGAATCTAGATCCGCGGGGGGCCGGGGATGGCCCATTGTGTCCGGGTGCAGGTTTCCAAGAATCGTTAAAGTGATGCTGTGGCGCATGAACGGCATCGAGTTGATTGTGAGCAGTGTTTTGATCTTCTTGGACTTCGGGGGCTCTTGCATGGTTTTGTCTCCATGTGGAGTCTGCTTGCGCTGATGGATCCAGGACAGTGTTGTGCACATTTCCTGTTAGAACACGATGGCCATTAACAATAACTGCCTCCACCCACGTCTCTTTGTAGATCGGTTGATTAATCTCCGGAGCTTCGCCTCTTTCTTCTAACTCTTTCCTAACTGCAGCCTCCTTTTCGGCCTTTTCGCGATAGGCTTTGTCGCTTGCTTCGATGATAGCCGGTGCGTTGGCCCATGGTGATGTCCGAGCTAGACGACCATTATCTTTGGTAGAGCTATCTTGAAGTCTGTTAGGTGGACCAATAGGTGCTGGTCTGGAGCGACTATATTCACCTCCATGACCTTGTGCAAATTGGTAATTGCCTCGGGCTGAATTCGGTGGCCCGATCGGTCCAGGACGAGAGGAAGATTGCATATCGGGTAAGCGACCCAGTTCTGGATTGAATGCGCCGTTGCCGAGAGCCCTGTTGTTGGTTGGTGGAGGTCCCCAGACGTTGCTCGACGATTGCTGCGTTGGTGGCGGAGCCCAATTGTACCTCTCAGAATTGGAGACTGAGTTGCTTTGCCAAGGTTGCGAAGATCTGTTCTGGTGAGGATTCTGCTGGACAGCCGCGGTAGATTGCGCAGACAGATCCTGCTCGCCTTGGTCAATACCGTTGGGGCGATGATTTGCAGAAGGTTTCTCGGAAGGTTTGGAATCAAGTGCAGTCTTGGTCGTCGAAGTTGACTCGTGCACGGACCCTAGAATATGCACAGTTGACTCTGTGGAGCCCTCAACAACCTCAGCTTTGACCGCAGTTGAAAGTGAATTGGACTCTCCGCGCGACTGGATTTGTGTGGGCATTGCCTTCTCGTCTTTTGGGGTGTCTTTCTTGTGCTTCTTGTTGTCTGGAGGAGGACCCATGGCCTCAAGTTTAATGCGGATACGCTCTTTTCGCGCAGCCTCTTCTCTGGCCTCCTCTTCTTGGCGTCTCTTGATAGCAAGCTCGCGCTTCTGTTTCATCTGCTTCTTCTGCTCCTCGAAGACCTGATCCTCAGATTGGATTGCACTTGTAGGCGCACTTTGGCCGTCGACCGATGCCGAGGCAGAAGGAATGACCTGATTATGAACAGATTGCGGAGAGGTGTGGCTAACGACGGGCGAGCCACGAGTTTGCCATGTTTGGTTTTGGTAGCCGCGTTGGCCCTGTTGTTGGGGTGGTGGTTGACCGGAAGGCGAGAAGTTGCGCGGCGAGGAAGGCGCGTCGCTAACAGCAGCTAGCGAGCCCCTTCGGACATTCAGCATCTCATGTGGTGGAGGCATCTCGTGACCCCCTCTGCTCATGCGCCGACCAAAATTTCCACTGCCTCCACTAACATTGGATGAAGTTCTACGACGCCCGTAACCACCGTCTAGTCCAGTAGCACGATGTGTCTGAAACGCTGCTGAAGGTTCTGCAGGACCACCACTATCGTGCGATGGCCTCTGCAGCACCGCAGGTTGTCTAGAGTGCGCATCGCTACGAACAGATCCTCGTCGATTGTCATTTACTGGCTCATATCTGCCAGACTGGGAGTTGTATAGCTCTCTGCTCGAGTTTGAATTGCCATCTCTCCAAGACCTGCTGAAGTCGTCCGCAGCAATCTCCTTTGCTGGAGGAGGCATGGCCTGGAATCCATGAGGATCTCGCTGACCAAAGCGGCTCTGTTGAGGCTGTTGATTTTGGGGCGTCTCGATTGCTGCCGGGGTAACCTTTTCTACGGGGGGTAGAGGAGCCCATGGCGACTTGACTGGTGTCGGTGGTCCCGGAGGTTTTGCAACCAATGTAGGCTTCTCGGAAGCGCCTTTTAGAACAAGGCCAGCTCTTCCAGAGCCAAATCCACTGGACTTCACGGTAGGAGAGGCTGACTGTTGTACTGGAGCAGGCGACTTTGATTTCGGGATCTCGGTGGGCTTCACATCTTTCGTTATTGGGATTGGTGCAGGAACAGGTTCCGGACTTGGGACTGGTGCCTCATCGGCCTGTGGTAGCGTGATCTTTGTACCATCAGTCCATTCAATGGTTTCTGGAGCCCAATCATCGTCGTCATCATCAATGTCAGCCCAGTTCTTCTCCTTTCCTCCGGGTTCGTCCGTTTGAAGCCTCGTAGCTAGATGAATTCCATATCGCTGCTTGAGCTCCTCGTCCGTGAATCGCTTGGGTTCAGGTGGTGGCGCCGCTGTAACATATTAGTTCATGGCCCTAGATAATGTGAGAATGTGCAACGTACGCCTGTTCTTGTTCCAAACAGCGCTCGCATCCGGAGCCGCGCCAGGCTTGCTACCATTCGCCGCTGTAGAAGCTCGGGGGGTAGAATCACGTAGACCACTTCCAGACTTGGCCACCAATCGAGGTCTAAGTGTTGTGCTTGCAGAAGGTCCACCAGAAGCCACAATAGAACTTGCAGGTCCTTTGTCGCCTAATTTTGACGGTGGCGTCGTGGTCGCACCCTTGGCCGCAAGAAAAGTTTTGTTGACCGAGACTGGTTTGAAGGATGCGAACTTCTTTACAGTTGATGAAGTTCGAAGATGGCCCTTCTCATCCGTCTGGGCTTTCGTGGTTTCCGCTTTCGAAGCCTCAGTATCCGATCCTCCACTAACACTGACCTCCGCCGAGTTGACGCTTGGTTCGACATGCTCTGTATCTTGCTTAATCTCATCTTTCTCGGTATTGGTGATTGGAGTCCCATTTACGAGAGGCTGCTCAGAGGAGACATCGTGGCTCGAGGTTTCAGTTATATTCTGGGCGCAAGTCAGCAGGCAAAAAATGTCATTGAACAGAGAATCAGGACCCACCAGCTCATGGTCGGGTATAGCAGAGGACGTCGCAAGGTTTTCAGGAGTGGCTTCAGTTGCCATCATACGTCTTCAGAGATGTTTGTGTGTGTTCCTGGAGCTGCGCATGCGTTGGCCCGTTTCTGGTGACTGACAAGCTTGGACCGAGGCGCTCTGGGGCGGGATGGAAGGATGATGGGGAAGGAGTATTATGAGGTCGCAGTAATATTAGGGCGACAAGAAGATGGATGAGAAGCTCCTTCGTTTCGTGGAGAGGGCGGGATTTGGGGGATGTTCAGGTACTTCAAAAGCTCGTCAACTCCGTATGACAAGTATGAATTCGGCTTAGCGCGACCTGCACGGAACCTACCTAGTAAAATCGAGGCTGAAGAGTTATCTTTGTACATATTCAATATCGCTTTCTTCTTTGTCTTCAGAATGATCAACATGAATATGGGCATTTGGGGCAAGGATATTTGAAATAGAAAAGTAAATGCACGTTTACAATGATGTTCCTTCAAACTTCGGTAGTTGATTGTTTTATATGCATAGATGGGCGGGCGAGAATCGACACCTTTCCTGTAAGTGAGTAAATAGCTTTCCAAGCCGCAACATTTGATCAGCACTGGAATGTAAATAGCTACAAGTGCTCCGAGCTATCATTATTAGTGAGATTTGCAGTGTAACTTCCAGATTTTATCGTCTGATGCTCCATTTCAAAGCGCGTGACCACTTCATTTCTCAGCATAGACAGACGTCTCCAATATTACAACGCTCAATGAAGCCTCGCTGTAGTGGTAAGTTCATGGGAACTTAACTTCGAAAGTCGTATCCCATGAATGGGTACGTATCTGGTCGGAATCGTCACCAATCACGCAGAAATTATTCAGCACCTTCCGGCAACCACTGGTATTCTTCTAATCCTTATTTACACCTAGTAACACAAGCTCTCATCCTCCACTAACGTATCCCATCCATTTAGTGAGCGTTGTTCTTGTGGTGTCTCAAGTGGAAATAGTAGTTCTGGGCGTATCCGATCGCGAGGAGGACTACAACGGCGTGAATGATGGCTAAAAATAGCAGAAAGAATCAGTAGAGAACAGTCAAATGGTCTGCGCTGAGGACGTACGTGTTGCAGAGGCGTTCTTTCCGAAGTATCGAGCTTGGTATCTGCCGAGAAGTCCCTTGGGCTTGATCTCTGGAGCTGCGCCTCGGGGAAGCTTCTCGTAGAAGCTCACGACACGTTGCATGCGGACAGCATCTTGAGCAGCGCCAAGTCCCTATTTCCAATCGTCAGTTGAAACCCCCATTATTCGATCGTAGTTCGTCTGTTCGGAAGGGAATCGCTCGGGGGACACGGGAAGCTCAATTGAGTGCTTTTTCGAGGGGGTAAGCTTACGGAAGGAGAGGCCACCTAGTAGTGAGTTAGTTAAACAACTCAAGAGCTATATTGAGGCAATAGTGAGATGTACCTTTGGTGGGATGAGGGTGGAAAGCGCCCGGCGAGAAATGAAGCTCATCTTGATGACTGTGGACCTCGTCAGCTCAATTGCAACCCTGGACTCTCAAATATCAAGAGCCAACTGCCTCCAGATTCATTCGTACCTCGGTGTGAGTGTCTTGACGATATGTGGAGAGGAGAATTGCGAACGATGATGTTTGAGCAGATCCTGAAGAGGTTCCGACCCGACTTCAATGTTCACTAGCGTATATTAGTAAGCAGACCCAACATCCTCCAAATCAACGAGTTGAAGCCATGGTCAAAGTGATTGAGGGTAAATTCATTCACAATGTCGTTGCTACGCCCATCAATTGGGGGCAGACTGCTCAAAGCAGGAACCCCTTCATTGCGACGAGCTGTCCCTGGCTCCCAACGATTCGACACGCATACAGCTCTAGGAACCACCCTGACAACATCGGACAAGGCCCCGGGAGCTACACCTGAATCTTCTGTCACCACTGAGGAGCAATTGAAGGCACCCAGACACAATCAGCCGGATTACTCGGTACAAGTTGATCAAGCTTCATCGTTAGTATACATCTCCAGGCGGATAGGATCTAGCTAACGTCCTTAGACTTTTCTCCCCAGTCCCAAAGCGAGTTATGAACGGCAGCGAGGAAGGCGAAGTTCTACCAGCAGCTGTGCTATCTGGAGCACCAATTGAACTTGAAGCCCGAACCGTCCGGTATGGTTGAACTCTATATGCACTTCTAGGCAACATCTGACTTGAATTAGCATCTACCGCCCCACCAAGCCCGCGACACAATCAGGAGACTGGCATGGTCACGAATGGCGAATGGACTGGGATATATTACCCAAAGGGCACCGTTGGGAGAATCCCTTGATGGGCTGGCAGTCATCGGCAGACTTCATGCAAGGAACGAACATCACCTTTAAGACCAAAGAAGATGCTATCAGGTTTGCGGAGAAGCAGGGCTATGAGTACTTCGTGCAGGAGCCAAACTCCAGAAAGATCGCACCAAAAATGTATGCGAACAACTTCTTGTGGTCGGACAAGAAATTGAAGCACATTCGGACGAAGTAGATGGTCGTGTTTGTACATAAGAGCTTTAGAATATTGACATCCGTTATATCAATCACATGCTTGAAAATAGCTGAGCATTCGACTAACCTAGTTGATGTTGATACTGCCACTATATACTGCCCCCGATGCTCTTAGATCTGGAATTGCGAGATCTAGCGCCCGGTTCGGAGGCTTAAGCATGTGTTGGTAATTGATGGAAGAAGTCGTCATAAGCCCTCAGTACATTTTGTTTATGAACCACACCATTTCCGTCCTAAGGTATGTATTAGGGTTAGGATATTACACTCCTACAATTTCGAAGCAAAATCCATGCTGACGATCATAATTCGTTACAACGTTGACTCATTAAATCCTCCCAGTTTCCCGCAAGCACTGCTCCCAAGCAAAGCTCCATAGTGACATCCTGTTGTCCCATTCCGCAGACCGTAACCGATCCAGCGGGTGTGGGCGAAGAAACTCAACAGTCATCTTCTTGCCGTATGAGTCGTAAAGAGGGAGCAGTCCCTCAAAATTTGGCGGATCCCCTTCCTCAATTGATAATACCACGTCGAGTACCGATAGTTGCTTGAATTTGCGCAGGAATATCTCCAACCCAGGAACGACTGCCCATGTGTTGTAAACACTGGTAAATTTGCTTGGTGGTTGGTGCAAAAGCGAAGTCCAATATCCGTGAGATAAATCTTTTCTGAGCTGTAGAAGATCAAATAATCAGTATTATCCTCCTTCTCCAAAGTTCAATATTCAATAAATAGGAGAATTAAAGCCCAGGAAATTTTAAATCAAAGGCAAAATCTGTAAAGCAGGGCAGACGTATATTGAATAACTTACCCTAGGCAACCGTATTTTGAATTTCTTTGAGAAGAGCAGACTTGGTCGGCGATTCAAGAGTGAGTATCCCACAGCCCAGCGGATGTTGGGATCTTCATCCTGGCGTTGAACCATATAACCTCCTATGGAAACGCTATCTACCTGGGAGAAAACGAGCGATGAAACCTCTTCATAGATCTGCTTATTCGCAAATAGAAGTGGGAGAGGCCCGATGCCGTTGGTACACATAACACCAGGTCCATGCCAGCGAGGGAATACAGAGACGTTGAAGCTTGGTACCTTGGATGTTGATGATTGATATGTCATCGCTTGAAGACGAAGATGATCAGTTCGCCGAGTCTTGGCCGATTCTATGGCATCTTGAATACAGTATTGAAATATCTGGTTTCGGATCTCGCCTGGAAAGCTCTGCAAAAGGTTGAACTCAACCATAGCGAAGATGATGGTGGAAGATGGTAAAGGTACCAAACTCAACGCCACGAGTTATGAGTATGCGCAAATTTGGCCGTCAACGTAGACATCAAAGAAATATCAAGATAGAGACAATACCCAGCAAGAAGACCTTTGGTAAGCATAAGTGAATTTTTGACAAGGCTGTGGCTACATGTCGTCGACTCTTCCCTCTTCCGCCACTAGGCGTACTGTATATGCCTCGTGACACTTGTGGAGCCTTGCTTTGGCGCATGGCGGAAAAGGGTATGGTACGGGTCTATGTTCACTGGTATATATTCACTTTAAGAAGAACGATTTAAATTCATTGGTTAAATTGCCAGTTCAATGAAAGAAGAAGCGCCGGGCAGTTATACACTTGGCGTCTAGCGCTTGAAATAGCCGCGCCTCGATAAACTTCCTAATCAAGTGCCACCAAAAAGTAGTAAGACACACCTCCAGCGACATCAGCAGTCATGGATGACCTCGAATCCCTCGAATTGCTCTCTTTGGTCTCCAAAGTGACTTCGGAACTCCAGAACCATCTTGGGATCAGCGACAAGACCCTCGCCGAGTTCATCATTGCACAGCATGCAGAATGCAAAAACTTGGAGGAGTTTCAGCAGAAGCTGGAGGCAATGGGGGCGGACTTTCCACAAAGTTTGATAGAGAGTGTAGATCGCCTGGTGCTGACTATGCATCCAAAATTTAAGGGAGGGAAAGCAAGGAATGGAGAAAGCGCTGAGGATGGTTCCCGAAAAGTGGCAGAGAAGACGAAGATCTTCAAAGGACTTGCGCTGCCTGACCGGGACGTTCCGTGGCAAGACGAGGGAGACTACTCAAACAACAATGTGAATCAGGGAACAGATGCGATCGACGATACTCTTGCCCTACTCGAGGGCCTCGAAAGCAAGGCCAGAACAGAGAAGCCTGCGACAACCAGTCGCAAACGAAGCAGAAGCCCTGAAGAAGATGATAGGGGACGGAGTCGGAAAGATAGATACAGATCACGGTCACGCTCCGTGGAAGAATCTAGGAGACGAAGGAGACATGGACATGGGGAAGACGAAAATGGGCGCTCGCGGAATGGTCACAAAAGTCATCGCCGAAGACGAGACGATGATGATCAGTTCAAAAGGCCTCCAACTCCAGAAATTGACGACGAACCTATACTTTTCAAGGTGTACGAGGGTCACGTTACAGGAGTCAAGGACTTCGGGTCATTTGTTAATATACACGGCGTTAAAGGCAAGGTGGATGGTCTTGTACATGTATCTGCCTTAGTGGAGGGCCAGCGGGTAAATCACCCCTCAGATTTGGTTTCCAGAGGCCAGCCAGTCAAGGTCAAGATCCTAAAAATTGAAGGCGCCAGAATAGGGCTCTCCATGAAGGATGTCGACCAAGAGACTGGTAGAGATTTAGCTCCACAAGCTAGGATACAATCTGGTGCCAACATGGAACAACTTGGTGGCGCTAAGAATGGATATGGTCTAATAGATGATACAACCGTTGTCTTTGAAGACAGCGTGCCTACTCGCTCACGACAGAAGAAGAGGATGACTTCGCCAGAGCGCTGGGAGATTCGACAGCTTATCGCCTCTGGAGTTGTGAAGGCGTCGGATTACCCGGATCTTGACGAGGATTACAACGCTACACTAAATGGAGAAGGCGAGATGGAGCTTGAGGAAGAAGTCGACATAGAACTCAAGGAGGAGGAGCCCCCTTTCCTGGCAGGTCAAACTAAGCAGTCCCTTGAACTGTCTCCTATCAGAGTAGTCAAGGCACCTGATGGTTCTATGAATCGAGCTGCCATGTCTGGAACGACTCTCGCAAAAGATCGTAGAGAGCTAAGGCAACAAGAGGCCCAAGACAAAGCCGCCGAACAAAGCTCAAAAGTTGACTTGTCGGCACAATGGAATGACCCAATGGCAGCGACTGATGATAGAAAATTTGCCAGCGAACTACGGAATGCTAAACCTGCCGTGTCAAATGAGACTGTTCCAGAATGGAAGAAAATCACGCAGAACAAAGAGCAATCACTTGGACGTCGAACGGATATGACGATTAAGCAGCAGCGAGAGTCGTTGCCAGTGTTCAGTTTCCGGTCAAGAGTTATCGACGCCATCCGTCAAAACCAAATCTTAATTGTAGTCGGTGATACTGGTTCAGGAAAGACGACCCAGTTGACACAGTACTTAGCTGAAGCTGGGTTTGCTAACGATGGCATGATCGGCTGTACCCAACCTCGACGTGTAGCTGCTATGTCAGTGGCAAAGCGTGTGGCCGAGGAAGTTGGATGTCAACTAGGTCAGGAGGTTGGCTACACAATTCGGTTCGAGGATTGCACATCACCAGCGACAAAGATCAAATACATGACTGACGGCATGTTGCAACGAGAAATTTTGATAGATCCTGATCTCAAAAGATACTCTGTTATCATGCTGGATGAAGCTCACGAACGTACGATAGCCACAGATGTTCTTTTTGCTTTGCTCAAGAAGACAGTGAAGCGCCGTCCAGATTTGAAGATTATTGTCACGTCTGCTACGCTAGATGCTGACAAGTTCTCGGCCTATTTCAACGAATGCCCTATCTTTTCGATTCCTGGACGCACTTACCCAGTTGAGGTCATGTATTCCAAGGAGCCTGAATCGGACTATTTGGATGCCGCTCTTGTTACGGTCATGCAAATACATCTAACCGAGCCTCCCGGGGACATTTTACTCTTCTTGACTGGACAGGAAGAAATTGATACGAGTTGTGAAATACTCTTCGAGCGGATGAAAGCCCTCGGTCCAAGCGTTCCAGAGCTCATCATCCTTCCGGTCTACTCTGCTCTCCCCAGTGAAATGCAAAGTAGGATCTTCGACCCAGCGCCTCCTGGCAGCCGCAAGGTTGTCATTGCAACCAATATTGCAGAAACATCAATCACAATTGATCACATCTATTACGTGATTGATCCTGGATTTGTAAAGCAAAATGCGTACGATCCAAAATTGGGAATGGACTCCCTCGTTGTGACGCCTATCTCCCAGGCACAAGCAAAGCAACGTGCTGGACGTGCAGGGAGAACTGGACCAGGAAAGTGCTTCCGTCTCTATACAGAAGCCGCCTTCCAGTCTGAAATGTTGCCTACCTCGATTCCCGAAATTCAACGGCAAAATTTGTCTAACACGATTCTGATGCTCAAGGCTATGGGTATCAATGACTTGCTTCATTTCGACTTTATGGATCCCCCTCCAACAAATACCATGTTGACTGCCCTCGAAGAACTCTACGCTCTTTCTGCACTAGATGACGAAGGTCTATTGACTCGATTAGGCCGCAAGATGGCCGACTTCCCTATGGACCCGTCCCTTGCGAAGGTTATGATTGCAGCGGTCGACCTGAGATGCTCTGACGAAATTCTTAGCATTGTCGCATTGTTGTCCATGCCCCCTCCTTTCTACCGACCCAAAGAAAAACAAACGCAAGCAGATCAGAAGAAAGCGAAGTTCCACGATCCGCACGGCGATCACTTGACGCTACTTAACGTCTACAACGGCTGGAAGCAAAATAAATTCGCCAAGCAGTGGTGTTTCGAGAACTTCATTCAAGAGCGTTCGATGCGGCGAGCAAAGGATGTTCGTGACCAACTCCTCCAGATCATGGGACGGTATAAGCACCCAGTCGTATCTTGTGGTAGAGATACCCAGAAGGTTCGCCAAGCTCTGTGCTCTGGCTTCTTCCGGAATTCGGCAAGGAAGGACCCCCAAGAAGGTTACAAGACACTCATTGAAGGCACGCCTGTCTATTTGCACCCAAGCTCAGCGCTATTTGGCAAGCAAGCGGAGTGGGTCATTTACCACGAACTTATCTTAACAAGTAAGGAGTACATGCACTGTACCACGGCGATTGAGCCACGTTGGCTGGTAGACGCTGCGCCTAGTTTCTTCAAGGTGGCGCCAACGGATAAGTTGAGTAAGAGAAAGAAGGCAGAGAGGATTCAGCCTTTGTATAACAAATTTGCTGCTGAGGATGATTGGAGATTGTCTTCACAAAAGAGGCAAGGCAGAGGTGGTGGAGGAGGAACATGGGGCTAATAATCTGATCGATACCCACCCTAGACATAGAAAGAGCCTGGAAAAATTCGACATATTTGTATCTAGTACCATTCCCTTTGTGTTTGGGTGATCTGTACCAACTTCTACTTAACAAATACCCTGAGCAGGCAATGCTTTGGAAAGGGCAGAACGTACGAAAAGATACCAACTTGTCATTTCTAATAAGAAAAGGGTGATTACGTGCATATCCCAAAGGGCATATAGTCCTCTCCAGTCCTTACGCAAGTAGCTTTTAGCTCCACAAGAGATCGAAGCACTTCTGCAGAAGTCCCAGATGTTGCTTGCATCTCAATTATTCACACCGTAACAGTCACAATAAATACCCTTACCAATTTGATATCAAACCAACGATCGTCAAGAGCGAAACGTAGTCTCTCCTTTCCCATCAAGCAAACCCACAAACCAAAGTTTCTAGTCCTAGCTAGAACTTTGTTGCATTTCGCACCTCCTCGCTTGTTAGTTAGTTGGTTCCCATTCCATTATTTCCATTAGTTCATGGTACTGTAGTGAGCGAAGCGACATCTTAACAGGAATATAATTTGTCTACGGAACTTACATTTCATCTAAAACGTGAGATATTTCACGCCTTCTGGAAGTAGCTGTCAAATGTGTCTTACCTGTGTTCGAGATACTTGATGTTTTTGTTGCTGCTGGTATATTGGGAAGTGATGAATGAATACGAGTGATTTAGGTGTATGAATGAACATGATATCACGTTGGTAGAAGGAAACGGGATATTTTCCACTATTAAATTACCGGGAAAGAACAAGTTCTTTTTACTTCGCATTATTACTTGCCGGACAAACAAACAAACAAACAAACAACAAATAAATTAACGTCCCCTCTAACTCATCCCCCATAATCCCTCAGATTCCTCATCTGGATAGGATCATCTCTTTTCAGAATAGACAAACGCACCAGCCCACCCTCACTCACCGACCCCATTTTAAGCGGAAAGTCGCGATTCCTCCTCGTCAACTCTATGCCATCCAGCAGTGGCCCGTCTTTAGACGGCAACGACACGTATTTCGAATCCCGAATGATTGAACTCGTATATCCCAGGAATCCGGGATTCAGGTTAACGCAATCGCAGATTACGCCTGCGACTGCGGCGAGCAGCATGAGCATCGTTGCGATGAAGAGGAATGCGAACCAGGGCCAGGATACGGAGTATACTTCTTCCGAGGCTGTCAGGGTTGCTAGTGTGCTGATGTTGTCGGGGAAGCTTAAGGATGAGCCTTCGGACATTAGAGTGTTGGTTTGGCTGAGGGAGTAGTAGGTATTGAGGAGCTGTCCCAAACGGGCTGAAAAGACGTTTGCGGGAATGTTCGTAAGAACCGCTGCGCCGTCGGCTTGTGCGATGTCTGTGGTGGATGTACTGTTTAGGTAGGACACAGACGGGTCGGTTTTAGATCCGGCTTGTGTAGCACCAAAGGATCGAGGGAGTCCTAGAGAGATCGCGTCGAAGATCTCTGGGAAGGATAATGGTGTTATGGCGGAAGGTGCGCGATGTCGTTCGGAGTTTCGTTGAGTGACGACGTGGCAGTCCGGTTGGGCATTGGCTGATTGCGTGCAAGTGATGTTCGATTCGACGTATGTTTGCTGCACTTGACAACGTGCTGCTTGTATTGATGGGGAGGGAGTCGAGTCGGAGGATACATCCAATGACTGGAACAACAATGTTCCCAATGTAGCCTGACTGTCGGAGAGATCACGGAGGTAACAAGGGGAAGCAATGTAGCCATTGTCCCCTGGTTGGCAAGATCTTGTGGATGAAGTTGTTGATAAACTCCGATTAAACTCAGGTGAGATAAAGGTGTCCATGCCCAATGACCAGGTAGCAGTAGTCAAGTCAGACGCGAGAGTAGTGGAAGAGACATTGGAGCCATGATACGTTCCGTTACTCAGCGAGTATGTTGCATTAGTTAGACTGTCATGCTCGAAAGGCTGCAGGTCTACCAAGGTACTCATTCCAATTATACTGCCGCAATTCAGTTCGATATAGCTCGACTCCATAGAAAAGTCTGTCACCCCCATCTGTATCCCAGCGATGGGGATACCGGTCAAGGCGGAGTAAACAGTTGAATCGTTTGGTGATGCCCAGCCATCTCTTGTCTCCTCGAGGGAAGATTGATATGGAATTTTGACATTTCCCCACAAATCCATCGACCCGTTCTTCGTATCCGATGGACCCAAAACTGCAGCAACGTACATTGATGTAAAAGTTGTCGTTGACTGCAATTGAGCCGCATCTGGGGGTGAGATTGCAGAGCCGCTTGCTAATAGTGATTCCGAGTCCGTGTCGAAGTATGGCATGGTTGTTTGTGACTTGCCAGTTGCTAATTTTAGAGACAAGAGCCTCAAAAATGCTTGACTTCCGACTGGGGACATCACCCACATTACCAAAAGTCCAAGACCGAGCAAGTTGAAGAACCGAAGCCGAGCGTGTGTGCCTATTGCATTGCCAAAGGTCATACTCCCCTGCAAAAGTCAGAAAATGAGCTTTACGTCTTTGGGGAAGTTTGAAGAGATTGGCTCGAGAGGGGAGATGCTGTAAGTATTCGCAAGTGCCTGAAGTATTCTAAAGTAGGAATAAAATGAGATCCCCAGCCTTCTTACCATGATCTGTTCCAGTGAACCAAGCTTTACCCCGTGCTCTAGACGATAGCCTGCAACTTTTACTGCAGCTCTGCCAATGAGTGCCGCGAAAGCAATAGGGAAAAATGTCCCCGCCTGTATGAGGTCAATATCAGATGTATGTTGGGCGTGTAGAACCAGGCCTCATTCTCAACATACCACCACCATTAAATTCCAATATGCCACCCAGTGCTGCCTGTCATTTGTGGCTTTATTATCATTAACTCCTATGACGATAGCAAGTGCGAAGAAGACCAGAGGAATGAAGAGGAATGATAGATTTGTGAGAATCATAGACCATAAATCCCTCCCAGTTTTGCCTAGCGAGTGTGACTTTGGAGGGTAACCAGGGGCAATCTCAATGTCATTTCCCCGAGCCCAAGGTTCGGTGGATGATGGAGCTTCCAGGCCGCGGAAGTCATCCTCACTATATGGGACCGTCCTGGAACGTGGATTCTCTGGAACGGGTTTCCGTCGAACAATTGGTACAGTAGACCTTGGTATTGGCCTTCCCACCATTTCTGGTACATGATTTGCTGCACGTCTAACTTCTAGAAATGAAGGTCCTCGTCCTAGTGGTACATCCCTCACTGCAGGCTCGTCCGCCGTGCGCCTAACCTCCTGGAAGGGATGTGGTGGTGTGTATATTGGTGACACTATGTCAACTCCATGGTGCTCATACCGATTTGAACCAAGTGTATTGGGAGCTTCAGGCAACCCGTTCTCGAAGTTTGCTGATATGGGAGAAACATCGGACACAGGTCTGGGTTTAACCGTAGGTTGTGTAGGACGAGGCCTCTGGTCTTCATCCCCTCTATTCCAAGCTCGATTGTAGACTGGCTCGCTCAGTACTTCGAAGCTGTACCATCCTTCATAAGGCATGCCTGATAAATTGTTCGCATGGAAATTATTTCACCCGGGGCAGACATTGAAAAAAAGTATAGAAAATCACTTGACTCGGGCTGAACTGGGCCCTACCTAGCTTTAGACCGTACAACGCATACAAGAGATCCCATGATGACATGATAGCAGCTACGTTAATCATTGCGCAAGACCTCCTGGTTTGGTAAGGAACTCGCTTAATACGTATAGGCCTGCTCTTATTCGCTGTCTTGCGAGTTTGCGAGTCTGAAGGAAGAGAAGGAGCCAGACTCGACTTAGTATGTCAGCCAGCGTGTTACAGAGCATGAAGAGGAAGCTTGTTTGGGACAAAAAGCTGATTGTTTCAACTAAAATCCGGTGCGTTCTCGAGATCCTTCCCAAAAGCTGCGCCCACAATAAATCCTTCCGCATAATTTAATTGGCCGTTTCTCACGGGTCTGGACCAAGAATACCACAACGGGTGGATGACACACGAATTGCATAACCTAATCGGACGGCAACGATTAAAATAAGCATTCTGAAACCGACAGATCTTGCAATTGGGATCCGAACATCTTGGTTGTGACTCGTCGAGTCATCGGTCGCATGTTCCCTTTAAGCCTCCTAGCTGTCAGCAGGCGGGTCTTTGAATATATAATACGAGAAACCCACCAACAAAACCATGTCCTAATCCGTGCTTCATCTATTCCAGATAGACGCCACGTGTATCAGATTCCGAGGGTGATTGCGAGAATCTCGCTTTAACTTCCCCTCTACTACGCAGTGATCTCAGATCAGTTTCGTGACATATCGTGGACCAAGAACTTGAACAAGTGCCTTGTCCGCGGTCTGGGACACATCGAACGACAATTCCATGGATATTGTAAACCTGTCGTACAGTCTGAATTAGGATTTGGCCTTCCTCTGCCTCCGAGATTTAGACTTTTTCCCCTCGCCGACAACTGGGGCGTCTGACTTGTCTGGTACATGTTCGGCCGACTGCTTATTCTTCTCCAATTCTTCTTTTTCCTTCTTTTGTAAGGCCCTCTTGACGGCTTCTTCCCTTTCGACCCTCTCAATTAGTTTCTCACTGCTCTCCCACAGCTTCTTAGCAATCTTTTCATCTTTGACATCGATCCTAGCATAATCTAACTCTCGACATTCCTTTATCAATTTTCCACCTTCGCCGCGTCCTAGTGTAGCTTCCATTGCGGCGTATAACAAGTTCTGGGCTCCACCTTCCGAGGATTTAAGTAGGAGCCAGACCGTCTGCCACAACGCCAAATATAATCCTAAACCCCAAAGTGTTCCTCTTGTCAACCAACGCCGCATTCCTGGAGTTCGCGAATATCCCGGGTCTACAAATACAACCCGAGCATTGGAAGGCGCGCCATCCGGTCTCTTGCGTGAATCCAAATGTTTTTGAAATGCTTGTCCAAATATCATCAATGCCAGTTTGCTGCGAGCATAAGCTTTCGCCGGGGTCCAATCCTTTTTGGTCAAAGCTTCACTCCCATCGATGATGGGAGGCGAGGCAATGTATGCAGAGCACGTTGTGAATAGGATCCGGACATCTCGGTCTGGCGGCTGGGCTCTGATGGCAGGACTGAGTATGCTGAGAAGGTGGAAATTGGCTAGATAATTTACCACCCAAGTTTCTTCCAAGCCTTCGTCGCTCAATACTCGAGGCTTGCCAGGAGGCGTAAGAGTCGAACCGCAAAGAATAATCATGTCTAGTCGTCGAGGCGGTGCATTGTCAATCCATTTCGTAGCAAATTGGCGGATGCTGTGTAGGGAAGACAAGTCTACTTGCTCGGCATAGATCATTTCGTTCCCAGATTGTTCTCGTAAATCGTCAATGTAGTCGACAAGGAATATGTCCTTGGGAGATTGGTGGACGAGCAGGACGATTTGGGCGCCCCTCCGTGCCAGACTGAGAGCTGTCGCTGCCCCTATGCCAGATGTTCCTCCTGTTATCATAATGACTTTACTGTGCATCTGCCGCTCCGAAGTGTTGACTTTGCCAGCCAAGTACCATTTTAGAAGGCCGATGAAGGCTACGACGGCGACAACTTTGAGGACTGTCAAGGGCCCAGGCAGACCAGGTATGCCTTTCCAGAAATAGTCTGCAATGAAAGGCAACGGCATTGCGGCGGTGGGTGAAGGGAGGAGGAGAAAAGGAGAGGAGGAGAGGGGGTATGTTGTGAAGTGAAATGAAGAACTTGACAGCTATGAGATTATAAAATGACGACGCTCCCTGACCTGAAATACCGTATTCAGGTCAGGTCAGGTCAGGGGCACATTTTCTAGCGAGTTAGTAGAATTTAAGCTTAAATATTTAGCGTCTTCGGCGTTACTATCTCTAAAGTTCCAGAAGGCTGACAACGCCATTCAACGTCTCAAACCATCAACGTCAACATCGCCATCAATAGGGCCACAATGGCCGAAGAAGAAGAAGACACTTACGAGATTCCTCTTCAGGACCAAAGAGTCTTTGGAGCAGGGATCAAGCGCAAACGCGTACAGTTTGTGCCTTCGAGTTCAAAAGCTCCCTCGATCACAACTTCTAGCACTCCTGCAAAGTCTGTCAGTGATCTCTATCTCAACTTGGTTCTCCCGGGAGACTCCAAAGCAAACGCAGAAGAGCACGGGACTTTCCCGTCAGCAATAGCAGGTCCTGCAGTGTCTCATGGCGAGGGAGCAGACGAGGCACAGGTCTGCGAGATCTGCAACCTACCCTTATCAGACCCTGTTCCATCAGTAAGTGGCAATGAGCCAGAAACAACTGATATAACCCTCAAACGCCCTCCATCGAAACTACGGCCACACGAAGCATCTCTGGCCCACCAAGTCTGCCTTGCACACTCACACCCGCCCTCACACCTTGACCGGAGCCGCAAGGGTCTGGCCTATCTATCTGCTTATGGATGGGATCCCGACGCTCGGCGTGGGCTGGGGGCTTCAGGGCAAGGCATACAATTTCCTATTAAGACGAAACCGAAGGATGATAAGATGGGTATTGGTGTGGTTCTGCCAAAGCCGGGGGAAATTAGGAAGAAAGAGAAGTCGAAGAGGTTGGATGCGGGGAAGGTCAAGAAGCTTTACGAGAAAGATAAGAGGAAGACTGAACGGCTGAGGGAGATGTTTTACCAGAATGAAGATGTGGACAGATATTTGGGAAAGGGATAATGGTTCATGGGAATGGAGTTGGGATGCTGTTGGTTGTGTATGTCGTACTTGCTTTTGATACCCCTTTGAATTACTAACGTTTTGTGAAGCACTTGGCAAGAGCCAGTGTCTTTACCCACAAATCTATTCAAATCAAAATGATACTACTATCTATCTTTTTTTTCTGCGTTGTGGTTTGTGAATGAACTTCAGAAGCCGAGCTATGCATTCAAATATATCACCCTTTTAAATCGCTCTCCTCGCGATCGACTAGACGAGACATCCCCTATGACCAACCACACCCCACCTCCACGTTAGAACACTCGTCTAGTCAGGAGATAGCTTGCGTGACATCTGCAGGTCTCATGTATTGGTATAAGAGTAGATGAGCCAAAGAGCTTCTTCAATTCGGCAACGCATGGCATGTTTGTACCTAATCTTGAGTATATACTCTATATGTTCGTATACATTCCCTCTTCAGCAACGCACGCATGTTTATTTGTAATATTGAATATATTTGTATATCTTCAAATACATAAGGACTTGCAACTAATAAATAAATCATACATATATGCATTCACGCAAGCTTTGGTAAAAACATTGATTTCGGGGGTGGGTGCCTTTAGTAATGAGGATAACGCCTGGGGGTCTAATGTTTCCTGTTTTTTGCTTTTCGTTCACTAATGAAGTCTAAAGAGGGGCATTTGTTTTGGTATATCTTTCAAGTGTTTGTTCGCAGAGCGGGGTTATTAGACAGTAGAAGGAATCGAGACGCCAAACACCAGAATTAGTCCCAAGACTTCTCTTATTATGCATCGAGAAGAGAACTGGCATATCCAAGCCAAGGTACCTACAGTACCTACTTGTATAGAACTAAGTGAGCGAGCAAGCCGCGTCCCCGACACTCGCAATACCGACTCCACACACTATACCTCCCAATTCCATACTTCCTCACTATCCTATATGCAATTGCAAAGACCGTGAGTTGTGGTGAATGAATAAATGAATGAACGAAAGGTACGGAAGAGAAAATGGTAGGTACACATTACTCTACCTTGAATGCAAGCTACAAGATGAAGATAGCACTGCAGCTCACTACGGAGCTATAAGTCAGTCAGTCAGTCAGTCAGTCAGTCTAGTCTAATTCCCATTTTCAAAATGCATTCGTGAATCTCATTGCCGTATGAACGGGAGTATCCGCTAATTACTACGTAGAATACCCCGAGTTAGTTCCTATGCACATACCAAACTCATATCTATTTACGAAGCCCTGCCTAACCTAACTCCTCTCCCCGCTATGCGCTATGCGTTCAACGCCTGCAAAAAACCACAATGCACCCGTTACATGAATCATTTCTTACTCCCGAAAAAGCCTCGCTTCTTTTTCTCTTTGCCGTCTTTACTCTTCTTCTCCAGCTTCCCCTTGTGGTCCCCGCTATCACCATTCAATGGGATTGGACCGCCGCCGCCAGAATTCATGCTCATTGCCGCTACTCCGGCAGTGGGTGGTTGTGGTGCGTAGGCATTTGGAGAATATCCAGGACTTTTTTGCGGCGGAATTGGGACTCTTTGTACGGGTGTGCCTCTGCCCGGGACGCCTAACCCTTGACCTGGTCTTGGAGGTGCCGTATTCGCAACCGGTCGAGGAGGAGGGTCGTTCCTCTGGAATAAGAATTCAGGGGCTTTAGGTTTTGGTCGATCGACTGGGAGATCCAACCTTCGCCTGTCCACGGTCAAATCTCCTATTTGTCTTATGAACATTGCTGGCGTCATCATATGAGATGTAGCCAGAAATATGTCTTTGTTCATTGCAGTAGACACTTCATAGCAAGCCCGGGATTCCGAATAAGTGGCACCTCCTGCCATGAAAACAATTATTCTTTGTTGGGTTTCAGTTGTGGACATTCGGTTTCGTGCCCATGTGGGCTTGGCACTTCGTAAAGATGCCTGTGATTGTATGGCCAGCTCTGCGGAGTTATCTAGTGACTTGTTGATGTAGGGAAAAGTTTCTGTATCAAGGGCTCCCCTGGCCAGATTTTCAAGCATTATTTTAACGTTGGGCTCGAATCGGGAAAGTGCATATTCTTCGCTCTGAGCAGTTGGAGCGGTCTTTCTTGGAAATAATGGCTCTCTAACGAGTTTGGGGTCTTTTAGAGCTTTGACAGTATGGGCTCCGAGCAATTCCATGTTCATCACCACCTCCGCATTGTTTGTCGGAAGTGATGAATGTGCAAGAAGACGCTGAATATCTTCTGGTATCACGCCTTCGCGATACATGATGTAGAGTATGATGAGTCGTAACCGGTCTGGGCCGTTAATACTTGGATCGTCAAGTAGTCGTACTATTTGATCGGCCAAATTCTTGGGTTTTCGAAAATCCTCGTCCAAGCCCGTGGCGAGGGATTGCTCGACAGAAGCAATGTCTGGGAGCCTGTGGTGCTGGAAAATGTCCATACATTCTTGGGCCATAGTCAAATGTAACGAATATAGCTCTTTCAGCTCCTGAAATTGTGGTAGTCCAGCCAACATATCCTTAATAGCGTTCAAACTCGTGGCATCTGCTTCTGAATTTGTGAAATGGGGATTCTCTTGGATGAACTTTTGGAAGTCACCCATTAACTTTTCAATCGTATCCTTCATGTGTCGATGCCTATTCTCAACCCATATCTTATCCTTTTCCCCAATTTCCATGTCTTTCGCCTGTGAATTTTCTTGTCCTTCATTGACAACCGTTTTGTAAGTCACAGTGTCTCCTTCCTTTATCGGTAGCAGGTCATGGGCCATGGCTTGATATGTGAATTCGTGGATCAGCGGAGCAATTAAATCCATTGATCGGTCGGTAATAATGAGAACTCCCTGTGGTCTGGATGTGGCGGGTGGCCAGTTCGCGTTGTATTTTGCGTATGCATCCAGTTCCTCCTGAACGAATTTTGCCAGGTGAACAGATAGGACGTGTGCTTCGTGTAATGGTTTCTTCGGTTTGTAATATCTGACTTTGGGGTATTCTCCCAAAGAAACACAAATCCCGGTAATCTGGAGCACATCAGCCTTGTACGAGAGATAGAATTCGCTAACCCAACCTTTTGTGCAAGATTCTGCAGATGATCCCGAACAAGGTTGTTACACGCTGGGTGATATAGAATTGGGAAACTCCAAGGATCTCTGAATGTTACTAAATGTGATTCGCGAGGGAAATAATCGATCGACAATGTCAGAAACCCCGCTGTTTGGTCCTTTGCCTCTCTAGTATCCAGACGCCGGCGTAGCTGGGGGTGGAGGAGCGCAGTCCATACGAGGAAGGCATTCCGGTATCTTCGGCGCTCGAAGTCTGCCATTAGACAGTCGACAATATGCGGTTGCGGCGACAATAGGTAGATGGCATCCATATCAGTATTCATTTCCCTCTTCTCCTCAACCCGCTCAATATCTATTCACATTTAGCACTTATTATAAGAGGTCCAGCGGGCCACGCACTCGCGATATTCTCGTTGAGAATGTCATCTTCCTTCACCACGTTGTCTAATATCTTCTTGGAATTTTCGTCGACGACCAGCACCTTCCACTGTAGAGAGAATTAGCAGGTTCCAAAGAATTGCAAATGGCAACCCTACATCGCCTCGTGTTATATTTCTGATTGTAGCTAAGATTGCTGTTGTGCCATGTCAGTTGTGGTCGGTCTTGAGCGGGGGATGGCATGGCATGGTCTGCTCACTGTCGCGCTGTTCCTGGATCGCGGACGCCCCCATCTTGGCTATGTGGAGGGCGAGCCCCAAGTAATTGTCTCGAATAATTTGCTAGGTATTGCTAAAAAGAGGTCTTCTGGGTCCGTATTCTAAAGATCGAGGATTTGTTCTGTAGTTGAATTGGTTGACTTGTGTCAGGAAGGCTTGGCGGGGTGGCATATAGGTACCGACAGTTTCACCGCTTGCGGCTAATTATTGTAGCTTGGCAGCAGGTAAGGTACCTCAGCAGGGTTACCTAGGTCAATTATATATGATTGGCTTTCCCAATAACTTATGAATAACCTGTAAAGTTTAAAGAACTGCTTAATAATCATAAGTTACTTCTACCTGAGAGTCAGACTAGTATGCTATATTCACAGCGGAAAGTTTTGTTCGTATGATTGGCAGTGTTCGCTGTCTAGCATAGGGAACCCCCCCCCCCTTCCCACATGAATACATTCGTACCTAGACGCCCGGCAATAGGAAATCTCTACACCATAAAGTTCATAGGAACTATATACATTGCCATCAGCATTTCCCTATACTCCAAAAGATGCATGCTAAGAACCCAAAGTAGACAATACCGCTCAACCAACTACACCCCATCCTAATGCCTGCAAATCATCCTTCGTCCCAAGAAATAACCGCCCCCAATATAAGTATGGTCTTGTTGATAGATATATAAAAACCACACAGCAGACAGGCTACAAGGCATCATGCAGCGTCAAGTACGGGGCTTCCTTTTCACCGTCTCCCTATTCGATATCAGATGAACTGCAGGATAACCTGAAATGCTTCAGTCGCTTTTAGTCTTCGAGACAGTGTTTCCCATGAGGTGGTTTCAATAACAATAAAAGAGAACAAGGAATGTTTTGGAAGTAAGTATATTTGCGAAACATGCTAAATACTAACCTTCTTGTGTTTCTCAAATACCACAAGTAAGTTAATAAACTATTTTGTGTCTATGGACCATTACTTGCTCGGAAGGGAATGCCTCTACACGCAGAAGTGCGGGGTGGCGTTGGCGGGGATTTCCCCCTGTTACTCACTTATCCTTGCGGGTGTAACTCGTTCACAGGTATATCATCAATATGACAGTAATACGTTATTTCATTCGTCTCTCAACTAAGCACTCGGCATAGCCAAATCCATAACATCATATTATAATTACAGGCTCACTGTCAATTCTGCATATCCTGTATCTACTGCCGTCTGTAGGCACCTTGGGGAGGCGGCCCTCTGGCATCAAAAGGAGCACCAAATGCCATACCTTCTGGACCTTGGAACCCGTTGATTGGGGGTAAGAATCCTGGAGGTGGGCCGCCGTTAAAAAAGCCTGGGGGTGGCTGCATCGGCATGTTTCTTGGAGGTCCAGGAAGCATCTCTGGTGGGAAATTGCCGATTGGAAAACCAGGAGGGAACATTTGCTGTTGCGGAGGCATAGCACGACCTAGACCACCGGCCAAGCCGGGAGGTGGTGGGATGTTTTGGTTCATTCGATGCTGTGGTGGTGGAAGCTGTGCCGCACGCTCCCATCCTAGTTCTAGACCTGGAGGGGGTGGTGGACGCTGTAGGATTTGGGTTGGTTGTGGAGGATTGCCTGCTTGTCTTTCATGTTGAGGCGGGCCACGTTGAAAAACAGCTGGGTCATCATAGAATCCAGGTGGTGGTTGAGGGCGAGCTTGTCGAGATGCGATGCGTTCACGCTGTACTGCTTCCCGCTGCATCTCCTGCTCACGCTCCATCATCTGCTGCTGCATTTGCCGATCCATTGACTTTTGCTGCTGCTGCTGAGGCGGCATTCTCAAAAGAAGAGATTCTGACCTTTGAGGGTCTGGTGCCGCCTTGGCGCTCTGCATAAGACCCATGAGGAAATCGGTATTTCGGCTGGAAAGTTGGTCCGGCCTCTGGGAAGACTGGCTGATGGTTTGCTGACGTTGCCCAACTAATTCTTGCAGCATTTGCTCTGGCCTGACCGTCGGTTGGCTTCCGGTCATCTGACGCTGGTTTAGCAGATCTTGAAGAGCTTGCTGAGAATTTCGTGTACTTGGTCGTTGCTCCTCTTGGCGTTCAGTGCGATACTGCTGGAAAGGCTCTGGTGAAGAGATAGGAATGCTTTGCTGCTTATCTGGAGCAGGTGGTTTTGGCTGCATGGCCAAATTTACTGGAGGTGTAGAGCCGCTACCTTGTTGAAGCTTTCGGAGTATTTCTTGGAAGGCTACTTGATCTTTACTTTGAGATTGAGGACTGTTATTTTGGAACATTCCCTCCAATCCGCTTTTGGGTGCTGGTGGTGGCATGGCCGGCGGAGGTTCCGTTTGTCTTCGTGGAGGCTCTTCTTGTGGAGTGAAGAAGGATGTAAACCTCGATGCCTTGCCAGTAGTCTTCGCTTTTGTAACACCTTCTTTCTTCGGTTCAACTCCAGAATCTGGGGATGGTTCTTGGCTTGGAGTGGCAGCCCATTTACCGAAAAACTTGTCAGGGCCTGTATCCATTGCGAGCGGAGTTTCGACCTTATGCTTCTCTAGACCGAAGAAGCTGGCACCAGCATCAGCATTAACTTGGGGCTCCTCAGCAGGCGTCTTGCCAGAGGCAGCTTTGTCCTTTCCCTGCATTTGCTCTTTCCACTTCTGAAAGTCCTCTTGGGTATGAGCTTGGTTCTTCTCGTCCTCGGGTTCGGCTAGCCATTCGGGTTCCCGTTCTTGTCGCTGATCTCTATCCCTATCCCAACGACGGTCACCACGTTCATGTCGTTCGCCTCGTTCGCCGCCTCTGTCTCCTCTGTCACCCCTATCTTCACGTTCCTTTTCTCTCCAACCTCTGCTGCGGTCGACAAATTTGTCGCCGTTGCTGTTGCGTTCTCTTGGCACAGGGGGAACATCGGTGTTGTCCTTGAACCAGGAGGGCTCATTTCGTCCACGACCCGTTCCACTCTTACGGCCATCTCGTTCCCTCTCCTGATCATGATCACCATCTTTGTCTCGGGAGTATGTATCGAATCCTCTCAGAGGCCTGTCTTTCGGGTCCCGGTCCTCTCTATCCTTGAATCTCCTGTCATCTTTGTGCTTGTCTAGGCCCATGCGCCCATTGAATCTCTCAGCGCCCTCATTTCCAAAGCTCTTGCGGGGTTTGACAGTACTCCATCCATCGCTGTCTTGATCTCCTTCTCCCCGCCTAACGCGTAGAGTGCTGTTCCGACCGTCTCGTGCCCTATCGTTATCTCCATCGCCAGTTTTGCCACCACGAAAGTTGAAGCGGTCACGCGAGTCCATATCACGAAGAGGCGGTCGGTCTGGAGACTCAAAGGGTTTGATACCAGTTCGAATTGAAGTCGCAGACATGAAAGAGGTTTTGGGAGGGCCGAGGATGATATCTTCTGGGTCTACACAACATTAGCATGCATCCTATGCTGGATAATTGAGGAGCTTACTGGCACTGTTGCGTGACACATGTCGCTCAGCAGCAGTGCGCCTGTTTGGCTGATCTACAAGCAAGTTCGAGTCATTTTTCCTAGCCTCAGACCTTGCCGTTGGTGCTCTGCGATATGTCAACGAGGGGCTCTGGGTATGCCAGAAGTCTTTGAAGCTTACCCCATCCATTGCTCTGCTGGGGGGAGGCCTGCGGGCTTCAATACTAAAGGTGAGTCCCGCAGGTACTTCATCTCATCGGGAGTGTATCTGATCGCCATTGTGTCTGGCACAGGATAGTGTGATGTATAATATTACCAAGACGCATAGACTGTATGCGATAATCTAGTGGATGCAGACACTGACTCGATGGTGGTGAGGCTCAAAGTAGAGGTGAAAAGATGGCTCGACGATTGGGGTGAGGCTGGGCTGGGTTGGCAGGCAGGAAACGTGAATTTCGTAGGTGAGCGAGCGACTCTGGGAATTTGGAGAAGACCTTTGGATCATAAAATGAGATGCGCCGCGATACAGAGCAAGCTGCTTCGCGCGTCTCTGTCTGGCGGGGAGGCAGCCCGCAAGGCGCAAAACGCGCTGCTGGTGTGCAGGCGAAAGGGGACAAGAGGGAAACGAATTTATGTGTGGCAAGGTCCAGTAAGGGGGAGGTCGATCAACGGGGACAGGTATTAAGAACGTATCTGTTGGTTGATTATGCAGGTGTAGATTGAGTGCTTGTGCTTGGTTCGTGGTGGTGTTGAAATATACCGAAGTTGTCAAGTCAAGGTCGGTTGTTTGTTTGGTTGAAGGCTCTCATCAAGGCTCTCGCTCTCGCTTCTACAATGGAGTTCTAGTGGACTAAGCTCTGACGCACAGACCACTCGAGCTAGACACCACCTCCACCACACCTACCACCCCCTCTTGTATTCATCTACCTAAGGTATCACACCTACCTCGTCTCGTACAGCACTTCCTAGGCATTCGAACTTGAAACTACTTCTACATTTAACATAGTTGTTTCAGGAATAGCATAACATGGTCACATCCTAAAGGTCGTTCAACAGCTTGAATTCATTATGGGGTATCTATTACAAGGCTAGAACTTCATAGTATTAGCTTTGACTGCGCCGAAATTGACACTTTTTGACCACTTTCCGACCCGCTGCTTATCAGATGACTCCAGGATCCGCTCCATGAGTGCTTTCAGAGACATGCCAGTACCCAACGCAACCTGCGCTTCAATCCAAGTCATGGCACTAAATCTCGTGATAAGCGTGGCGCTACCCCCCTCAATCGTGGTAGCCCTGAACAACAGCCTCAGTATTTTATCTCGCACGCCTGGGGCCAGGTAGGCATTGTTCCAGATGCTGAGGAGTTTCTCGAAGACCCGTCTCTTGCGGTATATAGCCATATCAGCCGGTGAGCGAAGGCCAGCAAGCAGATATGTCAACAACCAATTCGTTTCTTGGTAATATGCGTCATCAAAACTAGGAGGCTCGTCGAGGACTTTGTACATCAAAGGTATCTTGTCCGATTCCCACGTTGGACCCTGTGACAGAAAGTTGTTGATTTTGGGATAGAGTCGGTGTGAAGGATCGCTCAGCACCGGGATGGCATGCGAAGCAAATGCCGAAATCACAGTCGGCAGAGGTTCTTGATCGATTGATTTCTTTGCCGTCTCTACTACTTCGGAAAGTAGGAGCCAGACCTGGTCTTTCTCTTCGAAGGCTGAATCCTTCAGCTTTGCAGCAAATTTCGAAATGTTGGTGACAGCTTCCTTCCGAACGCTTAAGAGTTCCGAGGATAAAAGCATGACTAGTGCTGCAGCATGTCCGCTTTCAATTACCTCTTCAACATCTTTGTTGACCCATTTCACAAGTGAACTACTGTTATCCGCCCGAGGGTCAGTATCTTCGAGCATCTTTGCTGTTAAAGCTACATCGTCAGACTCGAAAGGTACGTTGCTCTTGCTGTTTTTCTGTTCTGTTTCCTCAAGTTGTTTGCTCTTGCGTTCAGGAACAGTGACGATGTCGACTAGATCGCGTGTCCCTTCGATAGTACTCCGCACAGTTGAACCCTCCGGGATTGCAGCCGCCAGCTGTTGTATTACATCCCTGATGATTTTCTTGTCTTCCTTGATCTTGAGAAGAGTAGCTAGATATGATGCCAAAAATCGGGCGACCTCTTGCAACACCGTATCACTAGCTGACTTGATCAAGAACGGCCACTGCTCTGCGATAACCAGTGTAAGTAGACTGAATGGAGACAACCTATGACCAACATTGTGGACTCTGCTATTGATCTCTTCAAGCCCGAAGATATACTTGATAGGTTTCGCGGCACAGCGTGAGATGCAGTCATCCAAGAATTCATACACCTGGGGTCCGTCTGCTATACCATGTAGAGATCTGAGCACGAGGATAAAGGATTCCAATGCAGAAATGGATGTCTGGGTCTGTAAGACTTGGTTCTCCTCGCTGATTGAAGTGAGAACCAATTTCAACTTGAGCAATGGCACATCCACTGGAGCCTCTGCGGAAAGCTTCAACATCGCCATAAATGGAGAGATGTGAACCCCTTCCGCTTTCGAGAACCACCGCATGCCGGGAGAAAAATGGGCAAATTGGAAAAGATTCTCCAATTCCATTGCACACAACGATCGGTCTTCTGGGGATAAATTTGATCCCTCAATTTCACGCAGTCTTTGCGTCAGAACGCCCGACACATCAAATTTAGCGTCTAAGGCTATGCTGGGCACTATCTCATAGTACAAAACGAGTAATCTAGTGGCGGCTTCTCTTTGAAGTAAGTCTGTATCTGACATATTTCGGAAAGCGTGGATGACATCCTTGATTGACGGACACCTTTTACAAAATGCATCCGTCAATGAAGCTGCCGCTTGCGCCCATAGTGAAGATGAACCACTCGCTGCATCCTCATACATCCGCAAAGCAATTTGAAATTTGCGAAATGCAACGCAGAGGATCCTGATCGCAAAGAATGTGATCAACTTTTGGGGTTGCAGTAGGCAACCCCTCAGAACTTTCTGGCTCAGCGGCTGGGGAAGAATACTTTCCAAAACTATAGCTGGAGGTGGTGGCAAGCGTGCATACCGTTGCTGATGTCCAAAGTAAATCGGAAGTGGTAGCTGGAGGCTCGAAAAGAGAAATGCCGAGTATCCAATCCAAGTTGCAGTCAATTTGGGTTCAAATGAAAATGACTTCTTGTGGAAGAAGTAATCTGCAACCAGCTCCGGTGCGGACGTGAATATAGATAGTATGAGATCTCTCTGTTTGGCGTTAGACCAGGGCCGCAGAGTCTGAATAAAATCTGATAAGATTGTGTTTCGTATGGGGACTTTGTCGGTGAACTTGTCCATCCATTCAACACTGTGAAGGCCTAGGTCAAGAAGTGCTTTATCATCATCAAAATCTTCCAAATCATCAGGATCAATGCCTCGAGGGTAGAAACCCGCCTGGCGATTCAATGCTCCAAGTTCGGGAGACATACATGCTAGCACCAAAAATTCGTGTGCAACTCCTTCCACTGTTTTCTTCGATTTCATTAATTCCTCATCAGGCTGATCGTATCCATACAACATGGCAATCCGTCCTAACGAAGTGGCATTCAGCAGTTTGGCCTTAGCGTCTCTAGGAAGCTTCTCGTCCTGAAGGACTGAGGTCTTCAAGTTCTCCAGAGCCTCACAAATCAGGAAAGGCGGATCATCTTTGATATCTTTCGTCATCGCCGTCACTATATCCCGTTGATAAAGAAGTTCCCGCTTGCTTTCCGATGGAAGAAACTTGAGCAGTGACAGCACAAATCGGAGAGCATTAGTTCGAACAGAGGGTTTTTTTCTGTCTTCTGCCTCCTCTCCACTGATACGTAAGTGGAGGTTACGTGCTAGACCTTTGAGGGTGTGGTCTCTCGCACGGAAGACTTGCTTCGCCATATCTCCACCATCAAACATGGCCAATTGATTTAGCAGCCGTAACACTGGAGACAGTATGAAAGTCTTCCCCTTAGTAACCATCAGACCTCGTGAAATCAAGTCCAGCTGGCTCTTTTGAAGAATAGTGCGACATACTCCCAAGCCATGCTGCACCAAGTCGAGTATGCTTGACAGCGTCCTGAGCAGCACTGCAAGTACAGCTGGTATTGCTGACAACAACAGTTCGTCGTTCGATTGAGCTGCAAAACTCCATGTTTGCATAAGATCGGGCAGATATGTTACGGGCTTATCCTCCTCTTCTCGTGACTGGCTCGTCTCGAAGAACTCTCTGAGAATGGCAATTCGGTGGCTGTGGTCATTTTCTCGGACAGCAAAGGGATCTAGAAAGGCTTTGAAAGACTCGATAGCTGTAATCGTGTTAGAGTAAATATCTCCAAGGTTCATGGTCATCTTTCTCACCATGTTTTGATCGAGTCGAGTCTTGATCGAAGGATAAAAGTCTTCTGAGTTCTCTCGCCGAGCGAATTTCTGTGGGCGGGCTGGTGGTTTTGGAGACATTGGCATTCGAGATCTTTTGGCGCTTCAGGTATGCCTGGTTGCCATCTTCAAGGTCTTCTACGCCTCTTTTGACCATTGTTTACGCAATTGCAGCACTGTTGGCTGTCGCGAACCTTTATTTATTGTGTGGTTGTAGGTAGTTGAGCGAGCATTTATTCTAGACTTGCCCGCCATTAGGATCTTTTTTTTTGCGGAGGGCTCGGACAAAGGTTATTCCGTAGGTACCTAGGTACCTAGCCTAGGCCCTAGATCTGCCATATGTGGATCTAGACTTACACTACTGTATCACGTGGACGCGATGATACTCATACCTAGGTACGGAGCTATACCCTACCTACCATATCTCAACCTTTAAAATAAGAGCGACTCTCCTCCTCGCTGCCACTCCCCATCCATCATGATTTGCGACAATCCAATGCACCGCGCATAGCTCAGGCATTCGTAACCTTCGATGTCAGTAGCCCCCCCAACAACTCCCCGGCGCGGGATCAAGGGCAAATCCCACCTCCGCAATGTGAGCAATGGTAGTAGTCAATCAACCACATCGGATACTGGCACCGCTCAGCATGATCCTATTCCCGTGAAACTTCCCACCCAGAGGAAATGCACTCTCTGGGTCCACGAGGAGGCTTTCTCCAAGGATGATGTCGTTCTCGACCTCGACCTGTTTCCAAATGTGAAGCCGGGGGAATTGATGGATGTTGGAGCATTGAAGGCCGATTCAGGGGTCCGTGACTTTCAGGAGGCGGCTCAACCCTCGAGAAAGGATGGAGACTCTCTTTCTGCCACCATGCAACGGCAAAGGAGCAATTCAAATTCCGATAGCCCCAGTACCGCCAGTGGAAATCATGCTAGGCGAGATTCTGATTTCGGGAAACGGTACCTGTTCATTGCCCAAGAAATGCCCAAGGAGGTGAAAGTAAAGCAAGCAAGGTTCGAAATATCCGTAGCAAAGCATATCGCCGACTTATTTGGTCTCAAGCATCGTTCTCAAGTCCTTGTCTCTACAGTAAGTGCATCTACTATCCTCCTGTGGATACAGCATTGACAGAAAGCTTCAGACGGACACAGCTGTTTGTTCTGCTTCCCATGTTGAACTCTCCTTCAAAGATGAGTATCTTTCCCGCTCTGACATGTGGAGACTGGCCCTGAGTGAACTGTCCAACAAGACCGTATTCAAGGGTCAGAAGATACTATTCATGGGTACCATAAAGGCTCAGGTGACATCTATATATGTTGACGGTCGTAAGATGCAATCTGCTTTCTACTCAACAAGCACAAGGCCAGTCTTTCGCAGCGAGTCCGCTCGCTATGTGCTATTTATTCAGATGTCCAGAGAGATGTGGGACTTTGATTCCGAAGGATCTGGCGAAATCATGTTCAGCAAGGTTGTCAATGGCTTTCTCCCCTCGCTTTTTAAGAAGTGGGCTTCCCTGAAGGCAAAACATCTGGTGAGCATTGTTCTGTTCACGAGAGTTGAATACGACACTGGCATCGCTTCAGAGCTAGCAAGTGCACATGATAGTGCCTATCATACCGGTATCCAGGCAGAGGGAAATAAAAAACCCTACAAAGATTTCTATCGGGTAGTTGTGAGCGAAATGGCGAGTGGGTCATGGACGACAATTCTGTATCAGCTGAAGCGCGAGTTCAAATTCTTCCTTCGAGACATCTCGTTGCACCGTTACAAAATGGCAGCTGCTTTTGCTCCCGCGCCGCAAGACGGCAATACGAGAGGGCCAATTGGTACGCGTATAGAAGCAGAGCCGTCTCTTGCCATGCATGGTAACGTCTTAGAGGCTATCAATCTAGCGTCTTCTCAGTTTTCTCACGATTATATTGACCGAGACCTGATGCGGACGGGAATCTCCGTTGTGGTTATCACCCCTTCGCCCGGTCTTTTCGAGGTTGATTATGAAACATTGAGAATGACAACGGAGGCCTTGATTGGAAGCGGCATTGGCATAGATCTCGTCTGTCTTCCCAAAATGCCCTTACATTCGGTCCCCTTGTTCCGTTACCGAAACCCGCAATACGGCGCTTTCCAAGAAGCTATGCACATCAAGTCGCTCCGAAGTGAAGACAGCACCCCTCGTCAAGCTGCTGCTATGTTTAGCAGCAGCTTCTCTTCCATGAATGAGTCATTATCTCCATTAAAAGCGTCAATGCGTGAGCGCAGTCTTCGGACGGGGTCCTTCGCTGCGACTGATCCGCCAAGCGAGTGGTCCTATGCCATCCCTCACTGGCTCGATGTTTCCTTTTGGACTGGGGCATCTGAAGACATCGGGCTCGAAAACCCTTTCGCAAAGTCTATCGATAAATACCTTAGGAGTGAGCGTTCGCAACAAGCGCGAGATTTTGAAGTCAGGTGTAAGATGTACGAGATGGAAATGGCCAGTGTCATGGAGAACGTATTGACGGAGATTGCTGTCAGACCTTTGCAGCATGATGCACTCTTTTCCCAGATGATAGTGGGACTTCGAGAAATTCCGGGCACCACACAAAACTCCAAAGAAGCTTCGGATTCTGTAAATAGGGAGAAAGTCATCGCAAGTCTCTCAGAATTTGTAAGTGGTCCTTCAAAGCCTCAGCTGGATCGTCAGTCCTCTTCTGAAGAGAAAATTCTTTATAAAGCGATGGATAAATTTGATGCAACTATATCTGAGTTTCTGGAAGACTTTCCTGGTACTCGTCGGAATATTGAAGGGAAAAAATATTCCAAAGCGAGAGGCGAGGAAACAGTCAAGAGGATCCTTGCTGAGGATGTGAAAGTTTTCGAAACCTCATTCAAAGATGAACGTGGGACAACAAAAGGGCCTAGTGTAACAGGTACCTTGATGCCCGGAAACTCTGGACAAATGTCACAGAATTCCGAAGAGAACCTTAAGCCTAGGAAAGAAATCTTGAGTAGCGCCATGACAGCAAAGTCGAAGATGTCTGCACTTCGACCTCCCAAATTTGGACGACAGATTAGCCTTGGCAAGCATGGATTTGGCATTGCAGCACCCAAAGCTGCTACAGCAGAGATACAAATAGAACATGCCAGTGCGGCTAAACCAAATACTAGGACGTCCAAAGTGTCAATAGCAGCAACAACATCCACAAGTAGCACAATGGCAAATCACCTACTCAATACTGGAGCAAATCAGACCCAAGACCGGCCGCCATCGTCGCAGAGCGAAAAGTCCAAAAACCAATCCGGGACACGGACACCGGATCAAAGAACTGATACGGGGGACATGGAAAATGCTCACGCTAGTAGGCCCATGACAATCAAGAGCGCTCTTCAATCGCTAGATTCAACAAATCAGTTCAAGTCTCGCTCCATGCTCGGATCTCTTTTCGAGGGACACGATGGTGCAGATGAAAGTGAAGGTGCTCATAATCTTCAATCTCTAAGGCTTGATGATGCTCAAAAACTATACAATTCGAAATTGTTAGCAGGATCAGTCCCTGAACTTCCCGCAACACTGTCGCCGACAACAGCGCTGTCGCCTTGGCTTAAAGTATTGAATCCTTCCAACCCTCCCGCAAACGATGCTCTTGGTCCAAGCCAGTATAAACGCTGGCAGCACGTGTATCCTCGACCTGTACCAACAAGAACTATGAAGTGGAAATCATTGTGTTCTCCTGCGTCAGTGCCATTGACGACCGAATATTTCCCAACAAAACATCAGCTTGACACAGAATACCAGCAAAAGCCGTATAATATATCCCAGAATGTAGAGGATGGGCTCAACGAAGATCCCCAGGCGAGAGAAGATTTCCTCCGAGAGCTCATTGGGTTGCGATTGTCTCAGGGGTTTCAGATTGTCGTTGGATCAGCAGTTGCCGACGCGTTTGGCCAAAAGTCTTTAAAAATAGCCAATGTTTTTGATCGCGATCACATTGCAGAAGATGGCGCGAGTGTCTTCATGTCGATGGGAAACATTATCCACCAACTATCGTGTGTCAACGAAAGCGAAATTGAAGTCAACATGTTCGTGCGGAAGCCGACTGCCTCGACAGCAACTAGTCCAGGTTCTGTCGTGCCAGCAGTCTATAATCCTGCCATTAGAACTACGTTGTCTGACAACTACGACTCACGCTCAATAGTATTTGGAAAACCCAAGGATGAATACAACTGGAACTACGTGGATGCGTTCATCGCAGGATTTGACGACGAGATGTCAGAGAACCTCCGTTTCTGGCGCGCACGTTTTGTGCTGATACCTGTGGAGCGACCAACTCAGTCACAAAGATATCAGGGGGAGGACAATGAGGAAGAGATTCGCCTTGAAGGTATTAAGAAGCTTACACAAACCTGGCAACGGCACAGGATCCTCACTCCATCGGAACGTCGATTTCAAAGTCTCGCGGCACGCAAAACCAAAGATCCGAATCCTCTTGATATTGTTTATAAAACGGAAGACCCTTCTGTTGTAGTCACGGCAGAACTCGAGACTCTACCTCTCGTTGAGACGAGTGATCTGGGAGTTAGACGTGGACAGTTGTTGGAGACGGAGCGTTTCCGAAAGGCAAAACTTGATATTGCGGCCTTAGCAGAAGCCATACAATGTCCAATCGAACGTGGAGGTGTCCGAATGCAAAATCGAAGGTGGCACTTCCGGCTTCATTACAACTGTTTCATCGGGTCTGACATGACCACTTGGTTGATCGAGAATTTTGAGGATATTGATACTCGAGAAGAAGCTGTTGAGCTTGGTAACATGCTGATGTCAACAGACGAGTTGCAACGACCAAGGGAGAAAGAGATACCGAAAGATAAAAAAGAAAAAGAAAAAGAGGGAGGAATTTGGGCCCATGTAGAGAAGCGTCATCCATTTCGAGACGGCCAATACTTTTATCAAGTCACTGGAGAGCATGCTAAGCAACGCCCCGAGAGTCGAAGTGGGTGGTTTGGCTCCAGACGTCTCGATAACTCAATCCCATCTACGCCAATATCAGAAAGTATGTCTCGAGATTCTCCGAGGCCTGAACGATCAAGGGATTCGAGTTCAAACCACGATGAGAAATCCTCTGATTCCGGAGCGACAACTCCAACAACTGCAGGCGGAAAAAGACCAAAGGTCGCTCTTAGTAAAGTCATGAAGTACGACGGTATGCATATTCTCATGAAAATCTGCTGGAATCCTTGAGGGCAGCTGGGAGCTTGAGAGCTACTTCAGGAGCCGAATGTCGGCTGCCGAGACAACCCCAAAGCTCCCCAGCTCTCTTCAAAAGTCTTTGACTATTTATAATGCTAATTCGCCGGGGTAGTTGATCCACGCCGTCGCTCGTATCGTCCGGAGAGGATAAACTTGCACTACGATCGATTACACAATCCTGACAATTGCTATCATATTCGAATTGACTGGGTCGGCGTTACTGCCAAACTAATTGAAGATGCAATAGAATCATGGGCTCGAACTGCAGAAGGGTTTGGCCTGAGGCTTGTAGAAGCGCCAATCGGGGAGGCATGCTCCATAACCTCTGTGCACCCATTCAGGAGTCCTTATATGATTGAACTCGCTGTTCAGCCACCAGATCGGCAGCCTAGGACCTATTTTGATTCCACCTACTTTGGTCCCCAAGCTCCAACAATTCCGGCAAACCGTCACTTTTACCACAAAGCTATCATGAAGAAATTCAACTTTGTCTTGGATATTGAAGCAGCAAGGAACTTCCCCAGCAATGTCGATGTCACCTACTCCTGGGGCAAACCAGACTTCAAGTATACACAATACATCCACAGATCTGGGGTATTACTTGCGCAAATCACCGATGAGGGCAACTTCCTCCTTCTAGCAAATCGGCTTTACAATAACCGGACGACGGCAGAAAGAGAGTTCGACAGGTATGTCAAGATTGACCATGAACGTAATACACGTGTAGCTGCGCCTGTGTACGGCCATGGCATCAACACAGACAAACCTAGTCCTCTAAACTCTCCTATGCTCCGTTCAACTGATACCATCTCTCCTGTCTTGCGAGCCACTTCTGACGTTTTGGGGCCTAGTTTGGCGGCATCAAAAATCGCCAATATTACCACCCCCGAATCCATAAAAAATGAACTCGAGGACTTCTGCCACAACGCCCCACTCCTCGAATCCTACTACAAAGAAGTATATGAGAAAGCAACCCCACCAAATATGACGCCGCCGAACCCTCGAAGCCCCTTCGTGGGCAGCCTACTCGAATCGAATATTCCAACGCTAGGATTGCCCCCTAGCATCCTAGCTAGAGATATAAGTCCGAGCCCGATGCGACTTTCCAACCTACCAGGAATTGGAAGTTCTATGCCACAGCTTGGAAGAAGACCGAGTGTGCAAATTGGCATAGGTGGCGATGGCGCGAAGCAAGAAAGTCCGCGTGGAAGCATTAAAGAGAGCGATAAGGCGTTATAGGATAGATATATTGGAGTTACAAGTTGTTTGAGTAGCTTATAAGATACCTGCTTGGATAGCAGTTTTGGAGGTTGGATCTGGCGACAATTGGATTATTCCAAATAATTTTCTCCCCTCGTTTGAAAAGGCAGCTTATGATTTGATGTCTTCTACGACACGATGTAAAATGCAAATGTGACTTGGCGTAGCTTAGTAAGCGATGATGCCAATACCTGGTGCACCTCTTCGCGTTCTCCTCCACTTAGAATGCTAAGCAAAATCAACCAGAACCAATGACCACGTTGTACTAGCTAGTACGAAGTGATCACAATCTGTGATACCTGTGATATCAACTCATACAAGCGTTAAGACATATAACATTATTCATTTATTAACTAATCAAATTGCTACAACATAGGATTGGTAGGATAAGCCTACGATAATAAACGAGTGTTAGATAATTTATCTACCTGTCCAGGGCCTGGGACTGACACTATATCCAGGTAGTTAGTTAAGTGCGTGACCTTAATTGAGGAGTGACTCACCATCTGGTAGTATAAACCTCTCTTTCTTAACAGCATGTTATGATTCCCTTGTTCCACCACCTTTCCATCCCCAATTACGAATATAACATCGGCATTTTGTATCGTTGCCAGCCTGTGTGCAACAACAACCATCGTTCTGCCCTTTCCAGTCTTCTCAAATACAGCTTGGACCGATTTTTCGGTCTCGGAATCAAGATTCGAAGTAGCTTCGTCGAGCAGCAGGACTCGTGGGTTTCGGATCAGTGCTCTGGCAATGGCAATGCGCTGTTTTTGACCACCGGATAGTGCGACGCCCTTTGTTCCTACTTCCGTATCGTAACCGTCTGGGAGAGAAGAAATGAACTCGTGGATTTCCGCGTTCCGGCACGCTTGGTACAGGGTTTCGTCCTCGGTTGTGTTCTGGTCCATGCCGAGAAGAATATTTTCGCGGAGGGTTCCATCGAACAATGAAGGCTCCTGGGCAACGAGTGATAGTGATTTTCGATAATCGCTCAAGGAGAGTTCATTTATGTCCATACCGCGAAAGAGGATTTTGCCGCTTTGGGGGCGATAAAACCTTTCGAGCAGCGAGATAACACTTGTCTTTCCGCAACCTATAGGAGGTGTTGTTAGTGCAACCGATCAAGGACAGAATATGACATGAAAGGTCTCACCTGACGGGCCAACAATCGCAGCAAATTGACCCTTTTCAATCTGCAGCAGGTCAGTACTTCATACTCTAGATCTTTCAATCTGGGGTTGGGACTTACGGTCATAGACACCCCAGTCAGGACAGGAACATCTCGAGTGGGATACTGAAACCATATATTTTTCAGCTCGATCTTGACTCCTCGCGCCCCCTTCTCATCTTCGTCTTGGGCGCTGAAGTCGATCGAAGATAATTCACGCTCAGCGTCCCCCCTCGGCCTCATTCCTCTGATTCTGTTTGCAGCAGCTGCAGCTTGCGCGATGTCTGCAGTATTGTTAATGGTAAATTAAGCAAATTTGCAGAATGTCATTGACTTACTGGGCCCAAAGCTTAGCCATTGACCAGCACTTATACTACCTTGTATAACTGCTAGGTATACGACCACTGGAGACTGGGATTAGCGTGGTATTTTGTGAAGATGGAAAATCCATACAGTAATTGAATGACCAATATTGATAGCTCGCGAGAAGTCCACCACCATACCTAAAGATGGTAAGCTTTGAGATTTGTTGATCAACTAGGCCTGACTTACCACATTACAAATGCCATGCATAACAACGAAACACTGTCGCTCATGGCGAACACGAGCGTCGAAAACCGGGCTTTATGAAATGCTTTCGAGATGTGTTCATTTAAAAGACTCTCGTATCTTTCACAAATTTCGGACTCTAGGGTCAGGGAAGTGACGGTGCGAATAGCACCTATAGACTCAGTTGCAAACTTCGCACTCTCTGAGAAAACTGTCCAGTTCATCTTCTCAAATTGAGTTTCGTACCGAATTCGGAAGAATCCAGCTGCAAGAATAATTGGCACTGACGAAACTACCGTCAAGAGTGTGAGCTTCCACCCAAAATAGAAAGACATCGAGATACACCCCACAACGTTAAGTACAGAAATGAAGACAAAAGCCATGTTGATACCGAGAAGCTGCTGCAGCTGTGTTGGGTCAGTAGCAATGCGCGCAGTCAGTGCCCCAACTGAATTCTTCTCGTCATCGTAGTACGAAATCGGTTTCATTAGTATATTTCGAAAGTATTCTTGGCGATAAGTAGTGGTGATGTTCTGATGTAATTAGTGTGTGTGTTCTCCTAGATAACTTGGAGTACGAGTGCGAGTATGAAATTCAGCTCTTACAAATGCGATCGTATTTGAAGCCCACCCCAACATAAAGTGGCTAACACCCACACCAATTGCCAGCATAGTAAACATAAGACACCACCAATTAGTTTGTTCTTGCAAGTATACACCCCAGTATGAAAATATCGAGATCAGCTTCGCGAAGATGAATGCTTGGAGAGGGAACGCAGCTGAAGATATAAAATTAGCAGTTTCTCTGAGCAGGTGAAATTACACTTACCTCCAGCTCCCACAGAACCCAATAGCATCAGAATATACCACGGCCAATGCTGGCGCTGTTCCCAAAACAGAAGCCCGAAACTACCGAGGAACCCTTTTTTCTTGAACTCTGGTTCCTCCGAGACAGTACTAACTATTGGGATATCGACGCTAAACTTTTCAATGGTTGTTGTATCCATGCTAGGTCTCTCAAAGTCAATCCAATCCGCACTGTTTTCATCTTCGTCGCCTAAAGATAGATGCTGTGCGTTGGCAAGTGCCCAGTAGGCTCCTTCCCTGTCGGCTAGCAGCTCATCATGAGTACCCTGTTGAACTACTTTGCCCTTTTTCAACACAACGATGTTGTCTGCTTTCATGATGGTTGATAAACGATGGGCAATTGTGATTGTCGTCCGTCCTTGTGAAACCTTGTCCAATGCGGCTTGAACTATTTTCTCTCCACGAACATCGATGGCGCTAGTTGCTTCATCTAGAATCAGAATCTTCGGGTGCTTGATGATGCTTCTTGCTATTGCGAGCCTTTGACGTTGACCACCACTGAGTTTGATTCCTGAATCACCAACCAATGTCTCGTAACCCTAAATATCATTAGTATCATTGATTTTCGAATTAATGAATGGTTATTCAGGCAATGCAACGTACTTCTGGAAGTCGGGTGATGAACTCATCTGCAAAAGCCTCCTGGCAAGCCTGCTCTACTAGCTCCTTCTTCCGCTCCTCTGATTCATTTTCCCATTCGGTGCCAATCAAACCATACTCCACGTTCTTGAATATCGTATCATTGAAAAGAAATGGTTCTTGCTGCACAAGTCCTATTTGCCTCCTCCACCACTTGAGATCTATGTCGTGTAGATTTGTGCCGCAGGTCTTGATCGTTCCAGTGCGGAAGAGAAGGGTCTTCGATAAAGTCAGCGACACAATAATTCATTTTTACGAGGGAGTCCACTTACTAATAGGTTATCTGTCGTATTACCATCGAGTTCATACCATCTTTCGATGAGTCCGACGATAGTGCTTTTACCAGAGCCTGATGCCCCCACAATCTGGGTGATGGATCAGTTAGCTGTTCCATTTCGAATAAAGGACAGTGCTTCAATGAAGCAGTTATAGGAAGGGTTATGATTTATACAATAAAAGAAAACGAGGTACTCTGTAAATCGGAGAATAGATTGTACTTACTGCTGTCAATTTTCCCGCTGGGAAACGTAGGCTCAAATCACTGAGGACTTTGACATCTGGCCTTATTGGGTACGCGAAGTTGACATTTTCAAGCACAATATCATCTTGTGAATGAACATCTGGATCACTAACACCTTCTGTCCGAGGTTTGGGTGCATCGATGACAGTGAAGAAGATACTAGCAGACCCTGCAGCCTGAGCAGCAGCAGACAATGGCGTAGCTATGCTTCCAATGGTCAAAGTGATCATCATGATGGACATCAGAACGCTGCCGTAAGTTAGTAATTCCAGCATTATTGATATTCGGATCTGTATCAAGACAGTGAAGACACGTACATGATAATCTCTCTAACACCACCTTTCATCTTGAAGTCTAGGTACATTTTGATTGCATACCAGAATGCAAGTGCAAAAGTTGCATGTATAGCAAAGAAGACTAGAGATCGAGTCAGCCTCAATCTCCGAGCACAAACAGAGACACCCACCAGGAGACCCTTGAAGGGCAACTAAAGGAGACAGACGAAGACCCCTACGTCGGGATTCTTTCGCCCAGCCTGCAAACCGGTTGGACATGATTGGTTCTGCTCCACATGCAGCTAGCATTCTGATTGATCCGAAGGCTTCACTCGCAATCGCGGATGACATTCTATCGGCGTGCTCGACTTGTTTCATCCCCTTGACTAGATATGTTACCGTACCGAAATAAAAAGCGGCGATGAATACCAGCCCGCTGCATGTCACTAAAGTAAGCATCGCGCTGTAGAGAAAAGCTATAACCAATGCCGCAATGACAAGCGTCGTGCTCTGGATAAATGTGGAGAGCTTTTCGGAAATTCCAATCTGCAGGACGTTTGCCGTGATCGTTATTATAGACGCGGTTTGGCCCGGCGGAAGCACGTCGAGAGTGGAGAGTGGTTGTGCGAACAGAGCTTTCATATACGCAAGCCTCATGGCCGCAGATATTCGGAGGCTCACCATACGAAAGCCTAACTAATATTATGTTAGCAGATTTACACGACCAGGCAGTTGCGGGGAAAATACGAAGGCAACATAGTCAAGTACAAGCCGGCCAGCGAACAAGTACACCATATATAAACTATTCTATTGATAAGCCTAGTCCAAGTTGATTTAATTTGGTGGTACTATCTTACACATTTTGATTGATGGTGTGAGTAAAGTTAGCCTTTGTGTGGATCGTCCAAGTATAGGGGTTATAGAGCGACCCGAAAGCGGCAACAAGTTGGCCTGTAAAAAGGTTAGAAACATTGTAACTATGGCTGGATAGTTTGTATCACTTACCGAAAACTATATTCATGAGAGGCATCGTAATGCCGGTACAGATCGAGGCGATACAGGCAGCAAATAGCAGCAATTTGTCATTGAAAGTCGAATACGAGAATATTCTGACGAAATGTAAAAATGCAGTCTTGTGCTCCGCTGTACTGAAAACCTTCTTTTTGGTTGTCTTTGGAGCTGGTTTTGATTTTGGAGTTGTTGCCTCGTGTTCCGGATGCACACCATCTTCAGGCTCAGCTGGTGAGACGGGCAGAGTTGCTGAAGTGTCCCATGGGGTTGGCGATGTCTCTTCTGCCTGGCTACCTTTGATCGCTCTGTTCTCTGGTACAGCATGATAAGGTTCTTCCTCTGGAGATACCGGCAATGTTGCAGAAGTTGACCACGGATTTCCCGAATCTCGTGACAATGGCCTGTCTGTTGTCACAGAGTTATCAAACACAAATTGGTCCATAGCTAATAATGCCGCTTCTCACAAGAGAAGAGGTGAAGAGAAATGCAAGAGTAAAGATTCAACACCAAACAACTGAAAGGATTCAAGTAACAGGAAACGGGGGAACTGGTGCAAGTTCCACCGAAAAGTGATCGGGAAAAAGGACAGCGTAGATAAGGTTACCAGAGTTTCTTCAATCCAAGAAACCAAGGCTTCTTCAATCCACGAGTCACAGACTCACAGTATGGCAAGTCCACAAGGAGGCAGTTGGACAATCCGGCTATTCATTCTTCTAGATGAAAGGCAAAACGGATCCGGTAGTCTTAGGAAGACGTGCTGTACTGGAATGCAGAAGCCGTGCAGGGATATGAATGACCAGGTAGGTACATCACTCATATGCAAGGGAGGGACCCCAACCTGCCCGAATGCTTCTTTCCTTCTTCATCAGGCTGTATTGCTATCGCGAACAATTTGCAATGCAGATAGCTAACGCAATCGCCTTTCAGGAGTACGCCGATCTTCGCCATCGAAAGGTGCAGCACATGAGATTTAATACTTTAAAGGGGCTGGCTGAGTCGGGCGGGTATAAGGTAACGGACAGACCATTTTGCATGTGAAATTTGATGGGTGGATATGCATTCCACCATCATAATACCATACACTAGTATACTACGAGTATACAGCAATAAAAGGGGAGATAAGGTCCGCGTCAGAATAATTATTACAAGGTGGTTGTAGAAACAAGCTTCGAGATCCGCCAGTTCCTTGCCGGCACTGCAGTCAGCCACAAAACGTCGATCTGCAAGGTCCCACTACACTACCCCCACTATATACCAAACGTTCCATATATCCCGAATATTCAGCTTTGTCACCCGTAATCCGAGCAATCGTTGATACCTAAATTAACACTAGAATTGTTATATGCGACGATTCGTCAGCCTTAATGTATATAAATTTCTCCGCTCGTTACAACTGCCAGTTTGTCCATCAATGTTGATCGATGATGAATGTTGGAATCATTTCACGTGCAGGCCACGTACGCCGGAAGCCAAGTGAGAAGGAGGATGAGAAGAAGAAAAGAAAACAAACGATATTAGAATGTTGACTCTTGTAAGTGCTGACAAAATGGTTGCAATTGCTCAAATATCTCACTATATCTACTTGAAAACTTAATTAATTAAAACACACTAAACTTGCCCACCATCAACTCTTAAGTGACAATGAAGCTACGCAGGTAGACGCGCAATCTTGTAGGCTGAGTGTCTAGATGAGTGATGCTGTAGTGAATCGAAGGACATAAATCTAAACTCCATAACCTCCTCTAGCTTCCATATATTTGATCAATCTAACCAGCAATTTCATGCTCGTTCGAGCCGACTACGACTAAAGCAGGGAGTAGCCCATCTCAAATTGAAAAACTACCGTCGGAAGAGGAGTGAGAGTCTGTCTCGATGTTCGAAATCATGATACGGAGTACATCTCCAAGCTCCTTCACGGTATCTTTATGCCTCGGCAAAGTGTGACCTTTGGCGTGATCAAAGAGATATGCAGTATCCATGTCGCAAACGTTATAAAGTGCAAGAGATCCTGCCAAGTATGGGTCCAAAGAACCAACTGACCTGAGTGTCAGCACACAGCTAAAATGTAGCGTCTCCAGCAAGCTTAAACTTACTGACGTGGCAGGTAGGAATCGTGATGGTCAAATCAGATTCATCTGCCAGCACAATCGTATCCAATTCAGGGTTCATAGGTGGCCATCCCGCGAAAAAGAGAGCACATTTGAACATTGTAGGTATTCCCTTGGTCTCGTATCTCCGCTGCTCGTGCAATAAAAGGGTAGCCGCCACGGTCGCACCTTCTGAATAGCCAATTATGCCCTCAAAGGGCCCGTCCTCTTCCATAATGCGATAAAGATAGTCGATGGCCTTCTGTGTGCTGCTGTCTTCAGCTTTGTTGTTGTCTTCAGCAGATGGTAGAGGTGTAGCTGAAACACCCATATACATCAAAGCGCGCATTTGATCCTCAGCACTGCCACCTTCGGGAAAGTTTCGAATTCTTTCTAGGACATCGCTATCATCGTGACTACCATCCTCCGCCTTGGCACCCTCGATAAATCGATAGTATGGGGCTGCGCCGAAGTATTCCTCAAACCCTTCAGGTGGGAAAGCTTGACAAGGCCCATGGATGAAATGTAGTTCCGCGGTATTATCGGAGGTGAGCTCATTAACGAGAGGTGCTTCTTGAGGTAAGTAACTTCAACAATAAATGATAGGGCTGGAAGTCATACCCAGTTGGACCTTGAATTTCTATATTCTTGTTAGTAATGTATTTTCCTGGACAGTCTTCAAGTGAATGAAACAGATATAGCTTTCCAAGACCAGATGGCAGAAGTAAAGTTGTTGCATGGATTTAAGTCTTGATACCGAAGTAAGAAAAGCTCACACAGTGAAAGGGTAGAATAAATGCGGGGGGACGTACTTCCGAGCTTCCGTATGCTCCACAAAGGCAAAGAAACTTCATGTTTAAAGACAAAGCGTTTATGAGGGGAATACGTGATTGCGTCTATTGAATTTTGAAGAAAGATAGTGTTGGTAAAAGATGAAGCTTGGTGAATATCGAGTTTAAAAGGAAAGAGAGAAAAAAAAAAAAATCCGAAGTACGGTTTATGAACAAGGCTTGCCAAGTCCAGGTCTAAGTCAAAAGTCTATGTCGAGACTAGAGCCATATTTTATGAGATTGGACTTCAACTTGGGTGGGTCTAGTCTTCATATGAACTTCCTCATTAGGTTAAAGCTTACCAGAACTCAAGCCTAAAACCAAGTCAATTCGGGTTTGAGCTTTATTTTATAGAATTGGGATAAATTAATTTAAGTCCAAGTTCAAAGTTAAACCTAGTTGAACTTAGACTTGGCAAGCCTTGCTTATAAGAGGCGCCCCTGTCTGTATTGGGCAGATCATGTATATACGACGCTAGTCAGTCTATGAGAGCTTTTATCAGTTTAAAATACGGAATAAGATTATGAATCCTTCTACGGTACTGGTACTACCACGGAAAAATAGTAACACTTTTGCTATGCCCGGAAGCTACCGCAGCATATTATCTTCTAGCTTATCATATTAAACACCGGAAAGTCTTATAGAGACAGTGAGAATAGCAATAAGAGGGATGAACAAGGCAGGTGCAGAAACCCAACGGGCCGTTGGTCCTTGGCAGATTCATGCGCAAAGTCCAGACTTGAGAGCAATATATTCCCAAACCAGGAGGACACCTGGATACTAGGTGTATCCCTTCATTCTTCGATGTCCTCGAGAGCTTGCTTGCTTGCCATTAAGAAACACGTGTCTAAGTAAAGAATACAAGAGGGGCTACTGCGTCCCGTGAGGCTGGTCATTATTGACAATATCGGATCTGTGGTACTGCAAGTTCAAAATTGATATACAAATGGGTGCATTGAGGAACGAAGGAACAGATAGGTAGGTACGATTCTAGAGCCACATGGAGAGCACTTGCAATTTAGCCATGAGCGAGGAAGGAATTCGAAAAAGGGTGCATGCTTGCGTGACAAGGGTAAATGATGTTCCTTCCGTCTTGGCTAGGATCTGAGGCAGGGATTCTAGATGCATATCGTATCGTATGTCTTATCTCAATATCGTAAAGACTACTAGATGCGTACAGTACCGGTAGAAGGGGGAGAATAGGGAGACGATGGTGAG